TCTTTTTGTTCATTTCCCCCTTGTGTTTTATTATTACTCTTGCTGTCACTCTTGCTGTCACTCTTGCTTCCATCATTAATTCCATCATTACTTCTATTATTCCTATGATGGTTATGCTTCTTCCCTTTTAGAAGACTTACATTGTATATACACTGTAGAGTCAAGTTCGCAATTAGAGGTAAATATTTGGCATGAAAATATTTTTCAAAATCTTCTTTACTATCCTTAAGTAAAAAAAAAGATGGCAAGAATTTTTCCAGATACAAATAAACATGTTGATATGTGTTCTCATTATAGATAATTCTGTAAAATGATTTAATGACATGCACTTTTATTTTTTCATTTGATTTGTTCATGCAAAAAAGTAAAAACGAGACAATTTCTTTGTTTAGTGAACTATCGTTCAAGTGGTATATAATACAGTACAGCATTTCTAACGATAACACTTTAATAGATTCATAAGAAAGTGAATTGTATGATGTGATTATCATGTTTACAAATTGATGTATATCTTCATTAAATCTCCATCTATAGTGAATTTCCCTCCTGTTGACACGCTTGCCTAAGTGCACAGTCTGACAAATGGGATGTCCACTTTTTTTTTCGTGACTCTCTTCCCCATGCTTCAAGTAAAATTTTCGAAACAGGGGAGAGTAAATTTCCCTCTTGCAAATCTCAAACCCATTGAAAATATCTATGTAGCTTTTTTCTTCATGAAAAATTCCATTAAAGACGGTTTTGTAAAAAGTTAAAAAATTTTTGTAAAATTCGTGAGCATTTTGGTATGACAGGATGGGAAATGGAAAACAACACGTCGATAGGTAGGCCCACTCGTAAGTTTTTTTATTCTCTTCATTTTGGAATTTACTTTGGACTTTATTTTTGGTTTGCTCCCTTGCCATCATTTGTGATCTCACCTCCCTCCTGTAATCACGCCACTGCTGCAACATCTGTATTTTCACACGGTTATCCAAATTACTATCCCTGATATATGTGTGCATCTGGTGTCTGTTAACTCCTGTTGTAAATTCATTAACAACATTCATGAAATACATCAATCTCCCAGTGTGCTTCTCTTCCTTCTGCATATTCCTACATTTCAATGTTGTGTGAATATTGAAGGTACTTCTTCTTTCATCAGGTACATGGTAATGATTTTGGTTATAATGGTGTTTACGTGGATTCTTTGTCTGATGTTGATTTTGGCCATTTGCCATATTTAACATAACATATTTGTCTCTATCTTTTTGTGCGAATATATCCAAATGAAACAAAATGAAAGGCAAATTAAAATGGATCAACAAAATAAACATGTCAGAATTTTTAAAAACTGGGTGTAGCTGAAGTGTTGTCAAGGGGAAAAAAATATATTTGTATGTACTCGGGAAAATGTAATATGACCAATAGTTAAAAATTTTAAATATGTTATTATTATTTTGCAAAAAAAAGTGATTAATTAAGGAGTACACAATCAATGGATGTTTTGCTAAATTCACAATTTTCCATATTTTGTAAGGCACCGCCTTTTCTCTTCTTTCTATTTGATAGTTGTGTCTGAGATGCCACTTTTCCTGTCTGAACTCCAGTGGCGATAGCTCCAGTGCTTCTTCTGCATCATCTGCTTCCTCTGCTTCTTCTGCATCATCTGCTTCCTCTGCTTCCTCTGCATCCTCTGCATCCTCTGCTTCGTCCTCCTCTTCATAATACTCTTCCCCCTCATGATCTTCATTAGACGTTGTGTCTCGATTGTCTGTATCGAAATCATGAGAAGAATGCAAATTGCGGCTCAAATAAATATATTTTTCCCTTACCCCTTTGCCTTGACAATTCAACAATTCGTAATCGCTATGTGCGTAAGGGATATCATCCATCGAATCATACGCATCTTTATGATCACAAATATCTGTTTTCATTTTAAAAAGTGCTTCATTCCCCTTTTTAGATGTATGTGTTAAGCTTTCTCTTCTGGAATTATTTTCATTCGTGGAACAGGAAGTTACATTATTATGTAGATCATTGTAAATATTAATGTAATTAACGTTATTAATATAATGATAATTGTAATGTTTATATTTGTCTATATTCATTTTGACATTTTTATTTTTTTGAAAATAATTTTCTTCTTCATTTTTTATCCTTTTATTTATGAACGGCAAGGATAAAGCGTGAACAAAATTTTCACTGTTTTTTTTTTCTGAAATATTAATAATATTATCAATTGGAATTTTTTTTTTTTTTTTTTTATTTGTTTTCACATTTCTCTTGTTTTTTTTTGATACTTTTATTTGATGTTTTTTTTTTTTTTTTTTTTTTTCTTTATTTTCCATAAGATGGAACATTTCTTCTTTTCTCCTTCCTGAATAAAAATAATTGCCTTTATTATTATCACTGTAATTCTCTTTCAGGAATAAGTATGACACACTTTTATCATTCAACAGAATTTCTAGAATCAATATCCCGAGGTTAAATATATCACCCTGTAGTTTCAATAATCGTTGCGCTATGTCCCTCCGTTTGTCTTCACACCTGCGGTAAAGGATGAACAAAAATTGGTGTACCTATTTGACTCTGTGTCATGAGTTGTTATGTAAATCTCCTGGTGCCATAGGCATTCCCACCCCACCCTTACATTAATATTAATTTAAAAAGGGAAGTGTAAGATGGGTGTAAAAAAAAAAAAAAAAAAAAAAAAGGACACTCTTAACATACGAAATGTAACCGCATGGATATGAATAATAAGAAAATTTGCTTGATCAGCAGCAAGCCACCCTCTCCCCAAAAAAATAAAATAAAATAAAACATGCTAACATACCTTACACTTGGAATGAAGTAAAGATAATTGTTCAGAATATTAATATCCGTTATAAAAATGTTCATATTATTCTGAATAAGAAAGTTTTCCGTCTTTATGTGACCATGATAAATACCTAGTGAGTGTAACTGAATCATTGACAAAAATATTTGAAAGAGAACAAAATAACAAAACGATTTGTTGTTCTTTTCGTTTAAGAGATAATGGTCCAAATTCTTATAAATAAATTTTCTATATATGTAAATGTTGTTTTCATAGACACTCATTCGATTGTACGGTAGGCTGCAGGGTCAGGTGGAGAAGGAAAGAGACAAAGGTGAAAAAAAAAAATGAAGACTGCGAATATATATGTGTGTAAAAATGGAACGCAATAATATATACATATATATATATATATATACTGCACCTGTATCGATAGCAGTATGGAGTATTCTTCTTGATGTAACAAATGTGGTAAGAGTCCCACTTCTGTATGCATTTCATGGAATACCAATAAAACTTGGATTCTCCTTTCGGAGGAACAAAAGAAAAAAAAAAAAATAAAAAAAAAAATAAAATAAATTATTTCTTGAAATGCTTACACGTTTGGGAATAGGTCAAATGAAAACAGAAATTTAAGTGTATATAAAATCCTTTTTATTTTCTGCGTTTCGCCTTTTAATTTGCATATTTTTATGAGCACATGGCCTTCATTCTTGTTAATTCCCTAAAAGGGGGAGAAGAAACATTAAGAAGGTTTATTTATTCTTGTCATTTTGAGTCTTATGTGTTTTTAACTCATGTTCAGGCACCTATGACGCTCAATTTTGAGTAATGTGAGATGCACTCTCTGAATTCTCCATTTTTCATTTAATCGGCCAAAAAATTCTTTTTTCTCTCTTTTTCTCTCTATCTCGCCATTTCCATTTCCATCTCCACCTCTATGTCTCGTTTCTGGCATACCTCCAAAACATGGCAGAAGGAATTCAGGGTGTAACAGTTCATGAAAATGAATTGCTCATATTTAAACAAATAACTGTAAATGTTGTAAAGGTTGTTCAAATGCTTGCAGTAAATCTCGTCCAGCTGAGTGGAGCTGCACCCCACGTTGCTATACAGAGTATTTCCCATTTTTTGTAATTCAGCATACGGCACGGCATAAGGAAGGACATAAGGAGCGATACACAAACGGGTATATGATAGGGTACACGAAACTGGGGTGTGGATAAACAAAAAATTAACAGAGCAAAAATGTGACAAAACGAAAAAATGACAAAACGAAAAAATGACAAAACGAAAAAATGACAAAACAAAAAAATGACAAAACAAAAAAATGACAAAACGAAAATCTGATAAAACAAAAAAATGACAAAAAGAAAATCTGATAAAACTAAAAAAATGACAAAAAGAAAATCTGATAAAACTAAAAAAATGACAAAAAGAAAATCTGATAAAACAAAAAAATGAAAAAAAGCCTGCCAGATGGTATGCAAACGAACGAAAAAATTTGTGCGTGCCGGCATATAACTAATAGCAGTGGTGAGTTGAAACATTCACCATTCTACTCCTGCACTGAATCCTAAATACTTCATCTTCTGTTCTCGTACTCTTCGAATTTAAACTTAAGAGAAAAGTACTTATATGGATAGAAAAGAATAGTGTTAACGGGGAAAAAAAAAAAAAAAAAAAAAAAAAAAAAACTTAATGTAATATAAGATAAAAAAAAAAAAAAAAAAAAAAACTTAATGTAATATAATATAAGATAAAAAAAAATACACTTCACCATTATACATAGGGTTTGGGGGATTACATCCCCCTTTTTTGCCCATTATCACACGTGTGTGTGTGGGGGGGGTATCCATATGAAGTCTTCATAAAATGTAACATATTCTCGTGCAATTGTATCTATGTTTATCATTTAAGCTTTTTTTTTTTTTTTTTTTTTTTTTTTTTACAAATTCAACAAGAATATGGGATTTGTGTGTATTCATGTCGATGTGAAGGTTAACGGATTCGCAAGTTGTTCTTTATTTTGCATGTTATTTTGATTTATGCAATAATATATTTTTATATTTTTACTCCTCTGCTTTTTCCCTTCCCAATTAAAAAAATTATTTTAAGTGTTCGTTCCAATTTATCATATGTGGCGCTATTCATTTATCAGAAAGAGGTAAGGGAAAAAAAGAGGAAAAAAAAAATATGTTCTCCCTTTAACATTTAACGTAAACACAAAAAATTAAGAAGGATGACCCATCGGGTAGCATTCAATAATCAGTAGTTGCACACAATGACAAAAAAAAAAAAAAATGAGAAATCCAAAAAAAGTCTCGTAAAAAAAAAAAAAAAAAAAAAAAAAAGTGATTTCAAAAATTGTTAAAAGAAAAAAGTTTGTGTTCATAAAAGTAGTGGTATGTTGAAATGTGTGTAAAGAGCTATGTCCTCTTTCCCCCTATTGATGTAGGAAAGAGGGAAAAGACGCCAAGTGAGGAAACCAAAGTTGCGACATAAGTAAAATAACATTGTAGGCCTAACGGATTTATCTCCATCTTACATAAATAAAAAAATCACACATATGTAATAATCATACATGCGTATTTGTCACTGAACTTATTACATTTTCAGATGTCCAAGTAAAGATCACAAAACAATTCTTCGTTGCACCACTTAGCTTCCCCTGAAAAAAAGGGAAAATGCAAAAATGGAAAAAATGTGAGTAAACTAAAAAATGAAAAAGTGAATAAACTGAACAATGCAAAAATGAGTAAACTAAACAATGCAAAAATGAGTAAACCACCAAAATGAAAAAGTGAGTAACCCCCAAAAATGAATAAAGTGAACAATGCAAAAACGTATATTCATCACACCCCTCATATTTGTCCGTTAGACGAACTAAAAAAAAAAACTACGATAAGAAGAAAAATTCATGTTGAACAGTCCTATTCATACCTTCCTCAAATTCAGCATCGATCAAATTAATTTTTCCCTTTTCGAACAGTTCCCTCCCTGTGGGATTATCTGATGTGTTCATATTTTTTATTTCTGCGAAAATATCCTTGTAAAATTCCTTCCGCCACGCGTCGAATTCTTCTTCTGTCACTCGGTACTGTAGGATCAAAATGTGTGGCCAAAAGTTGTGCATATGTCTATGGCATATATCCTAGGCAGCATACCCATATTCATGTTCACACACACATATATATATATATATATACATATATATGAACATTTACATGTAAACGTAATTGCCCATACAACACACACTTCCAAAGCATCATGCATTTTGAAAGCGAAAAAAAAAAAAAAAAATAATAAAAAGGCGTACCCTTTCCTCGCACAATTCCTTCAGCTCCAAAACATTTTCATAATCATCTGCTTCCACCTTGTCATCTGAATCCTCATCATTTATTTCGTCATTTTCCTTCGGTTGTCTTTCTAGCATTTCATCGTACATAGACTTTTCTTTAATGTCTTCGGTTAGATAAGACTGTCAAAAAAAAAAAAAAATTATTGGGTAGTAAGATAAGTACATGGTGCAATGGGGGAAAATAATTTTTGTTCAGGTTAAAATTTATCCTTATGTATTACCCTTCACACAAGTGAACCACTTGCAAATGTGGTTGTTAGAAATATATGCACACTTATCTCTACAGTCATATGAATGCACACTTGCAGGTAAAAAAAAAAAAAAAAAACACACACACACACGTGAGCATTTATTGAATATATATAATCCATATGGGGACAGAAATACGAACAAAAATGAATTCTCTCCCTCGAACGAACAAGGTAAACAAGTTCTTTCATAGTACCCTTATATTTTCCACTATGTTGTAAATCATACTGTAACCCATGTTGTTTTCAATAGTCTCTATAATACGCTGCTCGACATTTTCCATTAACGCATTTGTAACATTTTTACCTGAACATACATGCAAAAAAAAAAAAAAAAAATTTAAGTGTAACTTGGGGTGGCGAAAAAAAGAAAAAAAAAAAAAAAAAAAGGGTGTTGTCCCTTAAAAGATGGTTCAAGCACGGAAATATAAATAGACGTATACGTACATACACAGATAAAATTATGTATGCGCAAGTAAGCTTCACGATGAGAATTGTGTACGACAATATATATGTTCGTCAAATGGAAAATGCAAAGAGTTATACAGACAAGCGTGCAACCAATATTACCTTCAACGATCTTCCATATTGGTGCCTCTTCTGGGTATCGTTCCGTGTATTCAAATTGCAAGTAGAAGGATATTTTTTTGGCTTTATTTTCAATCAGTATTTTGAAATTATTCTCATTGAGGCAAATAAATTCATTGGTACATTCGTATAAAAGTGACAAGCTCTCCTTTTCTGCTAATTGCTCGCTTTTGTAATCCATGTTTGTTTTTTTGGCGTGCCTTCAGATGTAGCACATGTGTATGTATATATATGTGTATATTTTTGCTTTCTTGGCCATTTATATATAAGCATATATATATATATATATATATATATGTGTGTGTATAAATGCATTATCTTCTAAAATCACGTGAAAGAAAACATCATACTGACTTCAAAGTCGGTACGGTTTGCTGCACAAACTTTGTGCAACTTGCAAATACTTTCACAAATTAATTTGGAGTCCTTAGCTTGAAGGAATTTTAGGGACCTTTGTGACGGCCATTTGGAAGAGTATCATTAAAAAAAAAAAAATTCAAAATTGAAAAGCTGAAAGGTTAAAAAACTCAAAAATAGAAGAATTGCCAAATTGAGAAAGCGTATGTTGAATTTTACTCACCATTTTTATCTTTTCCTACAATGTTGCAACGACGTTCAGGTTAATGGTTACTCAAGTCGAGTTTCCGCTCACTGAACAGTTTTGGCTAAGGGGAGGAAAAACTAAAACCACAATTGTTGAACCAACATTAGTATGACCCCGGTCTACGCGTGCATTATTTTTCCATTTCTGAGTTAAGAAGGGGTTCAGAAAACATTAGTAAAAAAAAAGAAAAAAAAAAAAAAAAAAAAGTGTTACCCCTTTAATATTTAGCATAAAAACAAAATTTAAGAAGGGCTTATTGGATATAATATTCACCAATCAACAGTTGCATACAATGATAAAAAAAAAATGGAAAAAAAAAAATAAATTACTGTATAAGTTTTCCCATATCAAGAATTCATGACAATTTAACCTGATATCAATAACGTTAGGCTTAAAGAATATAATCTTGTGCATTCAGGATGGGGTATAAAAACGAATGGTTAGTGTCATATGAAAAGACTGGTGTGTGTTCAAATGTATGGGTAACGTCTAAATTATGTCATTCACAGTTGAATGATTTTTGAATGTCCAGCAGAAAACTGTTAAATTACTCCTACAAACTTTTACATGCTATATATTTAGGAGAAAAAAAAAAAAAAAAAAAAAAAAAAGGATTTTCTCTCAATGATTATGTATGTATGTATATATATATATATGTATATATTATATGTGCATATGTACACAACTTATGGAGGGGAAAAAATCCATTAGATAAATTCCTCGTAATTATGCTACAATAGTCGCAAAAACCTTTTTTTTTTTTTTTTTTTTTTTTTAAAAAAAAACAAATGTCACTAAATTATCATTAATTCGTGAAAAGATTTAAAAAAAAAAAAGAAAAGAAACATTTTTATGTCATACGTTATAAGGTGATATAATACACATTGGTATATACAAAAATGAGAATTATCATACTGATAAAAAATCAAAGATGTTTGAAAAAGAAAAAGGAAAAATCTAAGAAAACCAACGGATGGGAAATAGGAAAAAAAAAAAAAAAAAAAAAAAAAAAAAACCTTAGGTTATCGTAAAAAAATATATTGAGCAAGATAGAAATGGGGAAGCATTTAAAAGAAATGATAAAAAAAAAAAAGACGTAAATTTGGTTTAACCTGTAAAACATTTTGTGATTTAAAAAAAAAATAAATAAATAAATAAACACACACATGGCGCATACATATAAATATATATATGCATATGGATTATCTACAAGTGAGAATAATATAATCATATACACATGGAAAACCCATGCACAGGTATACACATGAGCACATCAGTACCATGGTGTGTAGAATGTGATGCAAATACAAATTAATTCCACTGTAGACGATAGAAAACGTCTACCTACTCAAGGAATACGTGTTATTATATCTCATCTGATTGGAAGAATCCACATTTCCATATACCACAGGCGGCATATATGGCTGATGATGATTCCCCATAATTGGTTGTTGCACCGTGTAAGGTTGTCCAGGAGTAAATTGGGGTTGCACCGGTGCATTTAATTGTACATACTGTTCTTCCCCTTTTTTTAACTGTACTTTTAAATGTTTTCCTGAAACATGAAATCCATGCATTCCTTTAATTGCATTTAAAGCTGATTCTGAGTTGTTAAAACTCACAAATCCATATCCCTTATTTCTTCCATTTGAATCCCTTTGAATTCGTGCGCTAACTACATATCCGAAATGCTGGAAATGCTGAGAAGTGATATGAATGGAAATATAATAATTTTTATAAATATACACACAACAAAGCGGGTGGTAATTGTTAATGATTTTTCAATGTTAATTTTCTTATATGCATTTATTCTCGTAATCATTTTTATGATAATCTCTCTGTAGCTCTCTCTATATCGTTCTTATCTATAGCTTTATCTCTCCTCCCTCTGCAAGCACTTTCCTTAAATGAAATTATATTATGCATTGCTACTTTTCCAAACTAATGCACACACAATACATGCAAAAACATACGTAATAGTACCTGATACAACTCCAAATCAGTCCAATGTGAAGGTAAATGAAAAACAAAAACATTCGCACCCGGGGGTCCAAATGAAGCGACAGTATTTGGTTTCCCTACAAAATTTGTTGCAGGAATGATGGTTTCTTTTGGTTTTTCCCATTGGGAATGACCCGTTAAGGTATTGTAATAATATGGATGTCCATCAGATGTTACATGTTTCTGCCATATGTTTTTATTAGTTGTTGTTGGTGTTTCATTGGTCGTATTATGTTTGTAGCTAGCGAATCTTACATCTAATGGTCTCTGGCTATTTGGAAATATACATTTATAATCTAGAGCCTCGATAGCTTTATATGCTTCAGACCTCTGTTCATATGTTATGAATGCCCATCCTCTAGGGCTTTGAGCCGTAGCTGGCACATAGTAAACTTGAGTTATCGTTCCATATTTAGAAGTCTCTGCTTTTAGTTCTTCCTGTGAGGTGAAAGTGCAGATGAGAGGTGAAAAGAAGTTTTTTTTTTTTTTTATTCTATTTTAAATGTATATTTTTTTTTTTTTTTTTTTTATTCTATTTTAAATGTATTTTTTTTTTTTTTTCTTTTTTTATTCTATTTTAAATGCGTTTTTTTTTTTTTTTTCTTGGGGGGGAGAGTGTGATAGGGGAACGGGGCTACACCCCATACCACACACTCATACAACTATAAATAAGTGTAAACAAATTGAATATATATATATATATATAATATATGTATACGGATATATACGAGTTTGTATAACTAGCTAAATGTGGAATAATTTTACCTCTGTAACGTCCTTCGGAATGCTTCCTATAAAAATTTTAGACGAATTGGCTGCGGACATTTTTTTCCTTTAAGATAAATATGAACTTTTTTTTTTCTTTTTTTTTTTTTTTTTTTTTACAATGAATATTATTATTATTTTTTTAAAAAAAAAAAAAAAAAAAAAAAAAACTAGTAGACACTTTATCTTTTTTTTTTGTTTTCAATTATATTGTATATCCTAATCGTTCCTTGTCCAATTGGATTTTCTTCAGTTTCGTTGAAATTCATGCAATGGTATTCATGCGTTTGGAAACGTGTGTTTGTTGTATCTTCGATTCAGGGAATCCCGGTTCAGGGTTAGAGGGGCTATAACTTCTGAACGTTTATAAGTAGGTATAACCAATTTTACTCTTACAATCCATATAGGAACTTCCTTGAAATTAGTTCGAAATTACGTTATATGTAGACATACACATACAGAACCTTTTCCGTTTTCCTTCGCAAGGGAAGAACACAAATTTTGGCAATATAAAAAAATTAAAAGAAAATAGAACGATTGCAAAACTGAGAGAATTTATTTACGAAATCTCAATTTTCTAGGATAACTTCAAAAATGTGTTTGCCTGTGTATGTGTGTCAGTTTACTGTGCACGTTATTCTCTCCTTCCTTCACACATATGCCCTTACACATATATATATATATGTATGTATGTGTGTAGAAGTAAGCATAACCTATATACAACGGTGTGCGTGGACTTATTTATACGGAAAACTGTTTTGCATATCTCCTAATCCTTTTTTTTTTTTTTTTTTTTTTTTTTTTATCTGCCTCTAGGTTTATGTATGATTACTTATTTCTATGGATTATACAAATTCTACAGATTCTACAAATTCCATAACTTCTACAAATTCCATAACTTCTACAAATTCTAAAACTTCTACAAATTCTATGGAATCTATGACAGACTTTCTTTTCTTTTTTTTAATTAGCATATATTCGTTTACCTTTGGGTTTTCCCACAAGGGGAAATGAACTAGCTCGTTTTTCACAGATTCTTAGGGTCGGGATGAGGGCAAATAAGGAGGTCTGAATTTTGCCATTCGTCAGGTCTCTCTATATTTTTTTTGTGCTAACAAACACGTCTCTTTTTCGAAACTCTATATTAACTGGAAATTTTTCTTTACTTTCTTTTTCATGCCTATTCCTTCACCCAAAGTAAAGAAATAGATTTCTTTGATTCGCGTTCAAAATTAAAAAAGATGAAGAAAAAAAAATATAGAAAAAAAAAGGCAAAAAAAAGGCAAAAAAAAGGCAAAAAAAAGGCAAAAAAAAGTAAAAAAAAAAGGTAAAAAACGAAACAAAAAAGAAAAAAAAAAAAAAAGAAGATAAAATAAGAAAAATAAGAAAAAGAAACTAATTGAATTTAATTTTAATTTAATTTTCTTGGTTTGCATATATAAACTGGTGCAGCGCCTTGTGTTAAAGAACAATAAAATAACATTCACGACAAATTATAAAATGCCTTTTTCAAAAAAAAAAAAAAAAAAAAAAAAATATAGCAAGAAGGTTAAAAGAAGATCGGAGATAAGGAAGCAAGAGACTAAGAAAATTAGAATGAACAAACAAACTAAAATAAGAAAAGTAATAGTAGTATGGATTATACAAAAAAAAAAAAAAAAAAAAAAAAAAAAAAAAAAAAAAAAAAAAAAAAAAAAAGGATAAAAAAAAAAAAAAAAAAAAAAAAAAAAAAAAAAAAAGGCTTGTATTAAAAAAAGGGGGGGGGTAGAAGAAAAAAAAAAAAAAAAAAAAAAAAAAAAGAATAGAATTGAAGAACCCCCCCCAAAAAATATATAAAAATAATTCAAGCAAAGATGCACTTTATACATTATATTTTTTTTTTTTTTTCTGCAATTATATGTCCTTTTAAATAAGTATGAATAAAATTTTTAACATTCAATGTTTTACAGAGCGGAATTAATTACACTACGCTTATACTTGATTACCAATGTGTTCGCATAAACATTTGCATATATGTATATATATATATATATATATATATATTTACACCCTTCTACGTATGCGAACGTTTCTGCTAACAAGTGGTACAGCCGGCATAAATGCAATAAGAGAAAACAAGTTCAGTCACTCTGCTTATTTTTTCATATATTCAAAATGTACACTTTTTTACAACCCCCCCCTTACTTCAATTGTATTTTGCTTGTTTTGCCTGTTTTGCTTGTTTTGCCTGTTTTACATGTTTTTCCTTATTGTACTTATTTTCTGTTTTTTTTTTTCTGGTTCTCTACTTAATTTTTAAAATATTCCCCCTTTTCACGTTTTCAAAACGTATTCGCATAATCATTTCAGCACAAAAAAAAGAATCACGTAAACATAAAAAATAGAAAGTAGAAAATAGAATAAAATATGCTTTTGTATGTTGATAGAGTGTAGAAATCATCTGTGGGGAATCTGAATGTACGATGCTGCTTTTTTTTTTTTTTTTTTTTTTTTTTTTTTTTTACGCCCATGTAGTGGAGAAGATATATGCACGCCGTTTGTGAGCCCATGTCGAAACAGACACCATCTTACAAAAAAATTTCATAACCAGCTTTGCAATTGTATAACATTTTAAGGATATCTTCTACTAGTTTTCCCCCTACGCACCCCGACCGACTACACCTTCAGACCAATCTGAAACGACATTATATAGTGTCACAAATTTATTACCTATAAATATATATATATATATATATATATATATATATATATATATAGAGAGAGAGAGAGAGAGAGAGAGAGAGAGAGAAAGAGAGAGAACTTTAGAATATGTAATGCAAAAGACAAAAAGAAAATAAATAAAAATCGGTCGTGTTGTCTTCATAGAAGTGTGTCCTATTATATATACACCATAAGTACTCTTTACACGTGTGCATGATTGTAACTTTTGTAGAATGGTGAATTGTAGAATGTCCTTCATTGAAGAATTGTTTAACAACGTAAACTGGGTACATGTAAATAAATGGACGACGCAGTTGTTGTAACGTGTAGCATAATTTACACCGTTATTCATTACTTCATTATTTATTTTGTGACATAAGTATCACAATTTGAACGCTCCTTAGAAAAACAATATTATTAAAGTGTTACGGGTTACTATTTCAGATGTATGAGGTGATAGGCACAGAGGCCTTATACCCATGTGTAGAATTTATAATAAACAAAATAAAAAGGGCGTAAAAACCTGAGGGGAATATATAAGATGCCAAATTTGAAGTGACTTTTTGAAATGGAGGTATTTTTATTGTTTGCACATATTGGCGTATACATACACATATAGAAATGCAAGCATATATATATATATATGTATACATGTTATATATGATCCCCTCTTGAACATTTACAACTAAGAAAAGGTGCATAAAAAAATTGTGCCTTCCGTCGGCGTAAGGACTTGCGAATTTTGCGTCCCATTTATATGAACAGTCATATTTTTTTAAAAAAAAAATGAGCACTATATTTTGCACACATTCCCCATTTCTTTTTCTTTTTTTTTTTTTATTTCTCACGCTATCTCGCTCTCTCTCTCTCACTCTCTATCTATCTCTACATATCTCTCTCTTTTGCAAACAAAATCATTGTTTAACTCGCTTTTCCTAATTGTAAACAATAGGTAAAGTAATGTGCCACATTTGGTAATAGTTCGACGATTACTGTTTCATGATATAGCACATCTCCTAAATGCAACCGTTCACAATCCGCATAAAAGCATGTTCACTTAGTGTATACGTAAAGCACATGTTAGGAACCAGTAAAACACGTAATCTGATGATTGTTCCACACACATTTTATAAAAAGGTGAGAGAAGGTTTTTTGTATTGCAGTCTCCACTCTGCATAAGTGTATTCTTAATTAAGCTTAATGGCACTTTTACTTAATTTCGTTAAAAAATTCAATCATCTAATCTCATTGGTGGAGTGCAACCCAGCACCAGTATCCATCGAAAAAAAAAAAAAAAAAAAAAAAAAACAGACAAGTAGAGACGAACCGAGACCAGATGAGAATACAACATAAATAAACGCACAAATGTGCAAGGTAGAAAAAGTACGTGGGTACCATAAGGAAAACGGAAAACGAAACAGGGCAAAGTTTTGCACGAAAAACGAAAACCCAATATGTGGGTAATGGAGAAAATATGTTCAATCTTTCTCTTTACAACTTGGAGGCACTGACGCTTATATCACATCTTTAACATTTTTGAAACGTGCCAATCGGGTATTCTATTTACAACATATCTTTTGAAGTGATCAGGTGGAGGATGGGAGAAACAAGATTGCAATGGAAAAAAAAAAAAAAAACTGACGATACTAATTCAGGTAGTTCTATATGTGTTATAACATATAAATAAGTGTACATATGTTTACGAACTAAGTGTGCTAGAAAAAATGAGCAAGTGTTTTTTTTACACGTGCTGCATATACCACTAAGTTGCCTTTGTTAAAAAATGAATGAGCGCATGAATGAATAGGAATAATAAATAGGCATAATAAATAAGTGTAAAAAGTACATTTAATAAAAATTTTAAACAAATATAAATTTTTAACAAATATAAATTTTTAACAAATATAAATTTTTAACAAATATAAATATTAAACAAATATAAATTTTTAACAAATATAAGTTTTAAACAAATAAAAATTTAAAACAAATATATATTCAAAATAAATAAAAATTCAGCATAAATTTAACGTTCGAAAAAGGTTTCAAAACAATTTTGAAACGAATAGGTTTATACAACATAACATTTGCTTGACCAAATCTCCACGCGCAAAAGGTATATATATATATATATATATATATATAAGTATTATATATATATATTATATATATGCTTATCTCCTCACTTATATTTTTAATGCATAAAAAGGTGCGTTTGTGTTTTTAACATACGCAGGTGAATGCTTAATTGGGGTTGGGGAGGGAGACGATAATTGAGAGAATATAAAAGGATGCAGCAAAAAAAGGAAAAAAAAAAAAAAAAAAAAACACTTGTTGTTTCATTATTCCGTTTCCTATTCGGTTGATACATTTTAGTTATATTATTGTGTATGTATAAAATGTATATATATAAATATATATATACCTCTGAATTTCGTGCATGTTCAATTTCATTTACATATCTAAAGAGGTACGAGGATCACAATTTTTTTTTTCTTTTTTTCCTCCCTATAGGTAATAATTACATGCTGAATTATTCTTTAAATAATTTTTTTTTTAAAAAGGGCCATAAAATGGTTGGTCGTTTCTTTTTTTACGAATTTTTTCGATTTTTTTCGAATTTTTTCGAATTTTTGCGATTTTTTTCGAATTTTTGCGAATTTTCACAAATTTTTGTGAACTTTTATTAAATACCTTTTTTTTTTTTTTTTTACCTTTTCCCCTCATTTTAATCACCATTCGTTCAACAGGAATAAGCTTCATTTGGGAGCTCCATTTCTCCTCTCGGGCACGGCCACATACATAGCATGTATATAAAAGCATATGCATATACGTACGTATAAGTACATGTACATACGTATAAATACGTGTACATACTTGTGCATACATATAATTACATGTACATATACGTATAATTTTTTTTTTGCTAATCTTGTGCATATAAATAAATGCATACCCCAGGGGTATGTGTTACATTTATTGCCCTGTTTTTTTCCTTTTAATGTGAAATAAATTTGAAGCCTAAAAATAGGGATTATGGAATATCTAATAAACACAGGAAATGAACAAATCTGGATTGATGCTCCTGCAAACGAGATTTTAAAAAATAAAAGAAATAATTATGAAGAACATTTATTTCAGCGTTATAACAAAATTCATTATAATCATAATGTTGTAAATTGTACAATTTTTTTAGAAAAATATAATTATGAATTTTTTTTTGATTATTTAGTTAAGGATGATAAGGAAGAATACGGCCCTAAGGTACAACACAAGGTTCCTATGGGAACTTCAAAGAGAAAGCGAATGTACAATGAGTCTTGTGCAGGTGTCATGCACAATCTGGAGGTGATAAATCCTCAAAAGAGTTATAATCCCGATGGGAATACTAGTTATGCTATCCTGATGAATTACAACAATGCAATGGAGAGGAAACAATTACATCGTGGTCGTATCATCCAAAAATTAAAAAAAAAATACACCATTTTGAATGTAACTCCAGGGAGTTCTTTATGTACCACTACATATCCGAATAAAAAGTTAAAGGCATGCTTGCTAAATTCAGATCATTTAACATGTTCCACAAATATAAATCCAAATGAAAACAATTTGAAATCAAATTTTTTTTTACATTCAAGCAAAGAAAATGAAGAAACTCATTTTCGAAAGGAAGTAGAAGATCCTACTAACAAAATGGTTTTATCTCCCATTCAGATTTTTTCAAGGGAAGTAGATCCTAATATTGTTTCCTCTGTTAACACGTCTGAGTGTTGTCCGCATGTAAGAAGGACTCCGTTGGTGGATTTTATGATGCATTGGAGAACGCACGGTAATTGTGCTGAATCGAAGGATGAAAAGGGTTGCAGTGGTGACAGCGGTGGTGGTAGTAGCAATGGTGGTAGTAGCAGTGGTGGTAATAACAGTGGTGGTAACAGCGGTGGTGGTAGTAGCAATGGTGGTAGTGGAGAAAACATGGCTAACAGTGGAGATGATGGAAATGGAAATCGTGAAAATGGAAGTGGTGGAAACGGCAGAAATGGAAAAAATGAGGATTTCGATGATGAGAATCAGAGGGATAATGAAGATAAGGAAGATGAAGAGGAAAGGAAAGAGGACAAGAATAAAAATAATGAAAATAACATGACAGAAGATTTTGGAAGCAGCATGAATAACATGTGCATGAGGACCAATGATACAGAAATGGATTGTGTCAGAAACGTGAACACAACCGTTAATCAAGATTTAGATATAGATGAGCGGAGTGGAGATCACGTGATGGATAACATGGAGAATAGTGAACATAACGAAATTTTAGATCAAAAAAAAGTAATAACAAATGACCAAGGAGAAATGCTAATAGATGGTATCTGTAGAAATAGCATTGGCGATAATAACCGTAATTGCAAGGGAGACGATGGATCTCTAAATTTTTCCCTACAGAATAAGATTCTAATGCAAAACATCGACAGTGGTAGTATAAACAACACAACGGCAAGTGCTGAAGGAACGATTTCCCAAAGTGGGAACCCATTGATAGGGAATAAGAATACAAATATGAATGATTTAAGCACTGTTATAGGAAACACCAATATGAGTTGTACTGACAATAAAGCTTTTATATCGAACACACAAATGATGTATATAAACAATCCCAATGATTCATATAACTCGTGGGGTAGTAACAAAGGATTGAAGTTGAACAAAACGAATGATGTGAATTGTACGAGTGAGAGTGGAAGAACGAAGAGAATAAATTTTAAAGAAATGAATGAAGATTTGTCTGGAGATACGCAAAAAAAAGATAAAGGAAAAACTGAAATAGTGGAAAATTCATTAAAAAATGAAGATATTAATTGTCTAAGCAATGGTATTAATATGAACAGCAACAATATGAATATATATCATCCACATGGAATGAATAACGTGAATCCATTTTTAAATAGTAACATGAATCGAATGAACAATTTTAATTTCATGAAAGGCATTAATAACCAATACAACACCATGAACATGCAATCGATCATGAATGTCGGTGCAAATTCCTACAATTTCCACATGGCTCCTCCTCAGCCTTATCTCAATATGAATATGATTAATTCTGTTGGCATCATGGGTGGAACTGTTACTAATGGACCTAGTGCCGGGGGTTCCTTTATGTCGAATGGTCCCATGGGTGAGATGCACGCAGGGATGATGAGCGGTATGGCAAGCGGTATGACAAGCGGTATGGCAAGCGGTATGACAAGCGGTATGGCTAGCGGTATGGCTAGCGGCATGGCAAGCGGTATGCCAAGCGGTATGGCTAGCGGCATGGTAAATGGCGTGGATAACGGCTTCTCTAACAACTTCACAAACGATTTCTCAAACAACTTGGACAATGGAAGGGGTAGCTCCCATGTGAGTAACCTTTTTATGACAGACCAGAGTAGGGGATCAGGTGGAACGCACGCACTCGGATTGAAGAACGCAAAAAGTGTTAACCCAAATGAGTGTGAAAATGGTAAAAAAATGGGTACCAACAACAACAACGGCTCCAGCAGCAACAGCAACAACAATAACAATAACAACAATTATTCGAACAACTGTTCGAGCAACTGTTCGAAGAACAGCAGAAATGCAAACAAAATGAATAGTAATAATGAGAATGGGAAAAATGGAATAAAAAATTTAAAAATGGAAGATATAAATTTTAACGAAAATATAAATTTGAAAAATATTGATGGCCTTGATTTAAGCATAAATTTTGTAAATGGAAAATACTGTTCCAAATTACAATCTAATGAAAAAATTTACAACATTGTTCATTACATTGTTAAAAATTCCTTAGTTGATTATCTGCTTGATTTCTACAATAACGACAGTTTCATATATAGAGAAAAATCTGATTACTCAGCTGATAACAGCAGCACAGAAAATAACAATGTCAAGAGCGCTCACATTGAAGCCGCTGGTAATTCTGCAGTTGATAGTACCACGATAGAGACTAAAGGCCTTGATCAACTGAAGGGTAGAAGCTCTTCTGATGGGCAGAGTCAAGAAATGGAAAATGTTATGAATGTAAGGGATGGAGATGGGGGTGATAATGTGGGTGGAAATGGTGAAGTGAGTGGAAGTGGTAATGTGAATCGAGATGGTGATGAAAATGAAGAAACGAAGGAAAAGCAAGTACACGAGCAAGGAAAAGAAGAAAATAACGAGAACACCATTGAATCAGATGCCAAGAAAGGCTATTATGTTGATCCAGATGATTCAGCAAAAGGACAAATAGAACCGCAAGATGAACATGTGGATGGCACACAGGAGAAGAAGGAAGAAAACAAGGAGGAAAAGGAGGAAGAAAACAAGGAGGAAAAGGAGAAAGAAAACAAGGAGGAAAAGGAGGAAGAAAACAAGGAGGAGAAAAAGGACGATATTTTGATTAGTAAAAGTGGAGAAAATGATATGGATGAAAGTAACAAATCTATCTTGATAGAAATAACGAAAAGCATATGTTCAATAATAAATCTACAACAACTTGCTCCTGTTAGTACCAGGTTAAGTAACCCTAATTTAATATACGATCCAAATTATGAAATTATTTATGGCAAATGGAAAAATTTTTTGCGGAAAGAACAATCTAGTGGTAAAGTAATCAGCATGTGTTTTTCGAGGGATTTTTTGTACACAATTTTGTTGTGTAATTATGTCACCATAATTGAAGACTTAAAAAAAACTGCGGTAAAAAAAAAATTAAAATATTTCTTTCTTCATCTTTGCTTGGAATCTGGTCTTGCCATCAATATCTCCTTGATGTTGTTCATCAATGCCACGAAGCAGAGTAACAAGCTTCAGGTAAGGAGAATCATGAAATGCAGAACCTTTTCTTTTTGCACTGCAATAATATTCACCTTGCCTTTGTGTATGTCGGGCATTGTACACACGTTTCAGTTTCTAGTATACTTCACAACACATGAGATTCGTGTATATGATTCGTGCATATGATTCGTGCATATGATTCGTGCATATGATTCACTCATATAACGTTATGTCACCCTTACTCGCTCCCCCCCCCCTGAACCCCACACAGTCGCTTCTACCATCGGAAACAGGATTGGGATACCTACACAGAGACGCAGGAGGAGCCAAGGAAGAAAACATGGGAATAATAACCTTCGAGTGCATAACAAATGATAGAGAACCGGATCACATGATTAAACTGATAACGCTAAAAAATATTTTTTCAAGACAACTACCAAAGATGCCACGAGAGTATATAGTCAGACTTGTATTTGATAGAAATCATTACACATTTTGTTTATTAAAAAAAAATACAGTAATTGGAGGAGTATGTTTTAGACCCTATTTTGAACAAAGATTTGCAGAAATAGCATTTTTAGCTGTTACATCAACCGAACAGGTTAAGGGATATGGAACAAGACTCATGAACCATTTGAAAGAACATGTTAAAAAATTCGGTATCGAATACTTCTTAACATATGCAGGTATGTATGCTTTATCATGATTATTTTATGTTTTTCAACCATTGAAAAGAACCACATCTGGTTCGAAAAACACAGTGCATGATGTGGGCCTTCTCACGCTACGGGTTCAACGTGTGCGACGCGACGTCTTGTCAGTGATTCCATCTATATTTGCATCTCACAAAATAGGTCTTCCATCAGATCTTCCATTAGATCTTCCAATGGGTTTCCGAATAAGTTTACCAATTGATCTTCAAATATGTCTTCTAACACACCTTATGACACAAACACACACACCCTTCCTCCTCCTCCCCACGCGTAGACAATTTCGCCATCGGTTACTTCAGAAAACAAGGATTTTCACAAAAAATTTCAATGCCAAAGGAACGATGGTTTGGGTACATCAAGGACTACGATGGAGGAACCTTAATGGAATGCTACATATTTCCTAACATAAATTATTTAAGACTTTCAGAAATGTTATATGAACAGAAGAAGACGGTTAAAAAGGCAATTCATTTTATTAAACCACAAGTAATTTATAAGGGATTAAATTATTTTGTAGAAAATAAAGGAATGAATAATGTCATACACCCTAGTAATATTCCAGGGTTGTTAGAAGTTGGATGGAAAAAGGAGGTTAAAGAAATTTCAAAAAAAATTCATAATAAGGAAGTACAATTAAAGGATCAAATTTTAAGTGTTCTAGACTTTTTAGAAAAGCAGCAATCAGCTTGGCCTTTTCTTAAACCTGTTAGTTTATCCGAGGCCCCGGATTATTACGACATTATAAAAGAACCAACTGACATATTGACAATGAGGAGAAAGGCTAGACATGTACGTTACTTGACTCCCTTCCCACATGACTTGACGCATTGCATATCTGTTTAATGAGCTGACGATTGGCGTTCCGCGTGCGAAGTATAAATGTATATATATACAAATATACATATATTTATGTACATGTATTTTTTTTTTTTTTTTTTTTTTCACATCAGGGTGAATACAAAACGAAGGAAGATTTCGGAATCGAACTCAAGAGGATGTTTGACAATTGTCGATTGTATAACGCACCAACAACCATATACTTCAAGTATGCTAATGAGCTACAGGCTCTTATATGGCCCAAGTATGAATGCATAAGTGATGGGGGAAGATAAAATTCTTATACACAAATAATTTTTAATAAAAAAAAAGTAATAAAATATATATGTGGCTAAAGGGGGGGAGAAGAACAGGTTGTAATAAGCATTTGTACAAGAGTGAAAATCATAGATTTGGTTAAACGCAAGAGATGAGATCTGCGTGTTTACGTTTCGCTAGTCGGGTGCTTAAGGATGAGATAGAGTGGTACCTAATTAATCCAAGATCATAACAACTAGGGGTTCCTTGGTTACCCTGTGCAAGTTGCATATATATATATATATATATATATATATTTGTATAGATGAATGAATATATACATGCCTCCACATCCCCATATTTATACAGATTTACTTAAGTATATATTTACGCTGAGAAGGACGGTGGTGTTCCTTCCGCTACACATGTTACACTTTTCATTTATATCACATTTATCTAGCCTATCACGTTTATTATTCTTTTTTTTTTTTTTTTTTTTTTTTTTTTATATTTCCTTTTTAATACACCCACCTGCTTCTGACTCATTATTTAACTCTAAGTTACTCGTACATATATTGGAGCTGATGTTCGTCCCAATGTATCACGTCTTTTTTTTTTTTTTCTTTTTTTTTTTCATTTACTGATGTTTCGTTTTTCCATGTTGTATATACTGAAGACATTCCGCAATCATGACAGCCTTTTTTTTTTTTTTTTTTTTTTTTTTTTTTTTTTTTTTTTTTTTTTTTTTTTTTTTTTTTTTTTTTTTATTTTTTTTTTTTTTTTTTTAAAATTTTTTTAAAAAAAGCGGAAAAAAAAAAAAAAAAAAAAAAAAAAAAAAAAAAAAAATATGTTTACATTTTTTATTTTACCTCAATTTTTAACACAAAAAAAAAAAAAAAAAAAAACTAAAGTTAGCATTCAAAATGTTTCAAAACGGATTTGTAGTCAAACATAAAAGACTTGTATATTATATTTAATTTGCAACGCTATTTTCTTTTTTCTCTTCATTATTTTCTCCCCCCCTTATTTTAAGTGTCTTTTTTTCCTATAACAATACTTTTGGTAATAAAACCTTTCATTTGGACCCTTCAGAATGTTCGAACTTATTCTTCCAATGATTCCCAAAAATGGCTACTAATTGTACAAGCCCCAGTGCACGAACTCATAATTCCTTTGCGTGCATGTTTTTGACAACTCTTTAAAGTAAATTGTTAAGGAAGATTGGAGAACTGTAATTTGGGTATGCATGCTGTGGAACTGTGTGCATGTACTTTTACATGTGCAAGAATACAAGTTATCTTGAGATAACTGACACTCTTTGCTTATTCATAAAAATCTATAAAAAAAAAAAAAAATTGTTATGAGAGAACGTGGGGGATTAAATTTACATTTCGAGGGGGCATATATTTATATGCCACCACCACCACCCCAAAAAATATTCCAAGAAAGATTATTACATAATCGTTAAAAAGGAAAAAATAATTAAAAATAATTAAGAAAAAAAAAAAAAAAGATAAAGAAAGGGGAAATAAAATCAAACAAAAATCAGTAGACGAAAAAAGAATAACTTGACTTGTTGACTGGAAAAAATACAAGTGCCATAATTTGGAACCAACATATTTGGAGAAGTGAGAGGTAGTGTTTTCACGTAGAATCTGTAATTATGAGAAAGACTTACAAGAACATATGGAAATTAATTACACAGTTTTTTGCATGCCATCTAATTTTTTGTATAAATTAAAGTCTATTTTGCAGATACCCGTGCTGCAGATTAGACATATTGAAAGAAATGTGAGTTTTTTTTTTTTTTTTTTTTTTTTTCTGCACAATTTAACAAAACACTTTGCGACAGTTTTTATTTTGTCTAGAATATAACTTTTACTAGATAGGAAAAGTATTAGTACTTGTGTATGTATGCATATATGTTGACGCAAGGAGGGAGGGGTAAAAACAGATGCACATGAGAAGGGCACGCATTCTTAGATATTCTCAAATATGAGATGGAATGGAGATCAAAAGTAATAAAATAATAATGTAAAATAAAGTAATAAAACATATGTATATATGCAAGAGAAATCGATAGAAGAAGTTGGGGGTTTACTGGATGTGCAAGAAAAAAAAAAAAAAAAAAAAAAAAAAAAAAAAACATGTTTCATTTATATGAACTATTAATGTTCTTTTTAAGACATCCAAGAGACAAATATAATGAAGAGTTTTTAGGTCCAATTTTTCTACATTTTTATGATAAAAATTATTATAGAAGAGACTTAATAATAAATAATAGAAGAGGGGAAAAACTCAAGTGTTGTTTTTTTACTCCTTTTAATTATAATGAAAATACACCTTGTGTTATTTACACTCATTCGAGTTGTAGCTGTCAACTGGAGGTCTTGGATATATTACATATTCTCTTTGTATGCGAGTGTTCTATTTTTTCGTATGATTGTTCAGGATGTGGATTGTCTGACGGGTACTTCTCCACAAGTGGTTGGAATGAGTCACAAGATCTATTTTTAATATTGCACCATCTACGAAATGTAGAGAATATAAAAAATTTTGCACTTTGGGGAAAATATTCTGGTGCAGTGAGTTCTATAATTACGGCTTCCCTCGATGTAAACATCAAATTGCTGGTAAGACGTACCCAATTAGGTGATGCACAGTGAAGATCATTACCCAACTCACTGGTGAACCGAACCGGTCAAGATCAACATCTACGAGGCAACATCTAAGTGACACCAATTTAAGGGGGTTGTCTAATATAATCGATTGGTTTATTCCATACCTCCTCACCCATGCATCTGAACACATATCTATTAATTCATACCACCTCACCCCGTATCACCACTACTCCTTTTGCTTAACAGATCCTGGACTCTCCCTATGTGTCCTTGGCTGAGCTATACAAGACGACTTTCCACTTAGGAGAAAAAGGAAAGGGAGAGATAATTTTTAAAAATATGTGCTTATATTTTGCTAGAAGAAGAATAAAAAAAAAATTCAACTATGACATAGATAATATATGTCCAATATTTTTCATCGAAAATGTAACTATCCCTACAGTTTATATAATTTCAAGAAATGACAAATTTGTGCATCCAGCTCATACTTTATATCTAGCATATAAACAGCATAGCTCAAGAAAAATTATTTATATATGTGAAAAGGCAACACATTCATATGAATCTTTTTCTTATGAAAATAAATTAACAGCAGCTATTAAGTCTGTGTTATTTGGTACACTAGGAGATATAAAAAATATATTTAATGTGTATACATACACTAAAGTTTTTAATGAATTGATGGAAAAATATGCTTACGAATTTCATTTTATTGATTCCTTAATAAATAAAAAATTATGCAAAAAAAATAAAATAATAGACGAGGTGAAAAAATTTATATACTTTAAATACCAGTCTAAGATTTCTCTTGCTTCGTCTAGCTTCAAGTAAGTCATTCCGAGGGAGAAAGCAAACATAAAAATAAACCATGTATATACATTAGAGAGACTTCCACAAAAAATAAAATAAATAAATTGCGCAGCAAAAATAGAAAGAACAAATACATAGACATGCTTCAACTTCTACTAATATGTAAATCGAGCTGTAATCATTCTATTGTATATATGCCTATGGAAGGGGAAGAAAGTGGCAAGAAGAGGCAAAAAATTGTTCACCATTATTAAAATTATTAGAATGGAAAATCCATATAAATCAAGGAGTTTTAAAATTCATTACTCATTATTCACACTATTTTTTTTTTTTTTTTTTTAAACCCATTTAGCCTATCTACTATCGATTCCATTCGTGGCACAAATACAAGTATGATTTTTCTTCTCTTTTAGAAAAAATCTTTATACACCACCATTACTTAAAATCCTTTGTCTAAATGTACGTATCTGCCATATTTAATTAATTGAGGAATAATACTCAACCTAATTTGAGCTTCTTTGTTTGTTTCACTTTTATGTTACCTATATTGTTATACCCTACTTTCACCCCTCATCACAATCACCAATATGAACAGGAGAAAGTGATTACATGCAGTACGAGTTATCAAGGAATACCATATCTGGAAAGTACAGTGGGTTAAAAGAAGAACAAAATGGACAAGATGATCATCACGCGTTAAGCGAGGAAAATGGCGGATGTGATGAGAACGAAATGACTGATGAATATGAGTACCCATTTCACGACGTTAATGACATAATAATGAGTAATCCAGATGACTTGACAAAAAAGTCCCCCTTCAAAAGCTACGACATGAATAATGTATCTAAGTTCAACCAAATATACCATGAAAGTGAAGACAACCATGGAAAATTTAAAATATTTCACATGCAAAGTGCGAGAAGTTCACTGAAATCAAGTAAGAAAATGAAAAAAAAAAAAAAAAAAAAAAAAAAATTTACATACATGAGACGCGGGTCTCAAAATAGACCAAATTAAAAATCCCTAAAATTTATACACAATCTAACTTATATATATTAAGAATAATCTTCAGTGATTTATTAAATTCATGTAGTACATATTTCTCACTAGATATACTGAACTTTCCCCCTCCCCTCCCATAACTTTTTTTTGTTTTTCTTTCAACAGAAAAAAACACATATAAGAAATCCTTAACATGGGATAGCAAATTGCAGAGCTCGGTTACATACTTTAAGGGAGATTACCCCTTTAAACTGCAAAAAAATTAACAGTTTCACGTTATTTTAATTGTGTACCATTCCTAATATTTTCGGTATGCTACAATTAAGTACATATGTACATAATGTTAAAATGAAAGCAGATAAAAATTTTTTTTTTTTTTCCTATGTTTAGACGACCCGACACACCCCATATGCATGACATTTTTTAACCTGTTCACCTTTTCTTTCTACGCATAAAAAACGTTAATAAAAGTTTTTATTTTATTAAAAATATCTATCATTAGTTAAATTTACAAAAATAATGATTTATATTTTTAAGTATTTGTGTATATACTTTAAACTAGAACAATTCGTTATATATCACCTCGTATGAAGGTGTGTAACCTTGGTATATGTATTTATACACTATTGTATTTAGAACAATAGTTAGAGTTATGGTTATTTTATTATTATTTTTTTTTTTTTTTCTGTTCGCATGTCTCACTCCAATGTAGACTTCAACAACCTTTTCAAAAAAAAAAAAAAAATAAAAGGAGGACAAAAATATAAGTACAAAAGCATGTATATTATTAAATAGATTCCCTATTTTAACATATCAACCTAGGTTTTTAAGTAATGTAATAAAGGAATAATTAGCAACATGTTGTGATTTCAATGTATACATAATAACATGGAGAATGCATCTAAAATTTTTTTTTTTTTTTTTTTTGCATTTTTTCAGAAAAGTGATAATGTAACGGAAGAGGCAAAACTGTGCGTATGCCCCTTTTCCACTATTTAAATGTTTCATATTTGTTAGAATTGTTTAAGAATGTATGAAAAGTTTTATGATTTCATCTTGCTTATCGAACAAATAATAAAAACAGGAAATATCGTTTACCCACATGATGATTGGGTGAGAAAGGGGGGGGGGAAAAACAAATGTATCATGACAAAACATGGAAAAATAATAAACAAAATTATGCTGAAAAGACAAAATGGTAAGTTTTGGTGTATCGACAAAATGGCACACAATAACACAGTGTAGAAACCTGTAAAAGCCTGAAAATGTGCATACATTCTTTACTGAAACAAGAATTTTTCCTAGAAAAAAATAATGCATATGGGAGAGCGCATAAGACACAACTGAACTATCCTTTATATATCATACAAGCGCCAGATTTTTATGAAAAGGGAATCGATATATGTATACATGTTGACAAATATACTTCTATGCGATCATTCCCCACCACAACACTTGTTCATAAAGTTACAAAATCCTGATTTAAACTTTCGCTCTTTTGGAACATATTCTAAAATGGTGGCAGGACGGACGGATACAATTGCATTTCCATTGCTATTTGCATAGGATGGCATAAAATTCAATTTATTTCTTCCCGGTTTGCTTCCACCTGACTGATTCCTACGCTCATTCTGTGATGAAACATAATTTTCCTTATAAACATGCATGTTTGATGGAGTATGAAGTGTATGTTGTTCCGTTTCCATATGATCCTTCAAATTTGTGCAATAGCTTAGTTGGTTCACATTTTCTTCTATCGATTTGGAAATATCTGGTTTGGAGTTATTTAAAGATCCTCCTCTTATTAATTGCTCGTTAATTAATTCGTTCATATTATATTCGTTGTACCTGTTGATTGAATTATTATAGTTAAAGACGTGATTATTATTCATGACATACATATTGCTGCTATCCATGTTGTTCCCCATACTGCTACTATCTAATATTTTACCACTCCTTTCGACTGATATTGGATTTAAAGATACATTATAACTGCTTTCCACTGAATTCACATACCCTGGTTCTAATGATTCACGCAACTCTTCCTTTGTCGTGGGAAGATGTACGCTAACGTGCGTTACGCTAGATTTTTTATGTCGATTATCTGTGTTGTAATAATTGTTTTCCATTCGATTTTGCATGTAATTCTTTAAGTTACTTTCTTCGTTAAGTAGTCTTTCCACAAATGATGCATTTTTTTCGTTCGATATACATCCCTCCTCGTTCATTACATTTTCTTCGTTTGATGTACTTCTCTCGTTAAGTATGTTTTCCTCATTCGATACATTTCCCTTATCCGGTATGCCTTCGGCACTAACCATTCGTCCCCCCTTTTCCAAAATTTGTTCATAATGAATATCATCATCATGGGTAGCGTCATTATACATCGTTTCGTTTTTATGCTGTAAATTTCTTTCATAGTTATCTTCATCCGATTCGATGCTATCACCATAGTGACCACTTTCATTTTTCCTTTTAATTTTCTCTATTTCGAAGGAAGGGGACACTCTCATGTGTGAATATACAGCAGGAGAAGAGTTATTCTGAGATTCCATATTTCTATATGTTTCTTTATTGTAAATATCCTGATTTTCATTCATTACGTTTACTGTGTAAAAATTGTTGCTTCCGGAATTATTCCTTTGTATGTGTAAAATATTCTGTTCATACTCATTTTTGGTATTATTTATATTTATTTCTTTTTTTTTCATTTCGCAAATTGAAGGAATTTCTATCGTATCAATTAAAGTTTCTTTTTCTATTCTTTTTACTTTAAGAACAGGAACAACGCGCTCAATTATTAAAGGAACTTTCTTTTCTATTATATTTTCCTTATGAATGTAAACAGGTATTTCTACAATTTTATTTCTATATTCTATTTTGGGAATATGCACAATTTTTTCTTTTTCTACTAATTTGGGCTCATATTTAATTTTGTCTAAATATATCGGTTTTGATATGTGCTTTGTCTTGTATGTTATTATTGGTTTTATAACGTCTACATATTTGTTTACGTACTTTATTTCTTCTTTTTCTATGATTTTTTCTACATACTGGGTTACAGGTACTTTAACCACCTTTTCTTGACGTATGGGCTTTAGGATTTTGTTCCCAAGGTTTTTTGAATGCTCAAAGGTATAAGGGACGTTCATTATATGTGCATTTTCCATGTTATTTTTCATTTTGATTACATAAATGTGTAAATGTTAGGGTAGGGAAAAAAATGTAAAGGTGTGTGTATATATATGTGTATAACTAGCTTCTGGAATGTATTATATTGCTTTTTATTTGAGGAGGAACAGGATATATGAACTAAAATTATAAGTATCAAATATTTTTATGCAACAGGAGCATATTACTAATTGTTAAGACAGTTGACAAAAGCGAAAAATGTAAAGGGGGACTCATAAAAATACACAAGTATATAAGGATAAGGGATTGAAATTGTTTTATCCATGTGTGCCTCACACACAAAGGAGTGAATATGTACTTATACAAAAAGGTGTTTAATTAAATTGGCTCCTTTATAAAATGGCAGAGAAACAAAAAAATCATTAAAAACAAGACAATATTAAGGAAAAAAATCATATAAATACACTACAAATGTATCACACAGTGCTTTGCGTAAAAAAATGACAAATTGTGTGTCTGAATATGTTACAGAATAAAAAGAGGTCAAGTGATGATATAAGACAGTGGAGATAATTTAAATAAAAATTAAATGAAATATATTCTCTCACCATTAAAAGTAATTTTTTTTATTTCTCTTATTTTGTTTTGTTACTTTTTTTTTTTTTTTATATTACCATTACATATGTTTGTATGAATGTTTTTTTTTTTTTTTTTTTTTTTTTTTTATATATTTAAATAAAAACTTTTTTTTTTTTTAAAAAATATAAAATTTTAGTTTAAACCCCCCAAAAAAAAAAAAAAAAAAAAAATATACACATGCTCACCATATTAGCTACCTAAAACGCTATTTATTTCGAAATGAATATTTACATTGTGCTAACAAAATAGTCTATATCCAGGTTGGTGCATTAAACCAAACTCGCAGCTGTGGAAAATAAGCTGCATTAACTTTTCATAGGGACATTAAAATTTGTTGTGCCCCCTTTTAGATACTTTTTGGCGTCAAAAAAAAAAAAAAAAAAAAAAAAAAAAACATATATTGATCATATTGATAATTTATATAAAAATAGGCAACTCTTCTTTTATTTAGAAAAATTAAAAATAGGCTAAATTAAATTGAAAATTGGAGTTTTCACCTAAGTTTTTATAATTCCCAATGTTTTATGGAATGCGTATGTTAAATTCTTTTTTTTTTTTTTTTTTTACAACTTGTTAGCATGCATGTTAACTTTTTTTTTTTTTTTTTTTTTTTTTTTTTATTAAAATATACAGATAGCTATTTTAAAAAAAAAAATTATAATATAGCTTTTTTTACAAAATTTTATAGAATATATCATGCTACCGATAAACGTAATTGTTTCTATGTTTCTCTACTCCTTATGCTCTTTAACTTAATAACCTTGTTCTGGAAATGTTCATCTGTTGATATTATCAACAATAAATACAGGGGGAATTTTAAAGAAAAATTCTGCATATGTCATTTGAAACCTTTACCTTTGCATTATAAATAGTTCTTATAGAGTGTGCAAAGTTAACTGCTAATTCCTTGAGCAATGTACTCTGTAAAGCTGTTTCTTTTTCTCTTTCGTTCTCCATTTTGATAACTATTTTTTTTTCATTTTTTACTTCATCTAGCTCATGCAATGAAGTGTAATCATCGTGTCGCATGCCACAGGATAATAGATATTTCAAAAAATTGTTGTCAATGTTGAAATTTAAAGCCATCCCATGCATAGATATGTATTTTCTTATTTTCACACCGACTGATATAAGCTTTTTATCTTTGTGAAAAACTCCGATTGAACCTTCTTTGGTGTGTGCATTTATTTTAAACTTTTCCAAAGTTTTAACTCCAATTTTCTGGAAATTATTTATTGTTTTATGTAAGTCAAACGAGTGTTCTGTCTTTTTGATATCGTTCGTATCCAGTTCATCGGGTAATGTGTATTTGTTATATCCTTCCATATTAATGTCTCCTTTTTCGTAATCATAATTGTGTTTGGGCTGATGGACAATGTCCCTTTCACTATAATTAGAGGTATAGTTTTTTAAATCTAAAATAAAATATAGGACTAGTTGTCCAGGTCCATGATATGTTGCTTTTCCTCCTCTGTTAATGCGATATATTGGTATTTTTGTTTTATTTATATTTTGTGAAAAGTTCTCAAAATAATTTTTTTTTTCATTATAAGTTTCGCACTTTTCTATTTCGTTTTTAATACATTCGTATTTATTAACAAATTGAATAACATCGCTTGATACGAAGTTGTTATTGATATCTCCTAACTCCTCTACAAAATAACTTTTTTTATCCAAAAGAATATCATTCAAGTGCGCTGAGCTTCCTAAGGTGTAACAGGGAGTATGTTGAAGCATAAAGCAGAAATCATATTTTTTGAGATTTTTTTCAAACTTTTTAATTTTACTGCATTCCGAATTGTTGGAAAAAGTATGTATCTTATTTTCATGTTTTAAAATAATTTTGGATTGATGTAAAATGTGTTGCAGTTCAAAGGCTAATTTATAATTTATAAGTTTTTCGCTTAAGTCAAAAATGAAAATTTTATTTGTTAAATGCACTTTTTGTATGTTGTGTTTTTTCTTTAAGAATTTGTTAGGGGATTGGACAAAAGATTTTCTGTGTTTCCTATATTTCACACCCTGCAGATGCACACACACTATGCTTAGGATTTTTTTTTCATTCTTTAATCTTTTCGTAAAGCAAAGAACCATAATGGTTAGAGTAACCTGTACGAAAAGGAGTTTTTTAATCATTTAAATAGAAGGGGGGATGGTGTGAATCTAAGCGTTATTCGTTGATACTTTCATCGATGGTCTCGGTACAAAATAAATTTGTAAATTTATAAATTATGTGTATATGTAACAACGTAAGCAAATTTATTTGTTTTTTAATTCATTAGCAACCAGTTGGATGGGATAACTTTTTTTCATTTTTTTTTTTTTTTTCCTCAATAAATCAGCGATCAATCGAATTAACAACAAAAATGGGGTTTCTATATTTCTTACAAAGTTATGGGCACCCATAAAGTGATAATAAGTGTGTCGTAATGCCATTATCCATATTCCATTTGTAGAAATATATCGTGTTCTTTCGAAAAAGGAAAAAAAAAAAAAAAAAAAAGTTAAATGTTTTTTCAAAAAACATTTCGTCGAAAAAAAAGTTGACATCAATATGACCAAAAATTGTAAATAACACAACGTGTGGGGTCTACTCTTATGTTTTTTTTTTTTTTTTATATCAAAATAATAGTCATTTTTTTTGTAATCTTTTGCTTTTTCTTCAAATTGTTCCAAAGATAGATTTTTTTGTGAAATGAATTCGTGTTTAGTTTTATTTAATTAAAAAAAAAAAAAAAATGTATGGAAAAATGTGTAAAAAGATAACATATACTAATAAATTTTAAAGTGAAATTGTGTTTAAGGAAATTAAAAAAAATATGCAGCTCGAGTATTATACAATGGCCACACAAAAGGAACATATTGGGATAATTAAAATGGAATGGATTAAAACTAAAGAAAAAAAAACAAAACAAAATAAAACACCATGGGTTGCGGAATAACAAGTTATAAAATTCGAATATTTCACATAAGCATGTCTACAACCCATTCACCTAAGAATGTGTTCTTTGTAATGAAGCAAAGAAGGAGTTTCCTCCAGTAACACCCATTTCAGCCGATTAATATTTTCGGAATTAATTTAAAGGGGTTCGTCGTAAATTCATCATTGTAGTAAAGTCCATATCCAAATATGAAGGGTGTGAAGCAGTAAAATAGGAGTGGCCTTATGATGTAATCACACAGATGAACTGATAGGGTATATGCCTGAAAAAAAGTTGAGGTAGTAATGGTAGCAAATAATGATGCAAAGTTCATGATGCATTATGGAAAAATGGGTACGCACAATGTTAACATTATTTTGCATATATATGGGAATGCAATTTGGAATAGAAGTATGATTGAAAGAATGGAAACAGTGATACACAGAAATATTTTCTCAATCATTTTTTCTGCACTGTGTAATTTATGCAGCATTAGAAAGAAAAGAAAAATTATTATTCTTTCAGTCCGCTTGTGTGTGCTTTGGTGGAATATATATATATATATATATATGTTCATATACATATTGTTTTACCTTGTTAATTAGTTTGGCGGATAGGGAGTTATCGTTACCCTTTCCTTTTATGGATTCCTGTTTGTTAAAATTCATCATTCTTAGGCTGGAGCAGAGAAGTCAATTCAACACAAACTGTGGCCTGATATTATGGCTTTACTTTGTGGTGGTACGTTTGAAAGTTTACGATGATAGAAAAAAAAAAAAAAAAGCAGAAAATAAATAAACATATAAAATAGAAAGCACTTGTTTTGCTTCTTTTCTTTTCACTTCCTTTCGTTTTTGTGTTGCCTATTTCTTTACTCTTTTTATTTTATTTTATTTACTTTTTAATTGCAAAAGTGACAACTTGCTATCAGATGGCTTTTCTCATCAGTTAATTGATAAAAATCATAATATGGGTTTGTACGAATTAGTGTAACTTCATTAAATTGTGGTTTCATCAAATAAAGCGTGGAACACTTCTCATCTAATAGGATTAATCAAAGCACTTGCTCATAGGTCGAGCAAAACGAAAAAAAAAAATTTTTTTCTTTTTTTTTTTTCCAAAAGGCTAAGTGTTACGACGTAAAGTGATATAAAAAAAAAGTGGTGTTTTTTCGTATGACCATTATTTGTTTCGTAGGTCCCATTTGAAAAGGAAAAAAAAAAAAAAAAAATATTATTTTGACAATTTTTAATATAAAAGTCGGAAGAAAAAAAAATAAAAATACGGCGTGTGAGATTGGCTAATGAAATAAGGAAAAAAAAAAAAAAAAAAAAAAAAAAAAAAAAAAAAGGGGGGTGAAATTGGCTAATGAAAAAGAAAAAAAAAAAAAAAAAAAAAAAAAAAAAAGGAAATTCAGTTAAAAGAACAAGCATATTTAAAAATTTCAAAAAGCACGAAACGCATGAAAAATAGTTATGTAACCTTATCATGGGGGGGTGGGGGAAATTGTGTTTTTTAAGATTTCACCGCGCTTTAATCCAACCAAAAGGCAGTGATGCAAATGTATTTATTTTTATTTTATTTTATTTTATTTTTTTTTTTTTTGCCATTTACGAATTAGTCTTAAACATGCCTTATTTTATTTTGCCACATTTACACATGTCAATAATTATATGTGCATTTTTTACATGTGTATACTAACCCTTCCTTATTTTATTTGTAAAGGGGAATACACAGAAGAATTAGCTCGCTGTGTGTTTGTGAAATATTTAAGAGTCTTTAGTGTTTCGTCTTGTTTCACTGCGGTTGCATTTACGTATTAGGCTATTTGTAAATCCCCCTTTTTGAGTTTTTTTTTTTTTTTTTTTTTTTTTTTTTTCTTTCGCACGATTTTGCAAAAGAAACGCGGCTAAAAAAGTGACCTCCATGTGTACACACAAAAACAGACGCCAAAAATAATACTAAAGTTAAAGGTAACAATAACAAACGCTGACAATAACACTAAAGTTAACAGTAGCGCTAAGACGAACGCAAGCTTTCCTGGTGAACACTTGATACCGAGCGAAAAGATGAAACGCATGTCATCGTACGACACGGGAGCAGAGTCATCGGACCTGAGTTTAGACAGCCAGAAGGGGAAATCTAAGGGAAAAGGAAAGAATGCTAAGAATGGGGTTGAATACAATGAGGAGAAGGAAAATAAAAAAAACGACCAGAAGAAAAAAAGGGATCACAAAGATAAGAAAAAGAATGAACATTCTGAAAAAAGAAACCAAGAAGGTAATAACAATAATAAGAACGTGAAAAACAATCAGAAAAATGCTGTCGATATGTATAAAAGTAAACTAAAATTCTTATTCGATAACATAATTATAATAGGAATTATTTTATCCTTTATGACATTGATATCGTTTAAATATTTGGAAGAAAAATATTCAATGGAATCTTATTTCGAAGATGGGGATTCTTTTGATTATTATGAAGTGTTAAAATGTAAAAGAGGAGATAGTATACATAAAATAAAAAAAAGTTATCGAGATTTGTCTAAATTGTATCATCCAGATAGTAATAAAAATTGTAAAGATTGTGATAAAAAGTTTAGAGATATTACAAAAGCATATAAAACATTATCTGATCCAAGGTTAAAAAAAGCATATGACAATTCAAAAGGAAAAGTGTTAAAATTGATTGAATCGAATAGTATAAATTTGAGCATGAAAAATTTTACCGATTTCGTAGAAAATTCAAATGACTATTGGCTTATACAAATATATTCTGATACAGATCATCTTTCTTTGAATTTTTCGAATATATGGGAAGAAGCATTTGATAAATATCATGAGTACATTTCATTTGGAAGAATAAATATATTAACAGATAAAAAATTAGTAAAAAATAAAATTCCATTTAATGTGAAAATTTATCCTACGATTTTTATTTTAGCTCCTGATGGAACTTACCAATTATATTCAAACATTTATAATGCCACATCTAAAGATTTTCAAAATTTTATTGTTAATAATTATCCAAGTTATATTTACAACATAGATGTATTTAATAAGGAATATTATGCTTTCGAGAGAAAAAAAGATCTTGTTAGTAAAAACGGATCCACACATATTGATAAAAATAACAAAGTTATACTCTTGTCAAACAAGAAGAAGTTAAGTCTCCAAGCTAAACACATTACACTCAAGTTTAATAACATCTACACAACTTATGCCATTAGATATAATGAAATTGACCTCATAACCAATGAACCACTCAAAAAGGAAATAATAGATGCTCTAAAAGTGCTAAGTGTTAAAAAAAATGAATATTTAAAAGAAAATGAAAGTATTGATTATTTCATACTCGTTAATAACAAAAGCCAAGTGAAAATTATAAGACGCATTTCAGCTACCAACATCAAAAATGTGTACAATGATGCATTACAAAAAAATTTAGTGGAAGTTAATTCCATAAATATAGATTCTGTGTGTTCAACTGTGGGTTCTAGACACACCTATTGCTATGTTACCATTATCGACAAATTGAATAATGAAACAACTTTGAATACTTTGAAAAAAATTTATCAATATATAAATAATTCCTATACAAGCTTTACATCTAAATCAAGTGCAGAATACATAGACAATCAGATGTTCATACAACCTGTATACGTTTTGAAATCCAGTATGACCAAAAATTTCTTCAAATTTGTAAAGGATAAATCTATCAACACGTATGATTCTTTCTTTCTTGATTACTCATCAAATACCTTTGCAACAATTAACGAGATAAAAAATTTAAGTAACTATTCCCAGAAAAAAGATGATTTATTTTTTCTCTCCAACATTTACAAGGATATAGAAATTTTAAATTTTGAAAAAATACCAAAATATTGCCTTCCTATGGGAATCAATTGCTTTTATAACACCAAGATAACCTTTTCATACAAACTTTATAACATTTTTAAGAAAACTTCAAAATCCCAAGTTATCTTGTCATCTATTGTAGGTTTTCTAATGTATCCTTCCTTTAAGCAATATGGGAAATTAAAGTATGCTTATTTGGCTGCCTCAGTAGGAGCCACTTTTCTTGTAACGAATTTGAAAGAGTTTTTCCTCCTCTTGGTAAGTTAATATTGAGAAGGCATTTCTCTCTTTGCTTTGTGAGGCATAATTCTCCTTTTTGTAACATATGTTTCATGTCATATTGTATGTAATTTTTTCTCATTCCATATTTTTCTTTTTTTTTTGTTTTCCACCAAATACAGGGTGTGTCTCACACACCCTCTATGTATATGCTATGGTTCGCTATGCAATTCCTATATTTGCATGACATCATTTTTTTTTTTTTTTTTTTTTTTTTTCTGCATTGCACCAGTTTTTATTCAATGTTAATTATTGTACATAATATGATGAAGACGTTGAACTATCACCTTTATGAAAAATATTAAATCATAAGCTTTTATGCATTTTTTTTTTTTCCTGATACATTTTTGAAACTGGATAATTTGAGCTTCGTTTTGGGGGGAGCGGGGGAAATGCTGGGCGAGGTTTAAATAACCCCAACTGGGAGTGATACACATATGTATATATATACACACACATATATCTGTATATATTTGTTCGTTCATTTGTTTGTACATACACTCACTTCCTTATCTCTGTGAACACTTCGCCTTCTGCTTTTTCTTATTTTATTTAAGAATTTAATGTCCCCTTTTTTAGGACATATTATTTCATAATCGGTAATTTTTTTTTTTTTTTTTTTTTCTTTTTTCCTCGCCCATCCTGTCCAATTTGACAAATTACCAGATGGGGTAAAAACATTGTGGCACCAAAAATGTGCAATTTATTTCTCTTCTGTTATCATTTCATATAGCTTGTTAAAAGCCGCTACCCATCCATGTACATATGTATGTACAGATAAGTAATCTTTTATATGGTCTCAAATGTGTTTTTGCTTTATAGTGTCTCATTTTGAAATGCATACTGTTAGCAAAGTGTTGAAAGCTGCAAGGAATTATCTTGAAAAATACAGTTGCTTCTCGATTGTGCCTTGCACCCTATCACGTTAATAATATCCATAATCCATAGATTTTTACATAATGTACAATTGAACCGAGGATGAATCATATTAATAGAAGTCCACTTTTGTCAGTAAGAAGAATTCTATACTTGGCCCCATGATGTGGAATTTCTTTTCTTTTTTTTTTTGAAATTCTTTAACTCCTTTGTGGATTTATTACGACAAATGTTTAGGAGAAACTAATTTAATGTATGCATTATTGTGTATTCGTTTAAGGAGCACGTGTAATGTTTTTGATGGTGGAGCAACTTTATGTACTTAAAAAATTTAGGATTATTAAAAATGTTCAAGTTGCTCCAATGTACCAATTTTAGGCATAATCATTGTTGCTATTACATATTTTTGCTTGTAAGTATTTATGTACATATTTGTTAACATGTGTTGGTAGGTATATTTGTATACATTTTCAATCTGCCATGGTCAGAATTCTTTTTTTTTTTTTTTTTTTTTTTTTTTTTTTTGAATCCCAAAATAATTTTATTGCCAGCACTGTTTTTCTCAGAACAGGAATTTTTCAAATATATTTCTCCTTTTTAACCCAACTAAAACTAATAAATTGATGATAATTCTTTTTTTTTTTTTTTTTCTTTTTCCTTTTTTTTTTACGATAACACTTTCCCTCTCTTCAAAAAAAAGGGACCTAATAAAGAACACTTCATAAATAAATCTAAGAAATGAACCTTTGAAAAAGGAACACGTTACCATATGGAATACCTGGAAGAAAAAAAAAACATTTTACTCAAATATGATAATTTCTTCCAGATCATTTAACGTACTGTTTAACATTTAACAGAATAAGAATTATAATTGTGCATATGTATATACAAAGGAGTTCATAAATTTTCAAGATATTGTACGGAACATTATTTGCGAAGGTGAGGATATATATCATCCTATAGAGGAATAGGAATACGACACGCACCTATATATGGAAGTCTGTATGTTCATATATATATATATACATACATACATACATACATACATACGTGTGTGTGTGTGTATGTGTATATGCATATTTATAGGTGCATACTTATGTAAATGCTCACATGCGGAAATTTTTTTCCTTCCACCACACCTGTCTGTTCAGGGATAATACTATGTAAGGTATGACAATATCGAGCGATCAATCTTATAATTATCCTTCACAAAATTCGCATGATTAAGGAGGAAAAGGTAAAGTGCTGAGTTGTATTTCCTTTGGGGGGACCTTTTAACTGAGTTTGTTTGATTGGCTATTTTTTTTTTTTTTTTTACTATTTTTATTGGGTTTGGGAGAGTCTAAGGAAGCGCTTCTCGGAGTGCTCTTTAAGTGCATATACACATTTGTGTAAATGTTTAAATTCCCATATCTACGCACCTCCCCATAGAGGTGACCCATCATACGTCGACTGACCACACGTTCTGTAACACATATCCTTGTATGAACCCTTTAAAAAATAGATAATTTCTGAACTTGTTTACGTTTTATTATGCTCATATACGTATATATATACATGCGTATCCTTTTACACTCTATTAAACCCATATATATATGTGTGTATAGTCTTTTACACCGTGATACACTCATAGATACAGCCCTTTACACCTATTTATACCCATTTAATGCGTTTCACACGGTGCAAGTCACACAATAAGGACACACGCTAGAAGGAAAATAAAGAAGCACGGGAAATTTAAACTAAAAAATGAACAAAGAAATAGCGGAATATGATTTGGAGGCAAGCTCAAAGGTCGAAATAAAAAAAAAAATAAATGAAAATAAGAGTGCCTTTGAAAAGATAAAACCATTTGCAGTGGGTGGAGCAAGTGGGATGTTTGCAACATTTTGTGTGCAACCACTTGATATGATCAAAGTACGAATTCAATTAAATGCTGAAGGGAAAAATGCAATTAAGAACCCGTTTATTATAGGAACAAATATAATAAAAAATGAAGGAGTATTATCTTTATACAAAGGATTAGATGCTGGTCTGACTCGACAGATTGTTTATACAACAGGAAGATTAGGATTATTTAGAACATTTTCTGATATGGTGAAAAAAGAAGGGGAACCCTTACCATTTTATAAAAAATGTTTTTGTGCATTAGCTGCTGGAGGCTTAGGTGCCTTTTTAGGAAATCCAGCCGATTTATCTTTAATTAGATTACAAGCAGATAATACCTTACCAAAAGAGTTGAAAAGAAATTACACAGGTGTATTTAACGCTGTATACAGAATTTCAAAAGAAGAAGGAATTCTAGCGTTATGGAAAGGATCTGTGCCAACTATTGCCAGAGCTATGTCTTTAAATTTAGGAATGTTATCAACATATGATCAATCAAAGGAATATTTAGAAAAATATCTCGGTGTAGGAATGAAGACTAATCTGGTTGCAAGTGTAATTAGTGGATTTTTTGCAGTTACTTTAAGTTTACCCTTCGATTTTGTTAAAACTTGTATGCAGAAAATGAAAGTTGATCCTGTTACCAAAAAAGTACCATACAAAAATATGCTTGACTGTTCATACCAATTGTACAAAAAAGGAGGAATATCTATCTTCTATGCAAGTTATGCTACCTATTACGTGCGTATTGCACCTCATGCTATGATTACACTTATTACTATGGATTACTTGAACAATTTTTTAAAAAAGTTCACTTAGGTTTTTTTTTTTTTTTTTTTTTTTTTCTTTTGGACATAACTATACTTATATAAATGCCATATAGCAGAATAGTGTAAAATCTGTCCGCTCCTTTACATGTCTTATGTTATTATAAAAAGGAGTAATATTCGTTTGTGATACACCCACATTTTCTTACACCAATCCCATTTTACCTATAATTGCCACAATTTTTGTGTAAAATGTTTTTTAAAAAAAAAAAAAAATTCAACTATATATATACTTTAGTAAAAAAAATACTACATTCATATAAAAATTATTTTCAGTAAATTGCATCATTTTTTATTTTCTTCTTCCTTCACTCACCCTATATTTTCTCCATTAATATCTATTCACATTTTTTACAAGCTCTTATAAAATTTTTTCGTAGCATTAAGAAACATTAGCAATATTTTTTTTTCTTTTTTTTTTTTATTGACACACGGGAAAAGGTAGCTAAAGCATGCTGAGCTTAATTTTTTTTAAACCCGTCTATTATATGATTTATATGCATCATGAGAACATTTCATGTATTTTTTTTTTTGTGAATTCCTTAAGAAGGCATGATTTGAAGAAAAGTTTTTCCCTCTAAGCCACTTATAGCAGTCGAACATATACACCATGTCATCCTTAATTTTTTATAAAAGTATAATCAAAATTAAAAAACAGGCTAGGTGCCTCACAAATTTGTTTTTCCACTGCCAACTGACAATGATGTATATTTCAAAAGGAAAATCAAGGTAGTTTTTTTTTTTTCTCGTTTTTTTTTTTTTTTTTCTAGAATATATTACGTGAGAAATTAGGCAGATAGATGTATGAGAATTTAAATGATGAATCCACAGAATCATTTAAAATTGTTTTGAGAAACGTGCATTAGTGCACTAAACTTGGGGGAGGAATTAAGAATTGTCAAAAATGTAGGGGAAAAAAAGACAAGTGGAATAGGTAAATTAAAAATCATAAAATGCAACACACATCCCTGAAAATACGTGATAAAAGAAAAAAATATACAAAATTAAGGGCTGAAGGTATTTTCATATGATGATTCAAAAGAATGGGAGGGTGAAATGTGAAAAACATTGCATAAGTAGGAACTTAATTTTTTGCTTACAACTACACTTGAATATGTTCATGAAAAGCTAATCATTAACTTGCTTCTTCATTGTACTTTGTTACAATTTGTAACAAATTTTTTTTCAATTAAAAGATGTATAAAAAAAAAAAAGAAAAAAAAGAAAAAAAAAGGCCTCGTAATATTTTCTGTTTTCAAAATGGGCAAGAAGAAAAACAGGAATTATAAGAATAATAGAAATATTCTATTATATTCTGAATAACATAAGAGCTATTTTTTCTTGCACAAACATATTTAATGGTTAGAACTCTGGTGTCTCATTTTTTTTTTTTTTTTTTTTCATTGAAACCGATAATGACCATTCTGTAGGTTGTTGACCTTTTTTTTGCATGCTCCCCCTGAATGACAGAAAAACTACAAATCATTGTCAGCAGTATAATTGTGAGAATTGCTGCTATTATTAGATGTTGCAGATAACAAATCTCGAGGATCTATTTTGTCATTATACTTCTTCTTTAATGGTTTTTCTTTCATGTTTTTCGTTAAGGATATAATATTTTCAAATAATTTTTCCTTTTTTGATTTTAGCTTGTTTCTAATGGAACTGTTGCGTAGTTTATCACTATCCATGTTCATATTCAAATGTACACTCGTTTTCCTGTTGTTTTGAGTTTGATATTTTCCTACTTTTTGCATCATAATTTCAAACTCGCTAATTTTTGAGGTTTCTGTAGAAGATTTGATTGGGTTAAATGGATTTTTTGAAATCATTTTGACTTCTGCTTTTTTGAAAATTTTAGTTTCATTGTCATTGAGAACCTTTGTTTTTGACCTAGCCAATGTTTGCCTCTCTGTAAATGCATGATTTTTACTTTTTCTATTATGTAAATTTTGAAAACTTTTCTGTGCATTAACTTTCTTTTTATTTAAAGTAATGTTATATAATGGTTGCTTAGTAGAATTTAATCTAGACATTGTTTTTCTTCTTTTCAACATGATAGTATTTTGTTTTTTAAATTTTGTTTCTACCAATGATTTCTGTTTACTCAATATACTTTTCTTTCTATGAGGAAAATTATTATTTTTTATAGCAAAATTTACAGTGCCTCTCCTCACCTTCAATGATTTGGTTCTTGCAATAGTTATTCTGGAGTTTTTGTAGGTTAACTCTTTCTTTTCATTTTTCTTTTTTGGTGAAACGTTTTCTTTATTAGGGTAAATTTTCCTGTATTTTTCTTCTGTTTTTTGTGAAGAATTAGAAATCATTTTATTTCCTTCATTTGATGTGGACATTTGAATTGCATACATATGGTCATTTTCTTTTTTATTTTTTGATAATAGGAAATCCTTTTTTGTTGTTTCTTGTTTGACGTTAATCATTTTGCAGAATCTACTGTGCTGATCCAACTTTTTTCCTTTTTCAGAATCGTGTGGATTGTGCAAAGATCGGGTGTTTTTATGTAATGAATTTTTATCTTTTAAATTCTCACTTGAAATGTTCCTTTTTTTGTAGCTCTCCATAACGTTATATTTGTTCCATATATTTTCATTTTCACAAATTTTAACTTGTTTTATGGGATGCTTGTTATGCTTATCACGCTTTACATATTTTTCCTCCTTTACTACGTTCATGTTTTTGGATACCATTTCACCGTCATGCACATCCTCCATCGTGTCATTGTTGTTTTGTTCTGATGCTATGTATTGTTTTTCCATACTTATGCTTTTCTTACTTTCGTTTCTCTTCTTCTCCTTGGTTGCCTTATTTTTAATATCATATATGTAATGGCTTAAAATACTTTCAACTTCATTTTTCACGTCTTCATTATGACGACTTAACATTTCATCGGAATCTGCAAAAATAGTACTGAATTGTTGTTTTTCTTTTTCATCAAAAGTGCTTTTTTGTTCGGAGGGATCTTCGCTGTAGTCACTTAACTGGAGATTACTTTTACCCTGAACCTTCTCCCCGTTTACCTTTAGTAGTTCCACTTGAGAATTCCTATTTGCATTTTCATTGTAACTGTAATAGTACTCAGATTTTGGAACATCAACATAGTTGACACAATTTGAGATGGTATTCTTCAGTTTGATACAATTGTTTTCATCATCTATTTCTTCTGGATTGATGAACTTTCCGTTTGCATAATTTTCCTGTGGGTATATATTTTTGAAGTTGTGTTCGAGGAACATCTCGAAAGAGGCAGAATTTCCCACTTGATTGTTTCCCTCCTGTGTGTGATCAATGTTATGGTAATTCCTATTCTGATCAGAATAATTTGCTTCACTGTTTTTCGAGTCATTCTGTGGGTGACTATTATTAATGAATAATCTAGATTTCGAAACAAATAAACCTTTTTCATAATTATTTTTATCGTTTTTTTCCTTCATTTCTTTTTTGCTTTTTTTTTTCCCTTTACATTTGGAACACTTTTCATATGGAGGATCCCGAGGAACTCCGTATGGGTAAGACACAAAAGGGTTGCACTGTCTATTCAATTTGTTCTGTGTCAAGATGAAAGGATATAATACACTCCCTTTTAATGGTTTGTCAATCTCATACTTCTCATGATATTCTTTGATGTATGGGCCCTCTAGCTCTCTCTTAAAATAGGGATTATAAAAAAACTGCTTAGCTTTTATGTCATTAACAAATGCATAGTCTTCTTGAGGTTTGTACAGCATCTGGATATTTATGTTTCTATATCCCGGGATACAACATGCTTCTTCCATTATAAGCAAAAATTTCCTAATAAATTAAAGTGTTGTATTTATTAAAACTTTTTCAAATTATAGTTTCAGGCATGTGGACAAAAAAAAAAGAAAAAAAAAAAAAAATGATACGAGTGTTTTTTTTCTTAATGTGTGATGATAAATACGGGAGAATGAAGATATATAATCATAGTGTGCATAAAATGAATCAAGAAATATTCATGCTCTAATAGGAAGTAAAAAAGACAATGCAAATAAGAAGAGCATAGTGTTAAATGGTACAATATGTTCCATACATGTAATAATATTAAAGATATGGGTTAATTTAAAAATACACATTAAAATTTTTGAAAAAAATGTAAAAAAAAAAAAAAGAAAAAGTATTCCCATTTGATATTATTATTCTATAACGAAATGGATGTAGTTAAAATGAAATAAAAGATCAAATAGTGAAAAATATAAGCACAGCTTAATATTAACTAAAAATTGTTTAACATTTTTTGTATGGATCTAACATTTTGTTTTTTAATGAACAGTAAATGTGTGCATAGGTAGCCAAAATGAAAAGAAAAAAAAAAAAAAAAATTGAAATAGCTCGAAACAGTAGAACAACCTTGCTTTATCATATTTTTTCTCTCCCTCACAACACATAAGAAAATTCCGTTCTCAGAATGCACATATTATGTGTGTATTTTTTCATAGAGCATGCGAAATGGTAGCTATTTTTTTTTTTTTTTTTTTAAATAGCTGTTCTATTCGATGCTCTTATAGGGATATTTTTTTTTTTTTTTTTTTTTTTTGCAAGTTCATAAGTTTCCGAATTGCATAACTGCTTAACGCTTTTGTAGAAAAAAAAGTATTGCTATTTTTTTCTCGTCGTAAAATTTTAAATTCTGATATAGGAAAAAATCTTCCTATATGAATTACATTACTAATTTTTGAAACCACTTTTTTGGGAATATTTAAGTTGTTCTTCCTTTCTCCCCTTTTTAGTACACTAACATATTATGGTAAACAATTTTTAGGAGAATTTTGTGAAATGAGCATGATATTGCTGAAATGTTCCTATACTATAGCAATAAGTGCATGGTGAAAAAAAGTGTACCATTTTCCAGCTGCATTGCCAATATATGTGTTTCCAGAAAGATAGAAAGTGAGGATGCAATAAAAAGGCTAAAAACGTATTATAACTCAAAATTTATTTCAACCACTTCGGAAGAGCATAAAACAGTAAATGGCCATGTTGACACTAACCAGTCTTCCATTACATTGAAAGGTCATAAGGAGAAAACTAGTTATAAAGACATTAAGATTATAGAAAATGAAAAGGATGGAGAAGATGCCGCTGAAGAAATAAACCAAAATGGCATCATTGCAGTAGATTTCGAAGGAACAAATTTAGGGAAATATGGAAAGGTATGCACAATGCAAGTTTATACTGAAAAAGGAAACAAGGAAGAAATGGATCATGACAAAACGTTTGAGAAGTTCTACATATTTGATATGCTAAAAATATCAGTTATAAAAAGTGTAAAAAAGATAATTGAAAATAAGAAAACGTTAAAATTGGTGCATGATTGCAGGGAAGATAGCTCAGCCTTGTACAACCAACTAGGAATAAAATTTGAAAATGTTTATGACACATCGAGAGCACATATGCTCCTAATGGAAAAGAAGAAGAACACTGATATATATCAAGTAAGTTTTTTCCAACTTTTAAACGATTATTTAGGAATTAAGGATGAATGTTTAAGAAGTATAAAGAAAGAAATGTATAAAAATGAAAAAATTTGGGAAATTAGACCTTTAAGTAAAATGTCGATTATTTATGCCTTAAAAAATGTGAAATATTTATTCCCCCTTTACAGAATTTTTGATAATATGCTTCCAACAAAAAAAGTTTTGGAAAAATCGAAAGATTTCATAAATTACTGCTTTATGAATTCACGCTATAAACTACCGGTCGATTTGGCAAAAAGGGGAAATATTGTCGAAGCTATGTTAGTAAGTAAATCGATGCTAAACTGCGTTTTTAAGTTAAATAGCACAAGAAGAGGAATTGCGTGTACCCCATCATCAGTTGCACAGTTCCGTGATGTTAAGGTAGGAGATGTTGTTTTGTGTGTGGTTAGTAACAAGTCAATAGATCAGAAAATTTTATATTTATGTAAACATGATGATGTATACGATTATTGGAATTTGAAAGAAAGACCTAGGGGGAAATTTAAGCCATCAATACATGAAAGTGTTACCGATCCGATGATTCAGTTCTGTGATGAAGAGGGATCAACTTAAAACTAGGTGTGGGTTCTTATTCAAAATAAAACAAAACGGATTTACGGAATTTCCTTTGTTAGAAGGAATGCGTAATGTTGATGCATAAGCTTGAATTGTAGCAAATGGTGCGATGTATATGTATATATATTATATATATACATACATTTTACTGCGGGTAACAAGCTCTCCGAAAAAACAAGCCGAGGTAAAAAAAAAAAAACTCAGCCCTGCTGTTTTCCTTAAGCATGGTATATACGTATTTTGTACACCTTTTGTAGGTTTAAGATGTTATAAAAAAAGGAGTTTGTTTTTTTGACTTAAAGTTATTTTTGGCACACCTTTAATGCGTTGGATGAAGTGCATACATATATATATATATATATATATATATATATACACTCTTAAATAAGAACCCCTTTTTAAGCTTTAATTTTAACATTTTCAAGATTGTATTTTTTTTCATCTCATTTTTTATTTTTTATGTTTCTTAGAGGGAAAATGCTTGTATGTTATGTTTCGTAGTTTAACGGAAAATATTGGCGAAACTGTCTTTTTTTTTTTTTTTTTTTTTTTTTTTTATTTATTTACTTACAGCATTGGGTATTCTTTTTTACACGTTTAATAAAATGAGAAAAGGTTGAAACGAATTTGATTATAACATTGGGCAAGAGGTGCTTACACATTTTCATCTACCTATATATTACACATTAGGAAATTACCAATATGGAAGTTTTATTTGCTATGTTAAGCTAAAACAGGCATCTAGGTTCATGTATTGTAAATATGAAATAGCGCTCAATGTAGAAGCAAATAAATAATATGCACCTTTATATGGGGATGCAATATCTTATTTTTATCCATTTTTATGTTTTTCATGTCGAATTAAACGTATGCAAGCATGTATGTATCCCTTTTAATTTAACGTTCACAAAAATAATGTTGAAGTAATCAAAACCATGCCCATGTGCAAGAAAATAAAAAAAAGGAAAACGAAAAAGAAAAAAAAAAGAAGAAAAAAAGAAAAAATAATACTAACCTCTAACATATGCAGAATCATAGGTGCTTCATTTCATTTTTGTTATGAATAGTAAGTATTTAAACAATTTGTGTACGTCAAAGTTTGTGTAGGTGAGTGGCCTAGATGAATATCTTAAGAGAAGTGTAAAAATGATTGTTCCATTTTAAAAATGTAGATGCATATGCATACATTCAAACGAATAAATGGGTTGAATTTTAATTTTTTGTTTGTTTGTTTTTTTAATGGAACAAACTCAAAATTAGATAAAAAAATTTGGAGATATATTAATTACATGTGCGTGTTTTATGCGTAACAAAATACACATCCCTTATGTTGGAATTACTTCTGATTCTGGAATTCTAATAACTCTTTAGTTGTATCTCCAACACATATATATTTCCTGGGAGGAAGTGGTCAAAAGCAAAAATAGGGAAAATCTCCAGAAAATGAACAAAACAAGATCCTATAAATGGGTAATATTTTAAAAGTTATAAAAAAAAAAAAAAAATGCAGCTATATTTTTGCCTGTGTTTTTGTCCATATGCATGCACACATTTACATTTGTCGAACCATACTTGCGTGTTTCGAAGATGTTTGACTGAAAATAATGCTGTAGTGCTGGATATGCACTTTCAACCATATTATCTTGCATACATAAATACATATTCACATGGAATGCACACACACGGTCGGTTAAACTATCACCCATAGCATCACCCATAACATCGCTCCCACTGTTTCCTGCCCCCCTTTGAACAGTACCTCGAAAATGGATGCGAAATTGTGCCATTGAAAAGGGGGTGTGATGGAGAAACTAACTACTCCCTAACTCTTCTGGACATTCAAGCGGACTTTTCCGAATTTTTAATCGAAGAGAAGAATATTATAAGCAACGAGAAGGTAGTAAGTGCTGAAGGAAATATATTCAACATACAGAAAAAACAATTTTCTCAGAATGAAAAAAAAAGTGGATCCACTGAAAGAGAAAAATATGTGTACGAAATTGACCATTTGTGGGCATACATGGAGTGGCATTACAACTTTGAGGACGAAATAAAGGTGCAGAAAAATTTAGTGTGTGATATAAATAAGTTAAAAAAAGTTCCTAAGTTATACGTTTCAGCACACATAATTGAAGGAACTATAAATGAAATGCCTAAGAATGAAAATATATGTATATTAAAATACACTACATATCCCAGTTTTTATAATAAATATAAAAATGAGTTAGACGAATTAAAGGGAAAAAGTAAAAATAGTATTTATAATAAGTGTAATTATATATACGAAGTTTGTGATGTTGCAGATAAATCTCTAGTTTTTGCAAACAGTCCTGTTATCAATACTACCATGAAAAATATATTAAGTATAACAAAAAGTGGGAAGAAAAGGGAAGATTTTAATGAAGAAGAGGAGAAAGAAGATATTATTCAAGATGAAATATGGCAAATTTATCTATCGAAAAATATAAAAAGTGTAAATGATCAGTGGTTGTTAATTTGTATTAATGAAGAATTAAAAGATGTTATAAAGAATTCAGGTGATATTTACTTTAAAATTTTTAATAAACACATAAAAGAGTATAACGATTTTTTAAAAAGCCACAATTACAGCACTTCAGAGGAAAAAAATGACATGCGTAGCAATAGCATGTTTAAAAACCATCATGATAGACATAACATGTTTGAATTGAACAATAATCTAAATCAAAATTTGAATTCAGACAGGTTCAAAAAATATAAAGTGAATTTAATTTTTTCAGAAAATAAGGATATTAATTATATTCTATATAAGTTATGTTTAAATTTAGGAAAATTTAATGATGCTGTTTTGTGTACAAAAAATAAAACATATAATATCTTATTGAACGATATTGATGGGACATTAGCAATTTGTTTAAAGTCCTTTTTTTCAAAATATTATAAGAATAATTCTATGGAAAAAAATAACTCCACTTTTTCATTTTTTCCACAACAAAATGGAAAGATGGTGAGTAATGAGAAGGACAGCGAATATCCAACTTGTGAAGGAGAAGTAGAAGAAGATTTGGTAAAAACCTTGTCCATTATGGGATTGTGCAAAGAAAAAATTGTTTTATTTGAGAAGGCTACCATTTTTAACAATATAGAGTTGTTATTTTCTTATTACCTTATAGTTTATAGTGAGTGTCTATCTATAAGGGAGAATGATGTGGATGAAAAAGAAATCATTGACTCAGATCACGACGATGGTGTAATTTATTTTAGCAAAAAAGCCCTATTCGAAAACGTTCAATTTTCGACAGAAGAAATTTGCAGTTATTTGCTACATTTGCAAAAGTATAGCACAAACAATCTGTTATATGTGAAAAAAAAAGGGTTCAGATATGTAAAAAGTGAAATAATTTACGAATTTTTAATTAAATTAATCGAGTTGATAAGTATTCACGATGATTTATATGAACATCATCCGATTGATAGTGGTAAAATGGACGACGGCAGCTCAACTTTTAAAAAATATAAAGAAGATCTACACAAAGTAGTAAAAAAAAGGTATGGTATTACTCTTCGAAATCTCATCAATTTAGTGTATGAAAATATGAATGATTTTTCCTTTTTAAAAAATTATAAGATACCTATGGACATGTATGTAATACTGCAATTGTGTTGGAAATGTTGTGACATAGAGAATAAACATTTTGAGTTTTTTACCATGTATTATAATTACCACTTCTTTTATGAATATTTAAACAAGAATTCAAATGAGTTGTCTTTTGAATATATATTTGAAAATTATCTTGAATTTATGAATAACGATAGCTATGTGTCTGATACAGTTGTACATTTCAACCTTCTTAAGTTACATAATATCATGTCATTAAATATTTTGAGGTCCAGTGGAAAGGTCGTTATTCACTCAGATAAACTATTCTCCTTCGATATGGAAATTTTTACTTATATCAAATATATAGATGAAATATTTAGAAATTTTAATTCCAATTTGATGGATAAAATAATACAGGATTTTATAAAAATTTATCAGTTTTTTCTGGACTACGGTTATGACCGACGGGGGGGAGGAGCAGTAGGAGCAGAAGCAGTGGGAGGAACAGTAGGAGCAAATACGAAAAAATGTTCGAAAGGGTGTGGAGATGTGAATAGACATGAACATTCCATTGACGCTACCAATGCAGATATTTATAAAGATCGAGTGTTATTTCGAAACAGCATAATTTTAAATGTGAATAACATAAATCATATATGTAATGATAATTACATGTTTGAATATTTCATTGTTGTCAAGTATTATTACAGCGATAATAGCTTTTCTTTGCTTGAAAAAAAATTAAAAAAATTTATTTATACAGTTGAACAAGATTTTAAAAGTTCACAAATGACATCAACTACCGATTTTTCTTCCTCTGAATCTGTGACTGGTGAGAATTTATATGAAATGCGTCAAAATTATAAATCAAATTGGGAAAAGGCAAAAAGTAATTATTGTTTAAATTACAAAATTTTTAAATATCAAACTACTTCCTTCCCACATATACGACTGAGTAACAATTACAACGATTTGATATCTTCTGTATACACACCTTTGTCTATCCACTGTTCCATATTTCACGGAAATGTAATTTATAATAAAAAGAGAAATTCCTTTCAGTTAATACCATCTTTTTTATTAAAAGAAAATTTACGTAGTTCCTTGACAGCTTTGTTTACCATCAAAAATTCTTATTTCGCCCAGGAATTTTATCCCTTTCTCAATCCTCTCTTGAATAATAAGGTTCGTATGTGGCTTTCATCCCATTTTTTTTTTTTTTTTTTTTTTTTTTTGTAATACGATATATGTGGAATCTAGTTCTATCTAGACGTGTAACTTATGTGTGTTCTTGTGTATATATGTGAGAACATGTCATATGGATTTGTTTTTTTTTTTTTTTTTTTTTTTTTTTTACCCCTCTCTGCAGGACTTGATTGGTACCATAGCCGTCCCTCCACGGAGACATTGCAGAACAAAGTTAATCGAAAAAGAAAATGAAAAAAATGTGGAATTCTTAGATACTGGAAATATTGTTCTGTCGACGCTAAACAGTGATATGAAGAACTATAAACAATTCAGTGGCTACAAGAAGACATTCGTTGAGAAGCTTTGTAAGTTGTATAATTGCAACTTACCCGTAAATAAAATTTCTTCATGATTATTCCATTTTAGAGCACATGTCTATGATTCTAAACTTTCTTTTTCCTTGCATATGTCTGTTGTGTGTCAATGTGTATGTTTAAATTTTGGTTATCCCCTTCCCTGTGTCAAGAAATGGGTGGATAATAAGCCCCTGCCTCATTACCCCCTTTTCCATTTTTTTCTCTCGAGTGAATAAAACAAAAAGCTTTATGCCATGCCTTCGTCCCTCACCGAAGACTTTTCGGCTAATAAAAAAGTTTCATCCTTTGGGATCCTTATGCTGGGGTCCTTCTGTTGCTGCTGCTGCTTCTCATGATGATGCTTCTGATGAGTCCGCTTTCTGTTCTCGTTCTTTAAAAAGTAATCGAAGTTTTCCATGTAGTTATGGTCGTAGATATGCTTAACATTTTCAGACAACTCATAATTTTGCAGTTTCATTTTTCCCTCTTTGAAATGGTTATACGTCGGTATAACATAATCTTCGATATTTTTAGCGTATAATTTATGATTCTGCAAAATATACTGCGGGTATATAAGTTCTCTTATTTTTCTGCTTAATAGCTTTATTCCTAAGCCAAACTTTGCTGAAGTGCCAATAACTTCTATATGCGGAAGAAAATTTTTGAGACGGAAATACAGGGAATCCAGATTAAGTAATGTGTTTTTGTGTAACATATCACACTTTGTCGCAACCACTAATTCTTTTTTTTTTAAATATTCTGGATTGAAAAGGAACAGTTCATTTCTTAACATCTTTATCTGCTTAATCGTGTCGTTGTAATAATTCTTAAGGTTCGTATTGATATCATCTGCTTTGTGCATATCTGGGGTTCCCTTATTATCTGCATTACCCTCGCGATGGAGATGGCCATGCGTTTCCATTTTCCTCTTTTTTTTTTCTCTTGATTCTTTTTTTTCTTCCTCCTCATCCATATCATCTTCTTCTCTTGTATTTTCCTGGTAATTATTTTTTCGTTTTAAATTCTCCAAGTAATAATCTTCTATCTGTAAATCGTCCACATTTTCCAGTTTGTCACTTGAAACGTCGATAACATAGACAATTAATTTGCTTCTATAAAGATGTCTGAGAATTCTTTTACCTCTAGTTTTATCCCTGTGTGCATTGTGAAACAAAAAAGGGGTATCTAGGAGGGTAATCTCAACCCCGTCAATGTAATTAATATTGGAAACATGTGGAATAGTAGTTGTAAACATATGAGTACTTATGTTTCCATAATATTTGCTTAAACTACTACATAGGGATGTTTTACCACTGTTCTCTATTCCAATAAAAGCAACATCATTCAGTAATCGTAGTTCTAATTCTAGAAGAGTTTTTTCTCCATTTTCTGGTAATCTAAAATCATGTTTTTTAAAAAAGGAATAAGATATGCCTCCTTTCCCCCCGCGAGCTACTAACAATTCTTCGTTTTCTTTTAAAAATTGGTACCAAAAAATACTCTTATAGATTTTCCTATTATTTTCATTTTTTTTTTGACAATAAATTCTTTTTCTTACTATTGTACCAACTGGCACAAAAATTATTTTGTCTTTTCCATCTTTTCCTCTACTATTTTCTTTAAAGTTTTCCCCATCATTTGCTTTAACTTTCTGTTCAATTTTTATTAAATCATAAATGCTTTTTTTACTTTTTAAGATAACATTACCTCCATGCCCTCCATATCCTTCTCCCTTTAATTTCTTACTTCTTTGTCTTTTGTAGTTTGGATTTCCTCCTTTTCCTGATTTCGCTACTACCCATAGGAAATCACAAAACCGTTTTTCATTTCTTATCATCATGTGGTCATTTGGTTCTGTAAGAATTTTCATTAATGCTTCATTCCTCATGGTTGCTACTACCTCCCCGATGGATGGATCCTTAGGTAGTTCATTTTCCGTCTTATGTTCTATGCATTCCTTTGAAGGGGTATTCAAATCGTTCAATTCTTCTGTATAATCTAAATGAACATTGTTACTTCTACATGCAATGCTTAATCCAGGACTCATTATGACATGTCCTTCAAACCTATTTTCATTTTGTTTGTTCATTGGAGGTGTATCCACTATTATTGTTTCTTTCTTTTTAGAGTTACCTGTATATTTTTCCCTCTTTCGTCTACTTACAACAAATTTATTTTCACTCTGTATGTAAACACACTCATTGTTTTCATATGCCTCGTCATTAACCCCATTGTTTTCCTGTGCCTCAAGATTAACATCATTATGATAAACCTTTATTTCCTCCAGAGTGTGTATAGCAGCATGCTTGTTGTTTTTCCATCCTAAGTTACATTTATTAACATCTGTATCACTTAGTGAAATGAATGAGGTAACATTTGGGGGGTAAGAATGAATTGTGCATTTCGATTTCGTGTAAATGCTTAATCTTGGAATTCTCTCATTTTTTAATAAAAAATAGATGAATTCTCTTTTGGGAGAATTAAAAAAATTCAATTTTTTATGAACATGTGTAAGCAATTTGAAATGAAACATAATATATAGGCAAGTTGTTTTATCGCCGTCAATTGGGATAATTGCTCATGTATATTTATGAGAACTGTATTTTTTTTTTTTTTTTTTTTTCTGTGGATTTTTTTTCCATAGAGATGGAGTAAATTTGCCAACTGTTGAAAGAAAAGCATGAATGGAAAAAATGAGTACAATATGGAACTTAATGAATTAGGCTGTATGTGGGATGTGCATGGGTTGGGGGAATTTGTTAAAAAGGATTAACTAGAAAAAAAAAAAAAAAAAAAAATAATAAATAAAATAAATTAATAAATAAATAAATAAATAAATAAATAAATAAAATATAAATAAAATATAAATGTTAGTCAAAGATAAATCCAAAGATGTAGATCGGTTAGCTTTTTTTATGCTACATTGTCGGGGTACAAAAAAAAAAAAAAAAAAGTATCTAAGCAAAACCTCTTTTCAGTAATATTCAGTCATAAGTTTGATGTGATTATGAAATATTTATGTGACCACTTTACAACATCACTTCAAAAATAGCCCCCCAAATGTGTGGCATATAGCGCTGCGATGGCTTATTTTATTTCTAAGTCAAGAGGTGGTGCTCTTAAAAAATGTTCGAAAAAGCTCTTTTACTGTTCATGTGCAGGTTTCCATGCTTACGCATATGAATATAATTATGTACATTCAAAATTAACAGACACATGCACTCATACGTACATAAGCACACATACATGTGTATACATCTTCCCATATAGGGATGAATGAAATGGCACTTGTACAGGTGTGTAGTTGTGGTGTATGGGAAAAGATGTACAAAATTTCCGCACAGTGGTTAAAAAGAATATATTGGTTGGGTGGGTGATTTGTTGGGAGGACGATTGGTTGGGTGGGTGATTTGTTGGGAGGACGATTGGTTGGGTGGGTGATTTGTTGGGAGGACGATTGGTTGGGTGGGTGATTTGTTGGGAGGACGATTGGTTGGGTGGGTGATTTGTTGGGAGGACGATTGGTTGGGTGGGTGATTGGTTGGGAGGACGATTGGGGAACTGGATTATTTATTAGCGGCGGTAACGAAGTACTTGTAAATAGTTGAGGCACCATAGCCAGTGAGAAGCCCAACTCGGAGCAACGTGGACCCGAAACTACTCACCATAGCTACATTGCTCATGGAATTGAGAGGCTTTAAGACGTCTGAAATGTTAATAAAGGACAAGACGACAAACCAACCATTTAGATAAATATTTGAAAAAATAAGAACACACTTGAAAGCAAAATTTTGAAGTAAGGGCATGTCTGTCAATGGGATTAGCAAGCATAGGAGAGACAAAAATGTTCTTGCGAGAGAATATATTAATACCCTTCTTTGTGGTAGGAGAAATATTTTAAAAATTGGAATTGCCTCAGCAAATGTTGGGAATATTCTACTTATACAATCGGCTAGCTGCACCATACCAATTAGTATATATCGTTCATCAACGTTTTTAGTCCACATTTCAGGACAGACTACAGGAAAAACAGCAATCTTCAAAAAAATATTGTAAAAGGTGCAAAATAGAAATATTAGAGACTTTTTATATAAAAATGCTTTTATTCTGGCTTGCTTCATTATATTTTTTCTATCCACGTTGAATAAAAAAAAATTTCGGAAAAAATGGCTTTTATTTCTTTTTCCCTTCACTTGGGTGTTATTATCATTCTCTGCTTTAATTGAAATAACATTCTCTGTTTCATAATTATTCTTTCTCTTGCTCATCGGCGTGCTGCTAGCAGTTAAGTTTTCTCTAGTGGTGTTGTTAGCCACATTTTCAGTTGTGTTATTGGCCCTATTTTCATTTGAGTAATTGGAAGAAATTTCAGTTGAGTTCTGATTTTGCCTTCCGTTTTGACTATCCCTAGTGGGAAAATCTGCAACTTCTATTGAAAAAGATGGTCCCTTTGAGGTTGCTCCATTCTCTGAGGTAAGTATTGAAATGCTGCTGGTTCTGCGTTTCTCTTCTTTTTCGTCATTGTACTTTTTGAAATTTCGCTTAAAATCATCAGTGCTCTTTAAGATGCAATAACAAACGAAGGATACAAAAATGAATGTGCAATTAATTAAAGAAGTAACAAGTATAGACTGCATAAGTTTATTTACATCTTTGTCAATTTTAACTAAAAAATAGAAAAAGGTAGATGTAATGAAAAGGGAGTATATTCCGGTTAAACCATATGATAAACAAATTACTTTGGAACTATTCAATACAATAGATGCGATTGAAAAAATCATCGTTTTCATCATAGAACATGTTGCTCCTATGAATCCAATTAACAAATAAAATATAACTGTTTTATCATAATAGTATTTTACAACCAATGGATATAAAAGTTGGAGTATAAATGAAATTACAAAACATATGTCGTATGTTCTTGTTTTTACTTCAATGAATAATGAACTTATTAATGATATGAAAACTAGGACTGAAAAATATAAAAAAAAAGTGGATGATACTACGATATTTCTATTAAGCAATTCGTGTATATGAGGGGTAGTGTTTAAGACGCAGTTGTATAGAAGCACGGATGACATTCCCATCAAACACAATGTTATATTTGCGAATGTCTTGCCTTTATTTCCCTCCTCTTTTTCTTTATTCAATGACATGACTACTTCTTCCCCTTCTTTTTTGCCTTCCTTTTCATGAACAAATTTTTTTACGTTCCGATGACCAGAGTAACCCTCCTCCTGGCTGGTTCTCTTGCTTGAAGCATTCATATTTACTGATGGAGCATAAATCTTCTCAGTCTACAACAACTGTTCGTAGGGGTATAAATATATATATATATGTAAATGTAAGTAATTGCATGTTGCTGTAATCCTCTGCCAGTTATTATATAATTTCAGACGCATATCTGCTCCCCTTCCAGTGCACATATATTACAGTGGGTGTGACTCTGGAAACCCCCCCCTACCCATCATTTACTCCTTTTCTTGTTAGTAGAGTAGAGATTTCCTGGGGCACTTGGATTTTTTGCTCCTTCCCCTCTTCTATGGTTAAAATTTGTTAAATTTTGTAGCTCTTATTTTGTTATTTTGTTATTTTGTTATTTTGTTGTTTTATTATTTTGTTGTTTTGTTGTTTGTTTTTTTTGCTATTTTGTTGTTTGCTTTTTTGCTATTTTGTTGTTTGCTTTTTTGCTATTTTGTTGTTTGCTTTTTTGCTATTTTGTTGTTTGCTTTTTTGCTATTTTGTTGTTTGCTTTTTTGCTATTTTGTTGTTTGTTTTTTTGCTATTTTGTTGTTTTTTTTTTTGCTATTTTATTTTATTCTTTTTTTTTGTGGAATACTAACATGAAAACATGCCACTTTTAATAACCCCTACATGTAGCAGTATTAGTACCCCTCAACTGCAAAATAAACCAATGTTGCAATAAGATCTTTAAAAAAAAACGATTGGAGAATTTGTATATTCGTTTCTGTATCTATATATTTCTACAACACTACATGTGTGGATGGCGTAATTTTTTAAAGAATGGTTTTTCCCCTACGCAATAATTTTTTTTTTTTTTTTTTTTCCACCTGAGTACATATTCTGGGATATCACATGGGATCATTTTATGCTACTTCTCATGCACCTGTCATTTTTTTACATATGTGTAGAAAATGGAATTATTTTATTTCAAGCTGTTTTAAAATTTTTAAGGAGAAACTTTTTGCGCCCCTCATGCTGAATATAATTTATAGTTGCCTTATGGGAGAGAAGCAAATTTAATTTCGACGAAAAGAGGAGAAATAATTACTCATCTATTTATGTACCCATTTTATGTACTAACTTATCTGTTTACATATTTATTTATTTTTTTTTTTTTTTTTTCTACCTTTTGGCCTCCCTACAAAAAAGTACACGCATTGTCCAAATTGGCATCGCACATATGCTTATATAAAGTGATGAATTGAAATAATATATCATAGATATATCCGAGTTTACAATTCCATATTTCCTGCGCACTTTGGAGAATACACAGTGCATTCATTCGTTCATTTGTTCATTCGTTCATTTGTTCATTTGTTCATTCGTTCATTCGCTCATTCGTTCATTCGTTCATTCGTTCATTCGCTCATTCGTTCATTCGTTCATTCGTTCATTCGTTCATTCGCTCATTCGTTCATTCGTTCATTCGTTCATTCGCTCATTCGTTCATTCGTTCATTCGTTCATTCGTTCATTCGCTCATTCGTTCATTCGTTCATTCGTTCATTGTCATGCATGTCCAAATGAACGTGCCACATCTCGCTGCAAACAGTAGGATTGAAAGGAAAAGAACACTACATTCACCATGGAAAGATACAAACATATGAATCAAGAGGATTTTAATTGAATGTCTTATGTGAAGAGAAACTAACGGCTTTGAAATAGTTTCTTTTATGAATTATTTCCTTTTTCACATTCCCATATTTTTTGGGACACTGTTATATACGTCTGGCATGTAACACTTTAGTTTTTTTTTTTTTTTTTTTTTTTTTATTTTCTATTGCAGTATCCATGTTTTATATAGACATATATTCAGTGCCCATACGAGGTATTTATACATAGCTGTTACAATGGATAAATGCTCGAATATGAGTACCTTTTTTTTAGATCCACACTCCCCGAGTTTTTTCTCTTCACATGCTTGCACATGAAATTAGAAGGATCCGTGAAGAACAAATTGTGCATTCGTAAGAGAACTTCTTTTTTTTTTTGTTTTTTTCTCTCCTTTTTTAATAAAATGATAAAGAGATACTTGAAGATATATCCATCTATTTATTACACAAAACATGTTAACACAGCCCCTGAAGTAAACGAACACTCTATCATTTTAAAAAAAGATTATGTGTTTAATCAGAATGGTAGACAACAAGTTTTTTTAAATAATAAGTTAAAGAAGGGAAATAATGAAAATGAAATAAAAAGAATATATTATTTTAAACTATGGAACTCTCTAACTGAGTACAACTTTACTCTATTTGAAAACATCATTCAGCAGTTTTTAAATGAGGGACATAAATATGATGAGGTTATATATTCGATCTTAACCCACTCGTTCATATTGAACCACAGGAAAAGAAACGAACATGTAGGTGATACAGAGAAAAGCGGCGAACAAGCAGCCTGTGTATTTATCCGTTTCATCACTGAACTCATTTCTATTGTTCTGTTTTTTTCCCTCACCATACGCACATTCTCATGCACACAAACATGAAGGAGTGCAAACTGAAAAATGCAAACATCCTGTTTCACCCCGTAGGCATATCTCGTGATTGAAGAAATGAAGAGAAGCTACATGCACCCAGCAATTATAAAAATCAATGAACGGATGATAAACTCCTTCTTAGAATTAGAAATGATTTTTTGTGAGCCCTCAAAGAGTTTATGGATAAACATATGTAGATTGGTTTGGGAGACGTCCATAAAATTGAACAGAGAAAGGAAGAGAAAATTAAAAGAAAAACTTAATTTATTGCCTCCAAACGATGTACTAAAATTAACTAGGGAAGACTTAAAAATTATGTTAAAGAAAGAGTATGAAGATACTTTGTTGAGTATGATTGATACTATGTCTTTAGAGGTCGATGGCGACGCAGAGTACGAGCATCTGCTTATTGGAAATGATGAAAAAATAGATTCCATCAGAGAACCATTCATTGGGGAAACCGAAGATATACGTAAGGTTCATCCTCAGGTGGACCGAAAACATTTTATTGAAGCTCAAAGTCAAAGTGACGACCTACTCTCATGCAATGATGAACCATATTATATAAATGATAGCAGAGCTAACCAGATGTACTACCTAAGTGACGAGGATGAAAATTCGGGTGTGGTGAACGACGGAATGTACCAAAAATTTATGAACGTTAGTATGGAAAATCAGTATAATAATGATGCTATAGAAAGTATGGATGAAGATGAGAATTATGACTCTTTTGAGGATAATGAAGACTTTGACATTCAACTTTTAAAAAAATATTACAATTTTAAGTAAGATCGTTCGGCACGTCCTGCAATGGACACGCGAGACCCTTTTTTTTTTTTTTTTTTTTGAAGAAAATGAGAATATGTTGATCTCTGTTTAGTTTTATTTCATTTCACGTTATTTCAATATATTTTATCTTTTTTTTTTTGCTTCGTTTTGCTTCATTTTTTTTTTTTTTTTTTTCTTTTTTCCTAAAATATATCTCTTATATTTTTTACATTCTTAACTGAACACCTACGATCACGTTACTACCACCTGCGTGGAGATTATTTTACCCATTCCATGAACACTTATTTATGTTTTGTTTTAAATCATTTCCTTTTTGTTTGATTGTCAAATCTTTACCTTCCTGAACTTTGTTCCATTTATGCTTAATATATGAGAATAGGCAAAAACACATTAGTGAATTATAAAAGGGAATAAATAAAGGGTGCTACTTTGTTATCAAAATCAACAAGTGTAGTTAAAAAACGGAGAAGGAGAAAAGATAAAATCAGAAATCAAATTGAAAGGGAGGAAAAAAAGAAGTTCACTTTTTCTCTTTTTTTTAATACATATCAAACTTACGTATATTTATTAATGTGTTTGAAGAATAGGGGAAGGAAAAAAAAAAAAAAAAAAAAAAAAAGTTTGAAAAAAATGGGGGAATCTCCTTATCCCACATTAAGTTAGACTGTGCGTTTACACAGATAACAAAATTGTCGTAGCATGATTAACTTCATTTGTAAAAAAGCACATAATTTAGTGGAAATCAATTGAACAAAAAAAAAAAAAAAAAAAAAGTAGCAGAATTAAAAATAAAAGCATGGGAAAAATTTTATTAATACATATTCACATGTTTATAAACTTCCCTGTATATAATATATGCCCTATTTGAAAAAAAAAAAAAAAAAAAAAAAAAAAGTGGCAAAATTAACCTTTTTTACTGCAAATTAATGATCCAAGTTAAAAAAATGAAAAAGATTATTTAATAACGAAAAAAGATTTTAATGTAAGAGTCCATCCTTATACGCAAACGAGTAGGTTTACACAACAGTAAGGAGGGAGAGAGAGGAGAGGAAAACGGTGATAAAAAGGAAGTAAATCATTGGATAGAAGAAAGAAAAGGCGCGTACGTAAGAAAAGGAAAAGATACTGCCAATAAAAATGATGAATTTTGTAGATACGCTGATAATTCTAAATGATGATGCGCCATGCGAATTGCTCAGAAAAAAGTACATAGAGATGCTGGTCCCAACGATAAGCGTGCTAAACTTTAAGAAGGAAAAAATATATAAGACGTATAGTAATATATTATTGTACACATACAAAGATTATGACTTTTTTTGGGATCTAGACGATAACATTTTACATAAGATCCAGAAGTGCTTAAAGAGAAATGGCACATTAAAATTGGTTCTATACATAAGTAAAACACAAGATGATGGTAACGGTAAGAATATCACAACACAAGGCAATAAAAACCAGGAGGAAATTTTGAAAAAATTAAAGAAGGAATGCCTCTACAGTGGTTTCATTAACATTTACAATGAAATTACCATGGCGGAAAACGGAGTCATCATAAATGTAAGGATAGCTAATGGCACTCGTAGATGGATGAACATAAATTGTTCAGATGGGCGACGGCATCTGAGACACTGGGGGATATTCCGTCGTCCAGTACATGTGCATACATACATGTACATGTAAATGTATATTAAGTGCGTTGCTGTTTTATTGCCCATTAATTATGTGCCCTCATTGATGAATACCTTTTTCTACTTGCTAGGTAACGGCAGAAAACCCCGATTTTCTATCAAATGAGGATGAAAATTATGCAAGTTCCAACGATGGAGATGCTTACGAAAATGCAGAAGACAATAAGAAGACCGTAAATAGAGTGTGTGCTAACTGCACATGTGGAAAAAAAACGAATGGAATTAAACTAGACAAAATTGCCATAGATGAAAAAGAAGTGCAATACTTAACGGAAAATGCTATTTCTTCTTGTGGAAATGTAATACATGCATTCATATATTAGAGCAGGCCGCATGTATATATGTACATTGACATATATAAATATATGTATCAAACCATGTACATATACAAAAGTGATGTATGAAATTCTAGCAGTAAACCCTTCCTACAAATCAAATTCTCTTTTTCCCCCTCTATGTAGTGCTATCTTGGGGACGCTTTCAGATGTGCATCCTGTCCTTATAAAGGTTTCCTACATGTTCATACATATTCCACAACATATTGATGTATATACATTTGTGTGCATGTTTTACTACTCATATTGTTTATATGTTAGTCTAAAGCAATTCTCTGACTTATAATGTACATATGCAAAATTGTTTTATATTCTTTTTTTTTTTTTTTTTTTTTTCATTTTGTTGATCATTAACTTGTTAACAGGATTGCCAGCATTTCAACCAGGAGAAAATGTGAAGCTCAATTTGAACGTAAGACAGGATGAAAAGTGAAAGATATGTTTGCAAAGTATATCGTACGAATTAGTACATCCCCATTTTGCACATTTAAAGGATTTCCCCACACATACATCCCCCCTTTTTTTTTTTTTTTTTTTTTTTTTTTACCACAAATAGTTAGCATGTTATAATTACTTATTAATGTTGTTATGACTATTCATTTTTTTTTTTGTTTTTTTTGTTATATCCTTTTTTACAGAACGAAACTGAGTGACATAAAAGGACCACCCGTTTTCCCAAGTACTAGCTGATCATTCGTAAAAATATTTTACTTTTTTCTCCCGTTTTGCATTCTTTTAATTAATTTTAATTAACATGTAAAATCCACTTTTTACAACTCGTTTGGGTAATTTATTTTGCTCATTTATTTTGTTTATGTATGTATGTATTCTTTTTTTTTTTTTTTTTTGTTCTTGTGTTATTTTTATAAAAAAAAAAGTATTCCGTCATTTGTATAGAGGAGAAAAAAGCATGAGACATACACAATGATGATAAATTTTGGGAAATTCTATGAATATGAGAAATGTATTATATACCTATGGGTAGCACAAATATCTTTCGTTATGCTTGTGATACGTGTTTGACACATGTCCAACTCGTTTCCTCTGCTTAAAGTTCTGTCACTTCCCTGTAAAATTCAGTTGAATACATTTTTAAATGACACATTCATCTGTCAGTTGGAGAAGGGCGATAAGCTGTTAATCTCTCATTTTATTTTTCCCTTTGTTTTTTTTTTTTTTTTTTTTTTTACTTTCCATAATTGGGATAAGAGTAGCATGTGTGTATGTTGATGTATATATACGTTTATGCTTTTAACAAAGCCCTTTGCTATATTAATGTATATGTAATTACATCATGTTTACATAATATATGTATGTAACATTTGGGAGGGTTCTATGGGAACATTTGTATGTCAACAACGTATGTATAAAGGGCTATTTTGTTTCACCTGGTACCCCTTTACAATACTTATTTCCCCATTCTTTTTTTTCTTTTTCCTTTTTTTCTTTTTCCTTTTTTTCTTTTTCCTTTTTTTCTTTTTCCTTTTTTTCTTTTTCCTTTTTTTCTTTTTCCTTTTTTTCTTTTTCCTTTTTTTCTTTTTCCTTTTTCCTTTTTTTCTTCTTTTTTTTTTTTTTTTTTTTTTTTTTTTTTTTTTTTTTTTTTTTTTTTTTTTTTTTTTTTTTTCTTTTTTTTTTTTTTTTTTTTTTTTTTTTTTTTTTTTTTTTTTTTTTTTTTTTTTTTTTTTTTTTTTTTTTTTTTTTTTTTTTTTTTTTTTTTTTTTTTTTTTTTTTTTTTTTTTTTTTTCTTCTTTCCTTTTTTTTCTGTGCACATGGAATAACTAACACGTTTGTACACACCTCAGCCTGAACATTCCTCTTAATTTTAAAGCTACATATACATTCTGCATTAATAACCTTTAGTCAAACTTAATAAAAATAGAAAAGGAGAGAAAAGAAAGGCAAAACATTAACATCACATTTATGAACCCTTTTAGCAATTTTGTCAAAAGCACGACCCTTAAAAATGATAGCAACGAAATGTAGCTTTATTACCAACAAAAAAAATTAAGCAAAAATAAAAAGGAAAGAAAGAAAAAAAAATGGATAGGGAAAAAAAAAAAAAAAAAGAAATATTGAGATGAGGCAAAAGAGTGAGATGCAAACATTGCAGATCTTACCTTGCCGCTTGAGCATTTGTGTGACCTCCCGAAGCTAAAGGGAAAATGCCCATAAATAAATACACACACCCATTTACGTACATTATATATATATATATATATATATATACAAATACATACACACACAATTGTATGCACACACACAAACATACATGTATATGTGTGGATGGGCTCGTACACGTATACCCCCTCGGGTGAATGTAGGAGAGCTGAGTTGAACCCAGAAAATAATGGATATCCCATATAGCTGTAGTAGCATGAGCCACAAAATCAATGAAAATAATAATAATGATACGTTTAAGTTAAAGAGAAAGCATTGTGTCGTTATAAGCTGCTTTATTTTTTACATATTTTTTTTATCCACTGCAAACAATTTGGATAAGTATTTGCACCTAAGAACCACACACTACATTCTGACCTATTCGAACCTTCTGTATTTCATATCTTTTTACTCCCTGAACGGTCAGGTACTTAGAGGGGTGATGGTGATTCCATTTAGCACATATGCTGTCGCATCATTATATGGGTGTCGTATCCAATATATGTTCATCTCATGAGTAATCATGATAAATGCCACATTGTATCACTCTTTATCTTCGTGTATTTGTTTCAATAAGAGAAAAAAATAAAAAAAAAAAAGACAGCATATTTTTGACATCCCCACTTAGCCACACACACATTCCATCTTAAAAATAAAACGAAATTTATTAATACTTCTCAGGTAGAATTTCTCATAGGAGTAAAAAATGGAATTTTACCAGTAGACAAACATATTAAGGAGGTCAGAAAAAAACTCAAAAGCATAGACTTCTTTTTGGTGCATCATATCGTCCATTTTGTGTATCAATTTTGGAAATACGTGATAAAAAATGGCATAAAGGTAAGTATTAGACGGGAAAAAGAGGAAAGAAATAAAAATAAATATAACGAATTAATAAGCAAATAAGTAAACGAATTAATAAGCAAATGAGTAAACGAATTAATAAACAAATAAGTAAGCGAATTAATAAGCAAATGAGTAAACGAATTAATAAACAAATAAGTAAAAAAATTAAGAAAGAAAGGAGGAACAAGCTGAATAAACTGAAGAAATTGACAGTATACACCGAAACAATAGTAAGAAGTTGTCCATATGCTCTTACAACATTTTTTTTTTTTTTTTTTCCTCTAAAATCAGGTGAATACATTTTGTAAAGTTGGGATGTTACTATCTATTGTAAATTTTTTAATCCAAAAGAATATACGAAATGACTTTTTCAGAATAGCTTTTTCATACATTTTTTTCGTGTGTCTGTTCATTTTGCATCTGTGTTTCAAAATTGCGATGAGAGATTTTATGGTTTTCCAGTGGTAAGCGAGAGATGATGGAAATAATTGAAAAAAAAATTGTATAAAAAAAAAGGAAAAGAAAGAAGAAAAGAAAAAGAAAAAAAATAATACTTGTATGCATTCTTTTTTACTGTGTCGTGCACATTTCCATGGAGTTTCAGCTCATTCGAACTACATATATTTATGCCCATTATGCCTTTATCTTTCCTCATTTACAGCGATATACTCATGAACGAGTTAGGGTTTCTTCTAACATTTTTATGTTTGTCTGATAGCTACCACTTAAGGCACTCCAACACTTTAGTGATATGCACCTTACGACTAATTGCGTTTAAAATTTTGTTCAATTCAGCAGTTCACAAATTTGGTAATAAGAACTTAAGGTGTCAGCGGATCTAAGCGATTGCGCCACTGATTTGATAGATAAAAAAGGAACCAGTAAATCCGGGGGGTTCATACATATATATATATATATATATATATATATATATATACATACATATTTTTGTTTCCCCTCTTCCATTTTATCCGAAGTTTACAACGGATCCATGTGGATACAACTGGAGGCCTTCCAAAATTTATTTTACTGTCAGCCAATCCCCTCGATATTATCGCGTAATTTGCATCACATCCCACAAGTGTGGATATGTATAAATATAGAAATTCATAAGCAGACAGGCACAAAATATGCTTAATTAAATCACTCAAAAAAAAAAAAAAAAAAAAAAGTTCAATACTCTCAATTTGTTTCACACACCTCTTTAGATATAGCCAATTGCATATTTGACAAAAAGCTAATTTGTTTTCTAGTCATAATCTCAGAGGTAAGAAGAGCGCACATCGTTAACTGGATATATCTAATAGCACCGTTTTTGCTACTGTATAATGGCACATTTTTTTTTTTTTTTTACCATTTTCAGCTTTTACTCTCCTGGTTTATATTTTGTTCCTCAAATTTGAGGGTAGTTTTTTTCACCCTTTTTGTGAGTGAGTATAACTTGGAAAATAATGAAATAAAGGAAAAAAAGAAAAAAATATAACCATTAATGTTCAGAGAATACGTATGCTTATCACAATGGTAGTTTATTTGTGCCTTCACATACATTCACTATGGACGTATAATAAATAAATGTCACCATGATAGCACAATCTCATCTGTCGTGTCTATAACTTTTATTTCCCACCATCTGCAGTCATTCAAATAACCTTCTATATCATCTGCAATTATATATTTTTTTCGTACATATGTCTGATTCTATTTTTCTCTTCCCTGGATGATTCGATTTTAAATTTGTTTCCTTATTTGAGAGAGATTCCCGCTGTTCAAGAAGTAACTTTATCTAATGCATCATGACAGACGAACATGTTGAAAAGTTCTCTTTTTTCGATAATACAAATTGTTTTTAAATGATCCGTTTTTTGTGTTTGTACTACATCGTGGAACATTTAATGAATAAGATGTAGCGTTTACCTATATATTTACATCTTCTTTTCTTTTCTTTTTTTTAATACAATTCTTTTGTCTTCTTCACATTGCAGAACAGCACTACCTTAAGCATCCAGATATGTTTCCTCATTTGTTTCATCAGGATTGTCATTCTTTTATTTTATTTTGTAATTCATTGTTGTGATATGAGAATCTTCAATATTTTTTACTTATGCTGACATGTTCATGTTCCACTGTCACCAGTACATATATCCGTTTATATTTTTTCTATTTACATATTTTTTTTTTTCTCTCCCTCTTCTCTTTTTAGTTGATTGTTCTTATTAACCTTGTTCCGTTCACGGAGTACATTTGAAAAAAAAAAAAAAAAAAAGGAACAATACTCATTTTAATATTTCTGTACATTTTTGTCATTACAACAATGTCTTTATCGTTCTCTCCTCACGTGCAGACAATGGAACATGGATGACTTAAAATGCTTTCACCTTTGCTACCACATTTTTTATGGATTATACCCCTTAAACATTTGCAATTCGTATGGTACTTGAAAACATAGCACGTGGACATAATCAACCTATGTGTATGCAGAATTTTCCGCTTCATGTATCCATTCTATTATTTTTGCAAGATATATGTGTGCATACTAGTATGCACATATACATATATAAAATATGTACTAATATGTGCTTACTTTGTCTTTGTCTTATTTCAACCTCTGTATGAATAGCGATGCTAACTTATACACGACAACAAAGAGAAGAAATCGTTATAGAAGAGCTACATAAGGTTGGCAAAAGACATGAATGGAAAATTCTTAATTTTAATTATAAGCCAGGTATAAAAAAAAAGAACTAATCACAGAATTACATACAGCAAGTCTAATTTACATTTTGCAATTAAATGAGACCATAGTGCAAATTTATTTCACATTCCCTCACCCCCTTTTTTATTCTCCATTATTTTCCTTCTCTTCTGTATGGATGCAAAGGCCTCAATTTGTTCAATTGCGTTTGTTCTTTTGTTTTTGTTTGCATTTCCGTTTTCGTCTACATTTCCATTGGGACGTTAATTTTTTTTTTTTTTTTTTTTTTTGCACCCTTTTAGGAAATTTAAACAAAATAGGGCCCATTCTATGGTTGGGACACGTGCCACGATTAGAGTGGAAGTTTTACTTTTTCCCAGATCATATCAGAAACGAGAATTATGAAAGGAGCAGATATCCAATTTACTTTTGTTCTTTTTTGAAAAAACTGTATAATCGAGAAGAGAATTTGATATCCCTGTTCGATGTAATATAAGTTGCATTACAAGGATGCACTCCTGGCCCATCCCCCCAAGGCCTATTGTCATTTTGTGGATATATGTATAGACTCATTCATAGATGGTTTTTTACGTTTTGAATAAATGAACTTCATGTGGTGTTTATAAACCTCTCATCTCATTACCATTTGATATTTTGCTTTTCAGGGAGAACAAATGAGACAAATGCCTTATATGCTGAGGTTAACATTTTATAACTATAAAATGTCCATGGAAGGTAAATACGAGAAGCTTTTGATTATTTCCCGCATGCATACTTAAGAAGTGCTCGCACATTTACTTAACATATTTTTACACCTAAGTTCAAACAAATATACTCTACATTTATCCTTACGTGCATGCATTTTCTGGGGATATTTCCCCGTATATATCATTTATCCAGAGCGGGAGGAATATGAAAAACCGGAAGGTGAATCCAATTTGACGGTAAAAAAAAATTAAAAAAAAAATAAAAAATGATAAAATAAAAATAAAGTAAAAAATTATAGAAATAAAAAATAATAAAATAAAAATAAAGTAAAAATAAAGTAAAAATAGAAAATAATAAAATAAAATTGAGCACGTTACAACACACTAAAAAACAACAACCCCTTTTGGTCTAAATGGAAAAGCTGTAAAACAATAATTCGGGGGATAAACAGAGAAGTGGAAAATTCACGCTACGTTTCCCCTCACATGCAATCCCATCTTCACAAGAACATAATAATGTACATTTTTTTTTTTTTTTTTTTTCTCAATTTCTCTATTGAAATTCCTTGTTATAAAAATTATCTTTAGGGGAAATCGAAATGGGAATTCGGGAAATACTGGTTAAGGAGAAAAGTCAGGATTCTTGTGACGTTGAAACGCAAGGAAGCTTAAAGGCAAAAGGATGATGGATTTCAACAAGGTTTCATTTGCACATGCACGACATTATTTATTATGAACCCTTGTCTACTAACACTTCAGTTTTTTTTTTTTTTTTTTCTCACCGAACGGAAGGGCATTATCCCTTATGATACCGGCACCTGATTTGCGTACACACAACTCTTTTGAATCTTGTTCACTCTGCTGAACATACTTTTTTTTTTAAAATTAAATACATTGTCGTCAAGATATTTACCCCCTTGGTGACAGATATGTGTAATAGCTTCGTATTCTATTACACAGCATATTTGCTTTTCTTTTTCTCTCGCTTCTTCTCTCCCTTTTGTATCTCCTTCATCCTCATTAACTCTGACACGTGACGGGTTTAAAATAGAAATTAACATGTGAACAGTATAAATTGGTGGTTCATGCAAAATATATAGCGGGGATTATTTCGAGAGAAGAAAACTATTCCCCATAGATTACTCAGATGAAAAGACTGTTTTTTTTTTTTTTTTCTTTTTGAAGCGGCAAAACTCATAAAAGGTACGTACAGTAGGGGGGCATAGAAGAATATGGCTATTAATTAATGCATATATTATATGCATACGTACATATGTATATATATATATATATATATATATATATATATAATGTTATGAGAATTTATAAGGGCTACATAAAAATTATGATGATATTTATTGGTGCTATATTAATTACGATAAGATATTGGGGAAAATTTTTTCTCATCTCAAATCCGTTTCACGTTATCATTACGCATGCATGTGATGACGAGTTTTTGGCATGCTAAAAATATATCAACGAAATTAAGCCAAGGGTGACATATATAATATGTATATCAAGTGCAGTAGGCAAAAATATTTTTTCTTGAATGTATATATATTTTATTTAACGTGAAAATTGGGATAATTTTTTTTTTTTTTTTTAATTTTTTCTCCAAAAAATTCGGCATAATTGTTTCGCAGAGATATTTCTCCATATTAACAACGAATTTTACAAGAAAAAAAAAAGTGGCATGAGAAGAAGAAAAGGTGTTTAAAAAGGAGATAGTGATTTTGTGAACAATGCTGTTATTCTTTTTTTTTATATGTGAAAATTGTAAAATACATAATTATATAAAAGTGTGCTGGCCGAATACATCCAAATTGAATGTAAATAATAAGTTCAAGCATTATTTATAAGTCCTTTACTTTTTTTTATGTGCATATGTAAATATATACGCCACATACACTTATGCCTGAAAATTTATATATTTGCTTGTGATCGCAGTTAAACTTTTTTTTTTTTTTTTTGTTGTTATGTTTTGCCATGTGCTGCAACTCCTATGAATGGCTTCGCAGTTACGCATTTGACATTTAACTCTCCTCACCAAAACGTGTATTTGTTTAAATTCCCTCAATTTGACACATTCCAATTATTGGAAAATTCCCCCTTACTTCGTATAAGATTCGCTTGTTGCCTAATTGTTGATAATGGAAAAGGTTTACAAACCTTCTTATTATCAATATGTCATTTGAAAATAACTTAAAAAAAGGAAAAAAAAAAAAGAAAATATCATTCAGGGATGAAGAGATTGATGGGGATCTTATTGGAATTGCCAGTTTATTCGAGGTCTCAGGGGAGGATGATGACGCTGGCCATTCTGACGAAAACGATGATGTCGCTGATGAAGTAGAGGACAAGGAAGAAGATGCAGAAGAAGACGATGAAGTAGACGATGAAGATGATGGGGACGAAGACGATGAAGGTGATGAGGACGAAGACGATGAAGATGATGAGGACGAAGACGATGAAGGTGATGAGGACGAAGACGATGAAGATGATGAGGACAAAGACGATGAAGATGATGAGGACGAAGACGATGAAGAAGAAGAAGAAGATGATAATGCTGAGGAAGCAGACGACAATGTAGAGGAAGAAGAATATACCCCCTGGAGAGAAGCCAACAGTATGGAAGTAAGGGAGGAAATCCGTATGAGGCACGCAGAAAAATATAGACAAATGGGAGAAAGTGAAAAACATAACACGGTCATAGGAAAGAAGAAGAAAAGTGAAGAGGAAAATAAAAATAATACAAATGACGATATGTATAAGGATAGGAGTAATAGTAGCTCTTACACCACCGACAGTAGCAGGTGCTTCCTTAGCAAGGATTTCATAAAAAATGTAGGCCTGATGTACAATGTTATTGATAGTAAAATAACATTCGAAAGTGATTCTAGCTTTGAGAAGATATCGAACATAATCGAATTACGTGTTAGACAAATAATTGAAGAAGCAAATAAATTTTATGAGAAAAGAAAAAGATTTTCCATAAACAAATACATGAGCCTTAATGACATTACGAACTCATGCCATTATTTAAATGTAACAATTCCATATAAATACAGAACTATCCTACGAGATAATTTTAATTCATTAAATGAAAGTTTTAAAAATAACAAAGTTATGTATAAACTAGTATCAAAGAAAGATTTTAAAAATGTTCATAATAAAATAAAGAAAAATAAAAAAATAAAAAAAGCATATTTGCAGAAATATAAGAAAAAGAAAAGACACAATTTTTTCAGCTTAAGTGCAACGGAGATATTCAAAGAGTTTCAAAATCAAGAAAATCAAAAAAGAAATTGTTATAGAGAATTCATGGATAGGAAAAAAAAAAAAAAGAAAAAAAAAAAAAGTCTCAACAGGGGTCGAAATGAGTATCAAAATGGAGATATTATGTTTAAGGTAAAGAAGAAGATTAAAGGTGAATGTAAGTACAAAGTTTATGATGAAAGGAAAAAAACAAAAATTGTCAAAAGGGATGATAAAATCATTTCAAATTATGAATGTAACGAGAAGAAACATAAAGAAGGAGAAGAAACTTTGAGCATCGAGTTAGATGATGACTTGCCCTGTAGGCAAAAATCAAGTGAAGAGTACCATCAGCAGCTTGAAAATGTTGCAAAGGTATCACAGAATATCTTCGATGGTCCCTTAAATAAAGGAAACTATGATATTGATGTTTTCACAGAAAAGGAAGAAATCAATTTTTGTGAAAATGAGGAAATGGAAAAGAAATCTCCCAACGGAGGAGAAGCTGAGAATTACACAAATCAATTTGTTTTAAATTTGAGCAACGGACAACCTATTCCAGAAAATGTGCTGGATCAACAAAAATCTCAGTTGCTTGTGAATTATGAAAGTGATATAAATGGTAGTGGCCATAATACAGATCATGATTATGAGGATCATGTTGGCCGTAACCATGACGATGACCACGATGAAAGTGTGAATGATCTGATTAGTGAAATTGCACGAAGCGTCGAAAGGGAAATGGCAGATGTTAAGGTTCCAGAGGAAATGAACAGAGAAAAACTGCACGAGGGAGGGGAGAAGCACGAGGGAGAGGAGAAGCACGAGGGAGAGGAGAAGCACGAGGGAGAGGAGAAGCACGAGGGAGGGGAGAAGCACGAGGGAGAGGAGAAGCACGAGGGAGGGGAGAAGCACGAGGGAGAGGAGAAGCACGAGGGAGAGGAGAAGCACGAGGGAGAGGAGAAGCACGAGGGAGGGGAGAAGCACGAGGGAGTAGAAAAGCTCGAGGGAGTGGAAAAGGACGAGGGAGTAGAAAAGCGCGAGGGAGTAGAAAAGGATGAGGGAGAAAAGCTTCTCGATGAGCCAGATAGTAGAAACCCAACCATTCAGAAAAGGGAAGAGGAAGATGCCATCAATTACAAACATGAGAGAATAGACAAAGAAGAGGAAGAGATGACATTTATGAGAAATGAGGATGAAAATAATCTATTACAGCACAATTTGTACATGCAGAAAAGTGAAAAAAAGAAAAAAAATATTTTAACTTTTCTGTTAAGTGATATGCAAAATAAGCTCCCATTGGAGACAAATTTGACAATTTTTTGGTTATTTATACAAAATCGATATAATAAAAAGAAAAAAAAAAAGAAAAAAATAGGACAAGGAGATGGTTGTGTTGAGGAGGATTATTATTACCCATACGATGATGGGGATAATAATCAAAAAGGAAAAGGTGCATCTATAAATTTCGATTACCAGTGCCACGAGATTTTGTATAGAATAGACAAGAGGAGGGGGATGAAGGGCTTCCATTACTACTATCGTTTGGGTAAAGGAGGAGAAACAGATCATAGGAGGATCCATTACAATAATCACAATCACAATACGTATGAACAGCACGAGAGTCAGTACAACATTGTGGAAAACCCTCAATTTGATAACATATTTCTGCTTCCCAAATTTTACCCAATTAATAAAGAATACGCGATATTGTCAAAATATTTATTAGAAATAATAAAAGACATAATTAACTACCGAGTAAATTTTTTTGATTACAATAATATATTACACATCTTCACAACTTCTAAAGAAATTAATAAAGTTTTACCAAATATATTTTTTTTTCTTTTTAACGAATTAGAACATAATTTAGCATTCAATAATATGTATGCATCACTAATGTTGTTAATATTATTAGATGGGATAATTCGAAATAAAAATATTGATATAGATTTTTATTGTTTGCAAATATTAAAAATGTTAATTCATGTTATTATATATGAACATGAATTAAAGTTAAAAAATATTTATCTCATCTTATTATTAAAAAGAAAAGCATGTAATATTATTACTGATTTTTGTTCAATTTTGAGAAAAAAAAATAATAATGAAATTATTAATATAGATTATTATTTAATATACATTTTGAGTAAATTATTAACTCATAACAAATGTACATATATTCATATATATGTATCGTATTATTTGATGTATTTAATGCCTATAAATATTCACATCAAATTCTTTTTAGCATATACCCCGAACTTTTTGCATATATTCTTTAGAAAATATTTTTACCATCAGAATATGTATTACAGAGCCAATTCGAGATTGTCGTCACTATCATGCGAACAAGCTGAATTAAACGAACTATTTTTATTTTTTTTCTTTCACATTTATACACTTATACAAGGATCGCTGTATATAATTTTTAAAAATATGAATAACCTGCTTACATTAAATAATCCCACTACTTGCAATTATTTAAATTATTTGATGACTTTTATAATTCAGTATGCGGATTATCACTTGCCCCTTATCATGTCTATAATGACCGTGTTAGGAAAAGGTTCCATTTTAGATCCTAAAAGAATCGGCACAAGCAAGAAACGTTTCAAGCGTACATGTCATTCCAGATGTGTAGATAGACGAAGAGGAGCATTGTGCAAAATGGTATCTCAAGGTATAACATCGAAAAAAATGGAATATGAGAAAAGATACAAGAAAGGCTACTACAGTAGTAACACACACTGGAGAACCAAAAAAAAAAGAATAAAAAAACACAGAGGTAAAAAAGAAAGGAGAAGGAAATTAAAAAAGGAAATAATCCTTGATGTTAGTACAGTTCGAGCATACGAACTTCAGCATAATGTTCATAAATTAAGGAAAAAGAAAAATTACTTGAAAAATGTCAAAAAGATATATAATTATTATGTTAGACAGAACCAAAATAACAAGGATGATGATATATATATGGATAACTACAATAACAACGGTGAAGATCTAATTTCAACTGCAGATATGAACATTATTGGAGGTGATAAAAAGGCATTCTTGACAGAATATGTTAAGAAAAGAATATCATTAAACAAGATACTGTTGCAGAAAATGATGCACATGAATCAGTTGCACGCAAACATTGCTGTAAATAAAATTCTGTGCAAAATTTTAAATAAATTTGAAAAAAAGAGTGCAAAGTCATCAGCCCGCCGACATAGTAACGACGATGCCTTGCTTCTGTACAATAATTGCTACTACTTATTGTATAACCTCTGAGACGTTTTTGAAGCACCATGGAAGAAGAAAAAAAAAAAAAAAAAAAATAGCCAACAAATAAGAAATGAAAAACAAATAAGAAGTGAAAAACAAATAAGAAGTGAAAAACAAATAAGAAGTGAAAAACAAATAAGAAGTGACCAACAAGTAAGAAGTGACAAACAAGTAAGAAGTGACAAATGTGGAAAAAGAGAAAAGGACTATTTGGGGATATGAAAAGGATGACATATAAACAAGAGGCGGTTGAAAATATGAACAAGTAATGTAAATATACACATTTGCATATTTGAGGTTATGCACATACGAACAAGCGAATACATGCAAAGAGACATATCCATGTTAACCCTGTAACGCTGTATACTTTGTTATACATCGATTCTTTTTTTTTTTTTTTTTTTTTTTTTTTTACAAGTCATTTAAAATAGATTGTTTCATATACTTCAAAGAGTCCAAAGCATCGGACGATGATACCTTTTTTATATTATCTGTTAACTCTTTTAAATTTGAAGAACTGTTTTCCACATGGCTACTACGACTGTGGTCTGCATTTTCCAACGTTTTTGTTTTTCTTTTTTTGGTTGCACTTTCACCTTGGTTTATATTCCATTGGTCTAGCTCTTCTGTGCAATTAAGAACACTATTGTTCTGATTACCTTCATTGTTGATGATTGAGGTATCATTTATCATGTCACTAGTATGTTCCATTTTTGCACCTTCCTGAATCTCTCCGTTTTCTCCATCTTCATTGTTTTGTCTTTTTTGGACTGTTCCATCTTTGCAAATGTTTTCACATTCTAAATATTTTCCCTTTTGAAAGGAAGATATTCTTTCCCCCATGTCTTGAACGTTATAATCAGCACTATCCATTTCTTCTGGATTGTTAATTTTTTTTTCTTTTTTTTTAATCTTATATTGGTTCTTATGACTATAAAATTTACCTTTTTTTAGTCCTGGCATCTTTGCGTTATTCAACTGTTCATCTAAATCCTTTGGTGATGATATACATTCGTATTCACTTTTTTTTCTAGCGCATGATTCATCATTAAATAATTCTTCGTCTTGCATATTCATCTCTTCGCGTGCTCGTTTATTTTTTTCTTTTTCCTCCATTGGGATATTAATGTGCTTTTCATCCATCTGCAAGTTTTTTTGGTTATGTTTCAATTCCTGCTTGTCTTTTAAAATGTTAACAGATTTTCCTGTAATTGGGGGCTCAAATTGGTACGCTGTTTCTGACTTTTTCAAATTTATCAACTTGTCCAACTGTTCTAGCTTTTTTGATTTATCACCTCCTACATTTATACTCTTTCCTCTAACATCTAACGAAATCAAATCTAAATTAGTTAAAATGAACGTTTTGATTTTTCGTACTAATGTGGTATTACTGTGCAGTTCATTTTTATAATAAAAGGATGCCCCTTGTTGACTGACTTGGATAACCTCGGTCTCCATTTTGGTCAACTTAAAATAAAAGTTGTATATATTTTCAAAATCGAATTTGTGAATTTTCATCAAATTGGATAACACTTTTAATGTTAAATATATAGAGGTACTGTTTTGAAAAATAATGTGGAAATTTACATTACTTTCATCATCGAGTGTGTGAAAAAGGAAATGTTCATAATGGGTTAGAATTTTTTCCTTGACTTGTTCATGCGCATAATTTTCTACATTTTTCAAGAAAACTCCTAGGACACTAAGCGAATTGTTGTACAGTGCATGGATGGGCTCTGTGAGATTCATCCCTTTCCCCATTTCATATCTTTCTCTGTTTTTTTCGTTTTTTCCTCGTTTTTCACTTTCACCACTTTCACCAATTTGGACTTCCTTTATTCTTCTTAATATGGAGAATAATTTCCCCTCCCCCAGTTGAAACCTATTTTTGGTTAGCAAATTTACAATTCTGAATATGTGCATAATATAATTTACCAATTCGTTCAATGTGCAAGGGCACTTTTCTAATAGTTCCTTACAATATGTGATAAAATTGGCTCCCATGAAATTTGTTAAAAACAAATCCGATTCGTTATTGTTAATGTGGAAGAATTTTAAGAAATTCACAAAAATATGTGTATTCATACTTATAGATTCTGTGTCTTGTTCTTTTATTAAAATTCGAAAGAAAGAAAATACGTTGTCGATTATATATGTGAATATATTATTAGATACACTGTTATTCGTAATAGTGGGCGATCCTCGGAATATTTCATTTGGGTCCTTCTTTCTTCTCTCTTCTTCTTTTAAAATTTGTTCAATGCTGAATAAATCGTTTGACTGTTCATCGTTATGATAAGTGTAAGGACCTCCGTCGAGAGATATGTCCATTTTCTTATAGGATAGATAATCCTTTGACATATTTCCCAAATAGGTCAGCAGTTTTTGTATGTTTGCAATTATCTCCTTTATACTTACATTTATATTAACACATTCTACATGTTTTACAAAATAGACGCTCTGATTCGTATTACTAATTCTACAATTAAGTAAACTATTAAATATATGTAAAAGGTTGAAAAAAAAAAACAAGTTTTCTTTTTTCCCATATTTTAAAAATAAATTTATATTATCACCTATGTAATTATTTAAGTTTTCATAAATTTCGTTATTTAAAATGATATTCTTTTTTTTTTGCAAATATGTAACAAGTATTTGTTCAACAGTTTGTAAACAATATTTCTTCCTATTTAATTGCATAGTTAAAAAATTTAAAAATTCTTTTTCATAATCTTTCACAACGTTAAAATTTATACATACAATAAGTAGCAGAGTTGCATTGGCAAGATGAACTATATAATCACTGTTTATCAACATACCCAATTTTATGCTCAGAATAATAAGAAGGATATTTTTCAAATGTTTCAAATAGTGCTTTCTAATTTCTGGACAATCATTTGACAAAATGAATAGAAATTTTAGAAATGAATAAAATACATACATTTTGCATTTTAAAAATTCGTTCTCCTGGCATGAGTTATTGTTTATCTTTAAATCGACTACCCTTTTTATCAGTATATCAAAATTTTCGAAAACATTATTTAATTGATTCAGTTGATCATTTGAGTTTGCCATTTCTTCTTCCACTTGTTTGTTTAACAAGTGTTTCTTTTTTTCCTTATTACTCTTTTGTTCTACATTTTCTGTTGTCACATTGATTCCTTTGTCTTTATTCTTTTCCCTTCCCTCCTGTTTGGATTTATTTTTTATTTTCATTTGTGTGTATACCCTTGAATACTTTTCTTCAACCTGTTTTGCCAAAATGTAATTCCTCCTTAGGAAATCATTTTCTGTATTAAAGATGAAGGTCACAAATATCAGAAAAAAATATTTGTCTTCAATACTCGATGCAATTATTTCACTTTGCTCCCTATCCAATAGATTCATGAATTTCCTAAAAGTATCTAAATTTAAATCATTCAGTAGAAAATCTCTTCTATCTCTCCACTTTAGAAAAACATCTTGTTTTATATGATGAAAGCAAATGCATACATTGTACAAGTTTATCTTTTTCCCCTCCCATTTTTCCAGAAGTTCGTTGAGCACTTTGTTCAGCGTCATTTATCAGTTCGTTCTTACTGGACAATTTTTTTTTGGGGGGAAGGAGTGAAAGAGAAAAAAAAAAAAAAAAAAAAAAAAAAAATGGGAACAACGATGATTAAAAACGATAATTATTGTTTCTACTATGGTTAATTCACTACTACCGTGACTGATTCACACTACTGTGTTACTAAGCCCCCATATTATGAATACGAGAGGTGGGTCTGCAAAGCAAGGCATGCACCTGCCTTTTTATTTTTTTAGCCGTACGTGTGAATTAAAGTTATACGTATTTGTTATTATTTTTTTTTTTATTATTATTTTTACAAGTCAATGTTTCCTATCCATAAATTTGAGCCTTCTTACAAGGTTTCTATTAATTGGTCAATAATGTGATCTACGTTGGAGATGATACTGAAATTTATTTATTTGATAATTTGGAAAAAGGTTTTATTCCTTGCATAGGAGACCTTTATGCGTAGTTGTAGCGAGGGCAAAATTAGAACGGAAAAAAAGAAGCCTAAGCAGAGAGGGAGAAATGTGAAGAGAAACGAAGATAAATGAAGAGGAATGAAAAGATAAGCATAGCAAAAGAAAGGTGCTTACGAAGGCGCATTAGTGAAAAAAAAAAAAAAAAAAAAAAAGGCACAGAATTTAAGGAAAAACGTGGGCGAAAAATTAAAAAAAAAAGATAATCTTAAAATTTTATGTAAAGGGGAAAAAATTGCATAAAGAGTTTAAAAAAAATTTCCGTTAAAGGCTGAAAAAAATACATGTATACAACGAACACAAGTGAGAATACTTGTGAAGCCTCCTTAAGGTTTTCATTTTTCATACTACAGAAATTGCTAAACCCCAATGTTAGGGGATTTTAAAATGGGGGATAAAAAGGAATGATGAAAAAAAAAAAAAAAAATGATATAATTACATTTATCATCATTTTGTGGGAATAGTGTGTGTTATGTAGGAAAATGGTGGAAATTTCTTAAAAATGTATATCCTCTAATTTTTTATATGCGTAATTAAAAATGGACAACTAAATATAAATGTATAAGGAAAGGAGAGAAATTCTACATATATAATAATAAATTAATATATATGCATGTAGATATTTGTATAATAACCATTTATAATACAAACTTATATTAACACACAAAGTAGTTAACTTTGAACAGGAGGTTATTATATATAATCGCGGTCCATAAAGTGAAGATGGAGAAAAAACAACAGAAAATATATGTAGCACCACTCCCTTTTACAGTGTGTGTACTTTTTTTTTTTTTTTTTTTTGCATATTGCAGAATGGATCGACTTGTTTTCATTATGTGGAAAAAAATTGTCTATTCTTGTAGATCCACACTTTTTTTTTTTTTCTTGAAAACCCCATTACATATTAAACAATTTTATAATTTGTTTCCTCAAGTAATATAACAAAATGAAGATTCTTTTCTTTTTTTTTTTTTTTTTTTCACCAAACTGAAATAAAAATGGAAAGCTAGTTAATCAAAGTATTTATAACATATTCGCATATTGGGGAGGAAAATATTTTCTACGCATTTATAACATAATGAAAGGATGAATATAACGGCCAGAAAAGACGGCACTAAAAAAGTAAAATAACATTTTTTTCACTTTTTCTTTTAAAGAAACAAAAATAACGAACGTGTTCATATTTTTAATTATTATCAAAGAACAAAGTTTAAGTAGGCTAAAAAAAAAAAAAAAAAAAGAAAAAAAAAAAGTAACTTAAGGTAACATAAAGCAACGCAACGCGTTTTGTTATTTCTTCTTATGCTTGCCCTATTGTCTAATGTGTGTTATTTCATGTTTTAAAAAGATTTAATGAATATACACTTGGGGGAATACATAAAAGTCCTACAGGCATATTTTTTCATCACTCTTTTTTTACATTTTGGAAATGAATAACATTTGTGTTGTTTGGGTATTTTTTTTTTTTTTTTTTAATTAAGCCATTTGCATACAGAAAATACAAAAAAAAAAAAAAATATATATATTATTGTGCCATATTGTATGAATAAATACATACATAAAACGCAAACGTGATGATGTATAAAAGGAAAGTGTAAACATGCAACCGCACATTCTGTTTATATGAATTTTGCAATTGCATTTGCCTTCCCTCCCGAGAAAGGAATAACCCAATTGACGGAAATGTTGTAAAGTCATAAATGAGCAGAATAACGTTCGAAACATACAAAAAAAAAAAAATAAAATAAATAAATAAAAATAATAAAATAATATATAAAATAATAAAAAAATGAATGATTAGTAAATAAATATAACCACATAAAAGAGCATAATGGAAAAATAGCGAAATAACAAAACAATGGCAAGAATTACCCACGAGGGGAATAGTCCTGTTTTTATTTTCAATGCACATTGTTACATTTGAATTTTTTTAACTTTTTTTTAACTTTTTTTAATAAATCAAATGTGTTTGTTATCTGTAACATTGTTTTGTTTTTTTGTTTCGTTGCTTCTTTGATTCTTTGATTTTTGTTTGTTTCCCGTTTTGTTTCCTCCCTTCTTTGTTATTCATATTCTTTTTCTTTTACATTTTCTTTTTTTCCATTTCATTTTCGAAACTATTAACTCTTGAATTATAAAAATGTTGTGAAACTGTTTTGTTCTTTCCTCTGAAAAAAAAAAAAAAAAAAAAGGGATATTCTTTTTTTTTTTTTTTTTACACTGCGCCATCAGGTTATTGCACAATACATGTGTGGGTGTAGCAGAGGAATTGCATTATTCGCCAGCATAGAGGTGTAAATATTCTGAGACTGTTGTCCTTTGAACAGCTGGAAGAACTAGAAGCATACCACACAAAGTGTGGCTTAGCAACGTTGCGAAGACGTAAAAATTGTGAAAAGGAAAATCAGAGAAAACTGGAGACATCATTTTTAAAGCATAACATTTTCAACCACAACATATACAAAAAAAAAAAATGCAAGTGCACGTAGAGGGGTCACATACACTTGAGTCATGTTTTCATTACACTAACTGTGAGAACATATATATACACACGAAGATACAAGTGTCTCATTCATTTATTTGACGCCATCCCATTACCCAGATGTAATGCAACTATCGTACATAAAGACATAACAAAAATGTCGATCAATTACAAAACTGTAAATGCAGTTGTGGACGATTTCAAGTATAAGTGGAAACAAGGAATAGGAGAAAAAATGAATTGGAAAGAAAAATGTGATTATCCATTTGATAATAATATAAGTAGAACAAAATTGGAAGAAAATAATAACTCGTTAAATTATCACCCTTCGAAAATTTTTCATTTTGAAAGCAAAACTGTCAAATTGATGGAATCTCCAAATGGGGATAACAAAATTGATATGAAAGATCAAGAGAACAAAATATCGAAAATTACATTCAATAATGCAAATTTTTTAAAAACCCAAAATAAAAGCATTAAAAATGATGATGAAGAAGAGAACTATTTAAGGGAAGACAACACAATTGCTCAGTTGAAAGGGAAAAAACGTGATTTAATAGACAGAAATAATGAAAAAAATTTGAAGAGAAAAAAAATAAATGAAATTATAAATAAATATAAGAAAAATATGACTATATTTCCAGACAGGAAAGTTAGTGATGATTCAGTTAATTATGATGAAAGAAATTCCAACAATGATGCACAAAATGCCAATTCAGATAATAATTATATTTTGAAAGAAAATAATAATGTTAATTCGAGGGAGGTAGAAAAGTCTGTTAATCTTCATCTACATGATCATAAAGGCTCTTGGATTGGTAGTAAAAAGGTCCATTTATATGATAAACATCATGTTAGGATAGAACAATATAGTAAAAATAATGATAAGAACAATTATCAGTATAATAATTTAATGTGTCTTCAAAGGGGAAATAATGAAATAAAAGAAAATTCGACCAAGGCTAGTGTTGAACCTGGCGAAGATAAAAAATGTATGTACTTGCCAGAAGAAAACATCTCGGAAAAAAAAGTTTTCAAAAAAAAAAATTATGAAAATGGTGGGAATAGTCACATGCATAGTTCTCCTCGCCTCTTAGATCAACATAAGAAAGAGTGCTATCATGGGAGTTCAGAAAAAATTATGAAACCGAAAAAGTATGATATTAATTTAGATTACAAAGAAAATGTTGATGAAGAGTGGAATACCAACTGCAATTTTAAGAGTTCATCTTATTTGAGCGAAATTAAAAAGAAAGAAATCGAAGGGGAAGAAGTTCCTATCAATCTTCGTCGAACGAAAGACGGAAATACTTTTTTGTCTAATTTTAATCAAATCAACATGTCTTACTCCTCAGGAATGGAAAAGAAAAAGAGCACAATAGACACACATGGGGATAATTTCTGTGGATCCTCAGACTTTTTAAAATGTAAGAATAGTCATGTTACTAATCCATGTGATGACATTGCTTCAGTGAATTGTTATAAAACATCATTTAATGAAAATAAAAACAATTTTTTAAACTCTGAAAGGATGGAAAAAACAAATATTCAGAGATTTTCCATTTTGGGAGACGCAATTAAGAAAGGAAAAAAGGGATCTATAAAGGGAACAGCTGACGAAGAATCGATGGGGACTGTCGAAAACGAGAAACGGAAGATAGACACGGGAAATTTTTCCCATCTTAGGAAATTGTTTAACGAAACTGTGTTTAATGATGAAGAAAAGCATATGAGGGAAAAGTTCGAGAAAATCAGACAGATGGAAAAACTGATCAACTTTAATGATGAGATGTCTATTCTGGGTAAGGGGAAGGAAGAGACGGAGAAGGAAGAGAAAAAGAAGGAAGAGAAAGAGAAGGAAGAGAAAAAGAAGGAAGAGAAGGAGAAGGAAGAGCAGAAGAAGGAAGAGAAGAAGAAGGAAGAGAAAAAGAAGGAAGAGCAGAAGAAGGAAGAGAAAAAGAAGGAAGAGAAAAAGAAGGAAGAGAAAGAGAAGGAAAGAAAAAAAGAATTACATGATATTAGCCCATATGTTGAGGAAAAGAGTAACCTGACAGGGGATATGGAACGTGGTGTATGTAGTGACCGAAGCAACAAATATCGGAAAGAAGTAGATGAGGAAAAGGCAAATAATGAATATGAAATATGTGAAACAAGTTCCCCATTGAATGATAAAGAAGCTTCAAGAGAGAGTATAAATAAAGAGATAACTACAAAGTGTGACAATAAATTAAGCTACCGTTTCGAGTCTGGAGAAACAGATATTCAAGGAAGTAAAGAAAAGGATCGAATAGATATGAAGAATGCTTTACATGTCAACAATCAGGATGATGCGAATGTATGGACACATGGAAAAAAAAGTGAATACGATTTTATGAATTATGGAAAGGACGAAAAAACTCAAATGATCCGTTTTAGAGAACGAAACAACCCTATTGAAGATAAATCAACTCTTTTGGTGAAGAATAAAAATAAAAATCTTTCCCTTTATGACAAAATTACACATTCTCTATTGAGCAAAGAGGAAACATACCACAAAAGTAAAAATAGACAAGAATCAGATATTGAAAATTTTGAAGAAATTTCGGAGCATTGCAAAAATTTTTACAAGAATGAACACAACAAAAAGTGGGATAATTTGAGGAAAAAGTATCTCAATATGAAAGGAATAAATATAGCTTGTTCTAATGGAGAAAAGAAGAAAGAAGAAATAGGATACTATACTTTTAAAGATGAAAAGGAAAAAAATTTCCAGATTACATCTAAGATAAGAAAAGCACATGTAATGGAAAAGGACAATATGTATGAATTACAAGAAGGAGGAAAAATCATCATGGGAGAGGAGATACACGTTTCAACGAATGAAACATTGACCAATATGAGTGAAGAGTCTAAAAAAAAACCAACACAAAGGAAGGAAATGTTTGGTGAAAGAAATGAAATAATGGCTAAGAAGGCGAAGTTAAAGGATACTGATTCGTGTGTTTATAAGTTAAGCTATAATAACACGAATTATTCGAGAGATGAATTACCAATATGTAGGGAAAGTATTGGAAACAACACTGGTAACTGCTGTCCCAATCTGAAGCTCCAAAGTAAAATTGAGACATTTACCATATCCGATGATAAAATAAAAGAAGAGAAAAATTGTGGAAAAATGGGGGTGTTCTCCCCAGGGAACACGACAATCATGAACGATATGGGTAATATGAACAATATGAACAGTATGAACAATATGAACAGTATGAACAATATGAACAGTATGAACAATATGAACAGTATGAACAATATGAAAAGTATGAACAATATAGACAGTATGAACAATATGAACAGTATGAACAATATGAAAAGTATGAACAGTGTAAACAATATGCAGAATAGTAAAAAGACGACTGAGGAGGAGGGCAGAGGAGGGGGGATTCATATCAATGAGGATAATGTTTTAAAAAAGTATAGGCAATTTTTGAATAAATCATCCGCCCTTATAAATCCTTATAAAAATGGAGATAAAATTAGGGAGTATCTAAATCAAGCACGTGATGAAGTTGATGAACTAAAAGGGAGAAGAAAAAACAAAACATCAATGAACAGCCTAAAGGATGAGAGAAGTGTTAATGGTAATTTTGTTCTCTCAACAGAGTTAGTTAAAAAGAGGAATCATATTTTGAAAAACACGTCAGACAGAACTTATGTAGAAAAGTTAAATGTCGCAAAAAATGATATCAGGGAAAGAATACATGCAAATATGAAGAAAAAAGCGAGCAATGGAATGGAGATGAAGAATCCGTTATTTTACTCTATTAATGCTACGAATGATGTGCATAGAAAAAACAATTTCGAAAAGCCGTTGAATGATTTGTACCTGTCAAATATAGAAAGTATAGACGAAATAAAAAAAAAATATGAAAATGTTATAAAACGGGTTAGAACAAACCTTGTTAAGGAGAATAAGTACACGAATTTGTACTCTGAGGAAAAGAGAACAAATACCAATGAAAAAATAAAAGAAAATTTGGATATGATTAAGCAACATTTTAATGAAGAAAAAATGAAAATTGATGAAGAAAATAAAATAAGACATGAAATTAACATGAAAAGGAAATTATACGAATTAAAAATTAGGAAAGATTTTGAGGAAAAAATTAGAATAAGGAGAGAAATGAATGAAAAAAAAGTGATGGAAGAACGGAATAAAGTTTACGATGGTGGTAAGGTTGGTAACAATTTGAATGGGATTCACAAGGGCACATTTGAGGATCAGTATACAAACATAGTTCAGACTAAATATTCAGAACATGGAAAAGATGCAAAATATGAGAAACAAAGAGACAATGCAAAAACAAGGAAATCTAAAGAGAAGATGAAGAAGAGAAATATCTTTGAAGATTACTCCAGCGATGGTAGTTATTATAAATACATGTACAGAAATTTGTACGAAGAAACATGGAATAATAAAATGAATAGCCAGTATTACGATATTTGTGATAATTTATACCTACAAGATTGCTCAGATAATTTTTTCCATAATACAAAGTCACGTTCATCAGTTGATAATTCACTTTCGAACAGCTTTGACAATGAGTTAATTTCATTAAGTAGAATTAAATTTGATGACTTTGATTACAATTATTTACATGAACTTAACGAATCCGTGTCCAAGCAAAAAGATAATTCATATTATTCCTCTCATGGGGAACAGGTGAATAAGTTAAAAAATGCAAATTTAGTAAAACCTAAGGTAATTCTAACCGACAGTGATGTAAGCCCAAGAAAGAAAAGAGTTCGACTGAGTCGACAAACGAATGAAGAAAGAAAAAAACAAAACAATTTTAGAGATTTGTCCATCATCAAAAGAAGGGAAGGGGAAGTGGAAGACAAAAGAGAAATTTCACGCTATAGTCGCATTCCCTCTACTTCATTTGAATATAAAAAAAACGACAGTGACAATATTTTGAGTAAGTTGCTATTGATGAAGCACCAAAATCGGGTGCGTGGAGAGGAAGCCCGAGTTGAGCAAGTGAGCGAAGTGAACGAAAAAGGTGCAGGTGCAGTTGCAGAAAATGATGAAGAGATGGAAGCAGGTTCAGGTGTAGAAAATGATGAAGAGGTGGAAGCAGGTTCAGGTGCAGAAAATGATGAAGAGGTGGAAGCAGGTTCAGGTGCAGAAAATGATGAAGAGGTGGAAGCAGGTTCAGGTGCAGAAAATGATGAAGAGGTGGAAGCAGGTTTAGGTGCAGAAAATGATGAAGAGGTGGAAGAAGTTTCAGGTACAGAAACTAATGAAGAGGAGGAAGAAGGTGCAGAAAATGATGAAGAGGTGGAAGCAGGTTTAGGTGCAGAAAATGATGAAGAGGTGGAAGAAGTTTCAGGTACAGAAACTAATGAAGAGGTGGAAGCAGGTGCAGAAACCGACGAAGAGGTAGAAGCAAGTGATGGCATCGTACCAAATAATGAGACTCATTCAGAGCATGAGATCCAATCGGATCAGGAAATTCAGTCATATCAGGAAATACAACCAAGTCAAGAAATACAACCTGGTGAAACCATGGACATAATGGAAGAAAACCAAATGGATTTCGATGAAGCTACTCGTCAGAATGAATCATCCGAAGATGAAAATTCCCATCTTGTTAAAAAGACACATACGCGAAACGAACTAAATTGTATTAATAAATATCATAATGAATCACATAATGTACCAAAGAAGAGAAAGTATGTTCCCGTACAAGAACAAGCGGCAGATATAATAAAACCCAATTTGGTCGAAAAATATGCTGAGAAAAACAAAAAAAACAAAGAGAAAAGTGTAAACGAAGGGGTAAATAAAAGCATGGATAAGATAGATTTGAATAATTTCGAAATGCATAGAGAAAATAAAACTTCTGATATATCAAAAGTGAATAAGGAGAACGAAGAGACTGATACAAACTTGAAGTGTTCTTTATCATCCTCTGATAACGGAATTCCAAAAATTAACATTCTAAACAATAAGGAAAATTATATCCCACTAGATGTTGCTCTTAATTTTGTTATAGACAATGAGAATTTAAAAAAGACTAACGTACAAAAGGAAAACAAGGGAAATCCCCAAAAGAAGTAATTACAAATAATACATCTTACCATTGAACAATTAATGATGTAGCTCTTTCTTTAGGAATGAGAGTTCATGTCGTATAGCATGATTCTTATCCACCATGATATGTTTTCCCACTGAACACATAATCATTACTATTTTCTTTGTATTTTATCTTATTTCTCTACCCACCTTTTTTTTTTTTTTTTTTTTTTTTCCCTTTTTCACACCTTGTTTCTTTGCAGAACCTTCGTGCAATGGTTAATGGACGAGCGAAAGAAACGATTAAAAAACAATTTGCCTATCGATATATAAGGATATTCTGTTCAGATAATTTATTTGGCACATGTTTTTCGGATATATTTTTGTGTGTATTTTTGAAGGCCCTTACTTGATCCAGGGAAGTTTTTTTCCTATGTGCAAGGGTGTTACCTCCCCCCAGTTGTATATGCGATGATATGTCTATATTTGTTTCAACAAATTTTGCTCCAGCGCATTTTATGACATCAAGTTTTATGTCAACATCTTTTTTTGTTATTCTTGTATATTTCTCAAATGTTTTAAAAAATAAAATAAAAAGTGATTATACAAAATACGTTCGCGTTATATATATATATATATATATATTTTTTTTTTTTTTTTTTTTTTGTTTATAAAAATCTCATGTTTTACACGACTCAAAGTTGGAATGTAGAAACATATTTGTAGTAATTATAAGGAACACGTGTGAATTTTACAATTTAAAAATAAGGTGTGTCAAAGGGCATCACGACGCATACGATTGGGAGCATGCTTGTATGAAACAAAATGTATATAAATAATGTTTACATATATTTATAACACACATATGTATACATATATATAATTAAAGTAATACTGAAGAAGGAATAAAACAAATGACACTCAACGCGGATAAGAGCAAAAGGCGCATTGCAACAAGACAGAGAATTGCAGTCTTCCTATTTTTTCCTTTTGAACTTTTCCCCCTCTTCTCTTTTTCAAAAGAAACAAAGTTATAATTTTATTTCTAGGTAAGCGTATGCTAATTTTTTTTTTAATTTCTTAAATATTTTATCAAAGAAAGAATAAGGAAAAGTGTAATTTTTAGTGTAGGGAAAGAATGTCATTGCTATAAGCGCATAGCAAAAGATGGCATGGGGAAAAACAAATTACAAAGTACACAAAGGCAGAATTGGCACAGTATAAGGAGTAAATGACAAAAAAAAAAAAAAAAAAAAAAAAAAAAAAAAAAAAAAAAAAAAAAAAAAAAAAAAAAAAAAAAAAAAAAAAAAAAAAAAAAAAAAAAAAAAAAAAAAAAAAAAAAAAAAAAAAAAAAAAATAAGATAAATTAAATAAATAAATATAAAAAATATAAAAAATATAAAAAATATAAAAAATACAAAAAGTACAAAAAATATGAAAAATTAAGACATCTTTTTGGTCTTCCAAAGAAAAGCAGTCACATAGCAGAATTGAAGAAATATAAAAGGGAAAAACTTACAATTGAAACATTTCCAAACAAGAACTAAAAAAAAAAAAAAAATATGATAACTGTATCAGTAACCAATGACAGGGTGCGCGATAAGTTGTCTGACTTGGGCTTATGCGTTTTCATAGGTATGTGTACATAACGCCTATTCCTTTGCCTTAAAAGATGTATCATATGTTACAACACATTTCTCCTTCCCAGGAAACTTAAAGAGAGCGAAGAAATTGCTAAAGAAAAGTGACATTAATAGCAAATTTATGGTTAGAACAAAAGCGAAAGTGGTGTTTGATTTTATTTATTTATTTTATTATTATTTATTTTTTATTTTTTTATTATTTATTTTTTATTTTTTTATTATTTTTTTATTATTTATTTTTTGTTTTTTTATTATTTTATTATTTTATTTATTTTATTATATTATTATTTTATTTTTTTGTCATATCATCAATGACATAGCATGAGGACAGAATATCCCCCACTTCGCTCGTCAATCATTGTACAGTCATATATACAAATAAGTACATATATACATACCCTTCTTTGCCTATGCCCCCCCCCCCCCTTCTCAACAGAACAACAATAATTTGCTTCACATATGCTCACACAATGAAAACGCGAACATGTTTTATTTTCTGCTAAGCAATGGATGCGACTATAAGCATATAAATGTAAAGAAAAAAATTGTCACGTGTTGGCTAAGCTAAATAAAAAATATAAATAGTGGGAAAGTAATTTTATTAAAAAAATGTCAAGATATGATATGCAGAAAAAGACTTGTAGAAGTTATGAATAAATCGGGTTCTACTACCATATTCACAAACGACCCCTTGTCTAACGTCATATAAAGCACATATCTAAACTTGTTTTATCCATTATTGTCTAATTTTTTGTGTACTTTATAGTAATTTTTTCCCCCCTATTTTTTTGTTCAGGATAATGGGGATACCTGCTTGCATATGATTGCGCTAAATAACAATATCTACTGCTTCGACATCCTCTGTAGAAATAATATTAAAGACATCATTGACTTAAAGAATAAGGTAATTTAACAGTACCTCTTATGAAAAGGAACTACTTTTAAAAAATAGGCAAACTGCCCATTTAAAATCGTTTGTGCGCATATCATAAAATGATACATATATATATATATATATATATATATATATATATATGCCTTTTTTTTTTTTTTTTATGTGTATTGAAAATGTGACAGGAGGGGGATACTGCTTTACACATAGTCATAAAAAATGGATTTTACGAATTTTTTACCCTACTGATAAAATATGGGGCAAATACAAATATAAAAGACAACGTAAGTAACTGTATATTGAGGAGAGAGTCACAAGAATAAACAAATAGATATGTATCATAAAATTTTGATCTATTCACTTGTTCATTTGAATGTTTTATTAAAATTACATCATCTTATTATGCGATCGTGGAATGAGTTTATTTATTTTGTTCATCGTTTTTATTTTTCTTTCTCTCTTTTACCCCATTCCCATTTTATCATTTTTTTGTGTTAATAACTCCCCCAACACATTTACACACACTACCCCATTTTAACAGTATGATATGGACGCCTATGAATTATTAGACCTTTACAGGAAGAAGGAAAAATTGTACGATTACAATTCGAACACATATAGAAATATGCTTAATTTTTTAATAAGCACGAAAAAGGAACGTTAACAAATTTTTTTTTTTTTTTTTCCTATTCCTTCTTTATCTGATAAAAATATATAGACGTATTATGAATATGTTTACCGAAATATGCCTTTTTAAAATGTGAAATTATATATTTTTAAATTAAAAAAAAAAAAGAAAAAAAATTGCATACATAAAATAAAATGTATTGCGGGGGAAGTGTACATTTTCGAACGCGATTAAGGGGCATAATCAGTCTTGCAGTAATTCTCTTCCAAAATGTGTTAGTAGCAAATTATGCAAGCATATTTTGAAATATATTCTTAATTACACATTTTAAGTTAATCCCATTTTTGAGTTTTCCTTCTTACTGTTTTTCCCATTTCTTATTTGTTTGCAGTCACCTTTTAGTTTAGCCTTTTTTTTTACCCCCATGATTGCATGCATAGAGTGTAGTACAAAACTCTTTTTCCCACACTTTTAATGCATATTAAAAAAAAAAAAAAGAAAAAAAAAAGGTTAATTTAAAAATGTTTCTCTTGGATTTTTTAATTGACAAAAAAAAAAAAAAAAAAATGATCTTCAAAGGCTAATTTCATACACAACTACACTACCTGGGTATGTGTTCCTTTTCTCACTTTACATCTTAACATTTTATAATGTTAAATAATTTTTTTTGTTCCTTCCTTTTATATGTATTTATTATAATCCTGAAGCATATTGACAACATTTACTGCTTTTACATATCTAAGGTGTGTTGTACCAATCTGTTTTATTTGAGAGAATCGAATGATGCATCGAATTACTCGGAGGGTCGTGAAAGGTATATGCAGGTAGGAAAATCAGAGTTATAAAAAAATAGAAAATAGTGTGCAGCATGTTGTATTGTGACACATAAAAAATTTAGCATGCTATTAAAAAAAAAAAAAAAAAAAAAAAAAATTTAGCTTAACACAACATTTACAAACATGCCGATCAGTGTCTAAAGATACAAGCGGCAAATTCTGAAATGCATGCGCAAAAACGCGAGAAAAATAAAAATCACTTTTAAAAATTCTATAAGGAAAAGAAAATGAAGAAACTAAAGCTTAAAGCGGAACACAAAGTGGTCAAGCAGTTAAGAATAACACCGAGGTATTGTCAGAAAAGAGAACTACGCAGTATGCACATTCACCCATTCCTGTATACATCTTTGTTCGTATACTTGTACTTGTCTGTTTATGTATGTATGTCTACTCCTATGCTCGCATTCATATGTGCGTGCTCTTTGTGTTTTTTTTTTTTTTTTTTTTTTTTTTTGCAGAATTGGGACCAACGATTTACTAATAAAAATAAATTCAGCAAAGCAGTTTTTGCTAAGAAGACACAGGGTAAGTGTATTTTTCAAATAAATACTTATGTCTACACACGCATTTTACATACGTTTTTGTTCATGGAAAAAAGTGTCTCTCCCCATTCTATTCCATATTCACATATTCGAAATGAGGTACAAGTTATATATATAGAAGGCGCTAGGCTTTTTTTTTTTTTTTTTTTTCCTTTTCTTTTTCCTTTTTTTTACAAAAACCCACAACATTTCACTTATCAGGTAAAATTTATTTTGACTTTAAAGGGAAGAGAGTACACTAATGTAGAAAACGTAAAAAGAATTTTCGGGAAAATTTCGGAAGAATTAAAAAGTTATGGTAACTCAGAGACCATGCGACAGAATGGTAATGTTGTTTCTCAGCTGTTTAATTTAAAGGCTAAAAGAAAAAGTGAAACCTGAATTTAATGCATATCTGGTATGGATCACATGCAGCCATGCATATGTATACGTGTCTGATAAATTGACATGTAATAGTATATAAAAAAATGCCAAAAAAAGTATAAAAAAAAAAACATTTGGTATAGAGAATAAGTGATTAATCTTGTGCCTATTGAAAAAGAACAAACCCATTTTTATTTTTTGATCATATGAATGTGATCATTTTTCCCTATTTTTTTTTTTTTTTTTTTTTTGTGAAATAAGAATTTGTAACCTGGCGGCAATTTTAAATGTGCATTTTTTGTTTTTTCTTTTTGAACTGTGGAGAAAATAATTTTACTTGGTATTTCTTCAATTTAATTCATTTTTGCACACCCATTTTATTCTCTCGAATTTAGAATAAGTAACATTTATGAATATGCTTTTTTGCAACTTAGCATTATGTTGGCAATAATTAAAAAGGAGTTTTTAAAAAATTTGTTACATTACGAGATTTCTTTAAATTCACTTTTTCATAACGCATTTTTAACTAAAAAAAATAAAAACAATAAATAATAAATAAAAATATCACCGGGCAAGAGATGTATCAATGTAAGCGCAGAATTTGTTCTTCCATTTTAGCACTGTCCCTTGCAATACTCACATTGCACACAATAATGACGTTTGTGCACATGTATTTTACTGGATATAATCAAACGAGAACTATAAAGTGTATATATTACACTCTTTCATGTGGGAGGAATATATAAAGACAGGTTAAAAATAGTTCAGTAATCCCAAAATAAAAGAGGAAATAATTTTTTTTCTGTTTATGCCTTCTTAAATGAGAACCTATAGTGGTGTGTATATTATAAAGGTCACTTAAAAGTACACATATCTATTGGGGGAGGGGGGAAGAAAAGAAGATATAATCTAATTGCACATTTATTTGGACTTTTTTTTTTTTTCTTTTTTTCTTTCTTTTCTGCATTATTCAATAATCTGATGAATCATTTTTGATTTTTCCACAACATTTTTTAAACTTTTTGTTAGACCCACAGGTACATAATTTATTGTTATATTTTGAATATCCTTTGATATAAATTTTGTTCTTGTCAATGTCATCATATCGTACAAAGTTATCATCACTATTATCATTTTTAAACATTCTATTTCGCAATTCTGTTTCAATTTGGTTCATTCTTAAATCTCCAATTAAATATCTTTTTCCTTTATTGAATATGGAGTAAGCACTTATAGGACTTCCACGGCCATTACTATTACTATCATTGTTGGTGTGATCTAAGTTTAAAAATATAATGGCAATTAAGATTATTATTATATACACAACCCCAAATATACGGTAGAATGGGTAACATGAGAATAACAAAATACCAGATACAATTTTCGGGTGAGAGTATATTACACTTCCATTTTTTCTTTTTGAGTTCCTTTTTTTTTTCGGCATATCTTCACATACCCATGTAATTGCAAAATTTATTTTGTGTCAGTTCTTCAGAAAATAAAAGGGGATTTAATTTCACAAAGAAATAAAATAAAAATAAAATAAAGGAATAAGATTAAATCATTTTATAATTACTTTTAAACATTCTTTTTCCTGCAAGTTAGCTTGTTTTGAAAACTAAGACCTGTTTCTATTTTACTATATGTGTGCTTTTTTGAATATGCCTCACTGAAGCGCGAAATGGGCAAAGGCGTAAAAAGAAAAGAAAAAAAAAATAAAAATTTAATATATAAAAAACAAAATAATCATAGACGTAAAACATGACAAGAGGGGACCACGTAACAACAAAAAAATTGAAAAGAAAAATTAATGAACAGAGGACGTCCTATTTCAATTCTTCATATTCTCATCATATTAAAATCCACCACCCCACGGTAATTAAAAAAGAGGTGCAATATAAAATGTTGTGTATAATGATATATATGTCCATTCAGATAAGTGTATATATATACCATACGAGATATTCATTGCACAATTTTTGAAATCCTTGTGTTTTTGAAATTTTTGCGAATTTATTTTTTTATTATTTATTTGTGTTTTTATTTTATTTTTTTTTGTTTTTATCTCATTCTGCACTGAAGCCTATGAAGAGCGTTTCATTATTCAACTTCTTTCATTATTTTACCTCTCCAACCCCTCGTAAACACTTCGTTTTTCTTTTAACATTTTCGAAGAGGAGAAATTTCAACCTATTCACATCATATATATCATATTTTGAGAAAGTTTTAAGCCTATCAATGAGTAGAACAAACAAGTGAAAAGGAAAAATGACAAATAATGTACTAGAGGGAAAAAAGAAGAAGGGAGGTAATGTGATTTTCACATGTCACTTGTGTGTGATAAATTGATTGAAATGACGGAAAGAAAAAAAAAAAAAAGAAAAAAAAAAAAGGCATATTATTGATAACCTTGTGATTACCATCATCTGTTTATTATAATCTACAAATAGGCCATAAATTAGAATTATTTGAGCTCATTTATATTCCTCACATGTACTACATTTTTTATACATTTATTTTTAAGACGTAGCAATCGTTAACATCATATACTAATTTCATCTCCCCCATTGTTTCCTTTTTTCCAGGATTTTGCAAACGACTTTGCAACGGTTTTTTTCATGCCCTTAAGGGACCAAGCATAACACATAGTGTTCTGTTTGGAATATTTGGAGGTATCAAATGAACGAGAATTTTGTTTGTACGTAACTCTGTTCATATGTTCATACGTTTTCCAAGAAAGAGCATTATACCAACTTTCCTCACATATAATTTCCCTTCCCTCTCTTATTATTTGTCTAGGTTTGTTTTATTACGGTTCATACTACTGCTATAGATATTTGAAAATCTCATATTTTGATACTATGCATGTATCGAACGAAAGTAGAAGAAGATTTATGGAAAAGCAAATGCTGTTTTACAATGATATGGGGTATAATTTGTCAATGAAGTATATTGGTAAGAACATTTCCACATGTTTCTCTGCATATAACTACAAACATGGTTGTGTGTGTAAATCCAGGAATAATGAGAAGAATGTGCAGTGAAATGAGAAAAAAAAAAAAAAAAAAAAAAAAAAAAAACACCATCATTGGATTTACACTATTGCAACATCTGTAAAATTACATAACTACAACTGTATAAATATGACGAATATATTTTCCTCCTTTTTAGGAAATTTATGTAAATACTATGACCCTGTTGCGCTAAGACTACCCTTTCAACCGCTGTAACGAGAAAGAAGAGAAAAAAAAAAAAGAAAAAAAAAAAACACCTTTTGTCATTCATTTTGCTTGCATACATAAGATTTACTTTTATTTAAGACACCACCATATGAAATATTGAGCGGAACGTTTGCATATCAATTCCTGTATAATGTACTGTTACTGTACAGTTAATCCATGTTTTTTTTTTTTTTTTTTTTTTTTTTTTTTGTTTGTTTGTTTCAATTCGCAGCGATGATAAGTATAGACTTTAGTTTTATGAAGGCATGTACCACCACCCCTTTTAGTTGTTGTTAAATGAAGGAATATGTATCTCACCTCAAAATATCTTTTATCTTATTTGCTCAAAGTGTGCACTTATATCGACATCTTTCTGGTGTTACAGAATTAAAAATATATATGTATATTTGTATATATATATTTACATACAAATGTTTAACCTTTGTGTGTACCAGCTTACTGGGACATATAAATGTAGGATTTTTTGCATACTAAAAGTTAAGTAATATTTTAATAAACTAATGTAGCATATATTACCTGTATATTATCTTCAAGATATTTTTTACATAAACCATTTGGGTATAGGGATCAGTATAAATAAATCTCAAAATTCTGTTGTTATATTTTCGAAATATTTGCATTGTACCACTTTGGAAATATCACTTTAAAAACATTATTTTATTTTATTTATTTTTTTTTTTTTTCGTTGGAGGAAATTTAAAAATCTCCTTTTTTATATATTTATTTGTCCATTACCTTTTTTATGAACTCCCCATATTCTTGCAACGTTCATTTTTCCTTAAAGTGTTCTTAAAAAACTCCTGAAACGAAAATATGTAAGTATATATCACCGCAAATGGGATAACTAAATAAACATCACTTAAATAATTATATGCTAGAAGTTGCCAAAAATTGTGGTGGGAAATGGAAAAACAAATGGGTATAAAAGTTGCATACAAATTTTGGTAAATAGCACATAACAAAAAATTGCTAACTATTTCTTAATATAGCATTTTTTTAATGTCCGATTTTTTTTTTTTTTTCAATTCACCAGATTTTGAGGCCTGAAAAATAACAGGGTTAAAAGTATAAACCCCTATATACCGTCAATTTAGAAGAAAAATTTTGGGAAAGAAAAATTAAAAAATATAGGAAAAAAGGCGATAAAAAAAAGTTTAATAAATTCCAATTCAATTTGATAAATATAAAAGTGAAAAAATGATTCCCTTTATCCTTCTTTCGGATAATTTTACTCCGCTCATGTTTCATTCAACCTGATTTTTTTTTTTCCCACCCCTTCTTGCATTAAACGTCTCCTGCTTAATATTTAAGAAAAAAAAAGGCATACCATTTAAGCACTGCAAATTAAAAAATATGTATATATATATGATAGCAACGTTAGCTTATATGAACACAACCACATTATTATGCATACAATACATATATGTTTTCACATATACATATTTTACCTGCCAAATCGAGCTGGCTACTAAATAAGGTATTAAAAAAAAAAAAAAAAAGGCTAATATATATAAACCACGTAAAAAAAAAAAAAAAATTTACGTTCAAGCATATAAAAATAAGAATGAAAAAAACAGAATTTATACAAAACATATTATAGCGGGCATACATATTTGTATCCCCTCCCCCCTCCCCTCCTAACGTTCTCTCTGAATGTGAGAAAAAAAGGAGCTTAATGATATTACGCAACAATATCACAACTCATTTTATTCTTCGCTTACATATGCTTAATCCGTTATGCAGAAGATAAAATCGTGGAAATAAAAAAAAAATAAAATAAAATAATAATAAATAAATAATAAAATAGTAAAATAATAAAATTGAAAGAAAAGAACGTTGAGAAATGAGACCGTCTGATAAGGAGGAAAGTGAAGCTCACAACATAGAAGTAGAGCGAAATAAAAAGAACTCAGAAATAGAGGAAGAAACAACTTACTTTAAAGAAAAAAACGAAATTGGTGAAAAAGTTAGTGAGAATAACACCAAGATTTCAAAAAAATTAAATGACAAAGGAGTGAATTTAAAAAATGGTTATTGCGAGGATAAGGAATGTCCTCAAAATAATGACACAGGGAGTGCAGAACAGTTGTGCAGAAAAAAAAGGAAAATTCAAAAGAGCAATTTCAAAAATAGTAATTTTAAAAATAAGGGAGAAGGCAGTGTAAATGAAGATGAAGAGGAAGTAGGTGAAGAAAAACAAAGAAATGAGAAAGATCAGGATGATGGAACCACATCATCAAGTGAAGATAAAAGCTCAAGCAGTGATGAAGACCATGACGGTTTACTATTAACATCAAAATTTAAGAAAAAGTTTAGCGATTTGTTAATTAAGTTAAAAAGTAAAGATACCAGCTTGCTACACAAAAAAGATGAGTTCTTTTTTCACGATAGCGATTTTGACACAGAACTATCAGATGATAGTGAGTCTGAGTCCGTTGGGGAAGGAAATGACCTAGATGAGAAAAAAAACATGAACAATGAGCAGAAGGATTGTGGATATAATGAAAATTGTGAAACTTTGGAAAAAGACGGAGAACTGATTGAACAAGAGCACTCCGAAAAAAAGGATGGTGATGTGGCGAAAAGGAATTTGAATTATTCAGAATATTTTAGAGACATATTACTGAAAGAAGGATCACATGCTATTGACAAAGAAGAGGAAGAGCTGATAGAGAAAGAAAAAGAAGCTTGCTCTAAAAAAAATAAAAAGAGTTACCTAAACGAACAAGAAGAATTAAAGAAGAAAATTCTAGAAGCTTGCAAAGTTGCAGAGGAACAAATTAATAATGATGACAATGATAATGATGAAAGTTTCTTTACCATTAAGGAAAAAAGCGAAAAGGAGATAATGGAAGAGAAACAATATTATGAAAATTTTTTAAAAACATCACGAATTGTGAAAGAAGAGGACGGCTTACTCAAGGAATATTGGAATGACAATTTGAACAAGGATGAGGAATTTTTAAGAGACTATATTTTAAAAGAATTGTGGAGAGAAGATAAAATTCATAATATTTATGAAGAAATTGATGAAGTGGATGATGTTGAATTGGAGAAAGCTGCCAAATTTGAAAAAACTTATAATTTTCGATATCAAGAGCAAAACGGAAATATCATAAATTCCAATCCACGTAATATCCAAAGTAGCATTAGAATTGATTTAAAAAAGGAAAAGAGGAAAGAAAAAAGAAGGGAAAAAAGAAAAAAAAAGAGAGAAACGAAAAAAAATAGGATCCTAGATGATTTAAAAAAGGGAAAAAAAGAAAAAAAAAAAAAAAAAGAGGTAAAAAAGGACAACACCAATCCTGCCATATCGGCCAATGCTTATAATAATAATAAGAACATTGTTCATGGTGATGGAGGAGATGATGCAAATAAGAGTACTCCTCCTAACGCAAGCGTGACAAATGCAGAAAAAAATAAAAAGCGAAACGCTACAGCTCATTCAGACACAATGGAAGATAATAAAGACCTTTGGTTTTTATGCGACGAATGCAATATTCCCATCAGTCCCCTCAACTATGTATATGAGTGCACATTTTGTGAAAACTTTGCCTTATGTAAGCCTTGTTTTAAAAAAACATCACATGAACATGATTTAAAAAAATTGTTAGTGCCTAGAAATTGCATACCTCCAAATGATTACTTGATGAAAAACCATTCTTTCAAAAGTAACTCTCAACTTAATGACTATAATGATGATGATAAAGTGCATGGTGGTGGTATGAAAAATAATTGTAACGAAATGGAATACCTAGAAAATGATACGAGCGGTTATGAAGACTTAATTGATGATATGCCCATTCGATTTAAATATATTAAAGTGAAACCCAAGTCGTTTAAACTAACCACTGATTTTATTTTGAAAACAGACGAAGAAACATTGAATAAAATGGTTCCATTAAAATATGTATCTCCTTATTACAAAAGGGGGGGGGGGGATTAAGCTAGGAGGCCATATTAGACGGAAAAAAAAAAAAAGAAGGTAGTTACTGAAATGGAAAATTCATTGAAAATTCAAAGGTTAAAATTAATTAAATAAGAAGGAACAATAATTTACGGGGTTGTATAGTTTATGTTTGAATGGAAATATAGTGGTCTTCACATATCGTAGTTTCCACTTGAAAAAAAAAAAAAAAAAAAAAAACTGGTTCTATATATACCACACACACTAAGCAGATATGTACATTTAGACATATTCACACGGATGTAAAAAAAAAAAAAAAAAAAAAAAAAACAAATAAATGAATGAATCAATGTAAATTTTTAATTAAATTAATAAAACATATCAATTTTGTAAAGCACATATATGTTTACACATGCATATATACATGAGAATGTTTACAGATGCTGGGTGAAATTTTCCCTTTATGCATATTTTTTTTTTTTTTTCCCAAGCTTGTCACATTTTATCATATCCATTTTTCCATTGCTATTTTTTAATCCACTTGTATTATCTTGATAGTGGGTTTCCCAACATTTTAAAATTTCCATTAAGTATATTACGACGACATTGCGCATAAGCCTTTCTCAAAATGATGCAGTTTTCATCGATCTCGTTAAGGTCATGATTATGTAAACATTCTTCAAAAGTTGAATTTTTCCTTTTATAGCAAATAGTATTTTGATAACATGCTATCATATCATTTAGTATTTTCTTACATGAATTCGATGCCTTCCTATGGGGTGTATCTGCTTTTACATTAAGCATACTTTTAAAAGGGAATAAAAGAGAATGCGTAAAAAAAAAAAAAAAAAAAATATCACAGTATGTAACTACAATGGAGAGGGAAGAAATGTCATACAGAAAAAAAAAAAAAAAAAAAAAAAAATTCCCATCTTTTAGTGATCATGTAATCACTGTAAAAAATACTAATTTGTCACATATTCAAGTATAACTCTAGAAGCCTTATTTTGCAAATCAAAATATGTAGCGTTTACATAAGGATGGAAAAGTTTATGGTATTCCTCTGGTGCATGACTCGCTGAATGATCCTTGCAAGTTTTGTCTGTTTTGCTTCATAATTATTTTTTCCCCTTTTTTTTTTTTTTTTTACCATTTTTCTTATTTAATAAGGACAGAGTAAAAATTTGATACCTGTATTAAGTGTACGTATACTTTGTTTTGACCATCAAAAGGAAGTTATTACCGAGTAGTTCGTGTAACCTCTTTTGTGTGATTTTTCTTTACTTTCGATGTGAGTTTTTTTTTTTTTTTTTTTTTTTTTTTCCACTTTCCTTCCTATTTTTATGTGAGTTTTCATCAATTCCTTTTTTACATTCACGACTTTTTTTATCTTTAACGTGAGAAAATAACAAGGTCCGGCTTTAAGAATAATTGACCCAACACATTAGAATTAGGGATATTTTTTGGCATGTATCAGGATTTTTTTCTTATATTTTAAAAAATTAAAATTTCTTCTTTTTCACTAAAAAAAGTGAGTAAAAATTTTCACTACAACTTTTAAAATTTTTGCGTGAATTCGATAATTAATTAAATTTTGCCATAAACTTGGGCAACAAAAATGGTGAACAACAGAAACAAAAACAAAAACAAAACAAAAGAGTGATTACAATTGAAAGTGATATCAACAGCATTATTGTTATTATTTAAAACAAAAGTTTGAAACGTGACAATTGAGCAAATGGACGGAACAATTAAAAAAGTGACAAATCGAAAGGGAGGCACATGTGAAGGTATTATAAAACGAAACGGTTGCCCTACGTGATCTGTGTATCGATTTTTCGCACACCGCTTTTGTTTAATGAGACTATACACATTAGTTAATCAAAATTTCCGGTTTTTCATTTTTTAAATTAGATATTGTTATGTTATTACTTTCCTTTGGTTTTACACGACTATTCGAAGAATTGTCGCTACTATCACTTGAGCCATTTTTTGAAGAAGCTGCTATTCTGGCATCGACAGTTGATTCCTTTGGAATATCCACCTTTGTGCTAAAATCCTTATGCACACCATCTTCAATAGTTAAATTATTTGTATTGTTGCAAAATAAAGCTTTTAATATATTAGTAATCCATCTATCTCTGTCTTCTTTTTTTTTTTCACAGAAAAGGATTTTTTCCTTATGAAATTTTATATTCCAGCACTCTCTTGTTTCTTCAATTGTTTCTATTGGTAGTTTTATGTTTTTAAATGGTATTTCTTTCACAACATTGGAATTATTTATATCCCTAATCAATATACTAGATGAAGATATTTCTACATTGTACTTAATTAAATTAAAAATATCACTTGAATTTATTGATACATCTAATGTGCCCTTAGCGCTAACAGAGCACTCTCGACCTCCTCCCATTAGAAGCAGGTTATCTTTTTCTTCGTTTAAAACTTCTCCAGTGTTTTGTAATTCCTGTTCTATATTTTTAAATTCTAGTTTGTTTTTGTTACTACTATTGCTAATTCTACTTTCTTTGGTGGTATATGCGGGACTCGTCCCATCTCTCATTATCGCTTTATTTATATCCTCCTGTTTTTCCGTATCCAACTCTTCATCTTCATATTCATCAAACTCGTTTAGGTCCTCGGAATAATTCTGATTTAATTTCTGGTATTTCGGTTTTTCCTGCATAAATGTTTGTGATCTCAAGTATTGTAGATAATTATTCCTTGTGGAGAAATTCCTGTGACCTTTGCATATGACAACAAGGAAGATAGTGGGCAAGAGTAAAAAGATTCTCATCTTCTAACGTAGAAAATGGAGTGATGGCTGAAGCAGATAAATAGCCAAGAGTGTTAAAAAAAAAAAAAAAAAAAAAAAAAAAACGAACCAGAGAAACGACGAAAAGGCAAAGTAACATATACGCCGCAAGGTAAAGAACAAGAGAAAATAATTGAATGTCAAAATAATTTAACTGTGAAAACCTTTTTTATAACAAATTACAATTTTTTTGCAACTCATGAGAAATTTCCCAAAATATTAGTGTGCTTCTCAAGTATGCACATTAGTGTTGGGAATAATATCAATCGCTCGGACACATAACCTCCTAAACGTGAAAAGGTCGCGAAAAATGAAAAATTTATAGTTTGAAAATGGAAAACGGGAAAATTCGTGAGGAGGGGTGATATATCTAGGTGGAAACGTGTATATACACAAAGGGAAAAAAAGTAATTCGCACATGTGCATATATATATACACGAGATCGCAGTGTATACATATGTGTGCAAAAAACATGGTCACATATAGGAGGGAAAAACACAGCATAGAATTGCTTTGATGTTGGTTTTTCTTAAAAATAAACTATTTCCATTTATTTCCATGAATAAATACAAACATACCATCACCACAGCTGTGTCAAATTTGTTAAATGAAAAATTTTTCTTATTTTCATAAAGGCAATTAAGTATTTTGTGAATTCATGTAAGTCAGATATATTTATTGATATATATATATATATATATATACACGTGTGATAGAACATTTGTGTGCATATAATTATCCTTGTCTGTATTTACAACTTCCAAATTGGGAGTAAAAATCTAGTGTTGGGGAAAAAAAAAAAAAAAAGTCTAAAAGTTAGCACACAAAATTATTCCCGTGTAATTATCTTTGAAGAAAAATCCAATTGTCAATCATTAGTTTATTGCTTTAGTTGGCATATATATGAATGTACATGTATACGTATTTGTTCTTATATATATATACATATGTGCATGTACGAAAAGCATGTCTAGCTTCCATTTCATTTAAATATTTTTAAAAATACATTTACAACAACCTTTTGTGTAAAGTTACGCTGAGAAAATTGTAGTTCAACATCCAACAGCTATCACTTGAACTAATTTTCTTTTTTCAAAAGCAAATTGTTAATCAGCATGAGGCCCAAATTTTTTCAGTCGCATGTATTCCTTTCATTAATTTATTTTTTGCTAAATGGCAAATCTAATTGTCAATCTCTTCTGCCCGTGTCTTACGCAACTCACCAATTGTATTCGTTTGACAAACTAACACCCCTAGAAATAAAAAGCAACTTGAAAAAGACTGTAGGAAGTTTCATAACTAGTAAATTAAAGGACATAAAAAGTAAATTTTATGATTATAAAATTTATGGCACAGGTATGCGTGGTATCAGCGATGGCGGTAGAGGCAATGACAATATTGGTAGTAATCTTGATGGAGAGAAAAGTGAAGAATGGAAAGGAGATTATGATACCTCCCTAGAAGAAGAAGTGAAAGCCCTGCTTGATAAAGCCCAAAATAAAAGATATTTATCAAAACGGATAAGAGAATCACATGATCGTGCTTTAAAGAACTTAAAAGAGAAAAATAATGGAAACGCGAGGGATGAAGAGAAAACGAGAAAATTGTTAGAACATAATTTAGAACAAATAAATTATTTAAATAAAAAATCTGGTTATTTAGAAAATAAAGCAAAAGAATTAAAAAAACATTTAAAAAGTAGTAAAAACAAAACATATGAACAGCAAGTTACTAACTGTAATATTTACAAAACAGGAAAATTAAAATTTGTTTCTTCGTCTAACGGATTAAAGCATTCAATTGATAATGTTCAAGGGAAAATTAATAATAATGGTTTTACAATATTTTATAAATATAAAAAAAAAATAAACTACTTATGGAATATTTTAGAATTACCTATTAAATTAATTGGAAGTGTTGAACAATGCTTTGTCTTTACTTATAAAAATAGCAATCAAATTTTTTGCACAGACAATAAATTAAAAACATCATCTTGGGTAAACAGCTTAACAGAAGCCTCCACTTGTTATCACTTTGGAATAAAAGGTATGTTAGTTAATATAAATAATGTTAAAAATATAAAAGATAAATTAAGTAAAAACAAAAAAGCGAATAATTATAATGATAAAATCTTAATAGTTGATTTAAAGCCAGATCATGAGAAAACTCGAGTATATGTTAATGGAAAACAGCAAAATATGGAAAAGAATGATGATGGCGTAGTTGATTTGAATAAAATTAAGAAAAAAATGGAAGATGAAAAGAAAATAAGCATGGGGGAAGAAAATAACCCTCGGGAAGTTGCTCACGAGGATGAAGTTCAAGGGGGAGAAGCACAAACAGACGATGGTGATGGTGATAAAGATACTGATGCTGATGTTGAAGAAGCAGAATAAGTTGAAAAAAAAAAAAAAAAAAAAAAAAGCGATAGAAAATAGGTATAATTCATATTAATACACATAAACAGATAAGCATAAGTGGAAAAAAAAAAAAAAAAAAAATTATCCTACGTAAAAGAATGATGATTTAACATTAAGGCACAAAATATGCAAGTATAAAATGAAATATTATAATAGCGTACAAAAAAAAAAAAAAAAAAAAAAAAAACACCAATGTTTTGTAAAATAACATATTCCTTTGAATCGTTTAAACGTGTGGTTTTTTACCTTTCAGTAAAGAAAAAAATCACATATATATATTGAAACAATAGGGAGTACATAAATGACATAAGCACGCACAAGAAATAACACATTCTCTGCATTGTTAAATTGTTTTATTAAATAAATATATTTACAATAAGATAACAGCAAAACTTTTCTGACCATTTTGTTTGTCTACTTTATGTGCAAATGAAATGAGTAGCAATTATATGAAAGTATATATATGTGTTTTTTTTTTTTTTTTTTTTTTTTTTTTTTTTTTTTTTTTCAAATACCCTTTGCATTTTTTTATAAATTTTAAAAGTATATATTTTTTTTTTTTTTTTTTTTTTTTTTTTTTTTTTTTTTTTTTTGCAAATACCATTAGCATTTTAATATACCAATATGATAAACATACGTTGATACATATGTCTGAATTTAAGGTGGAATATAATTATGCTTACATTTTCTAAATATATACATATGAATATATGCATATTATACATTATTTATTATTTTTTTTTTTTTTCTTTCCTGTGTTGTATTTAAGTGTGGATAGGATATAATTGGTTAATTCGGGTTATGAATATTTAAGGTTACACGAATGAATACATTTATATGTGCATAACATATTTCCCAGGCTTAGGTAAATATGAAGCACATTCACAGAATGGTGAAAATTCCATGTTTACATAACTATTTTTTGAATAAATTTTGTGCATGCAAAAAACTTGGGGTGTAACGCTTAAGGCAAATTTTTGTTACAAAAGCAATTATAATTAAAGTTAAGAATTCATTGTTTGTCGGGGCAGATAAGATATAATATTTTAATACACACCATATAATTATTATTATTACTCTCACATATATTGTTATTACTATCACAATTATTATTATTGCTATCTTAATTATTATTATTGCTATCTTAATTATTATTATTGCTATCTTAATTATTATTATTGCTATCTTAATTATTACTATTGCTATCATTATTATTATATTGCTATCATTATTATTACTATTATTGTTATTATTTTATTTTTTTTCATATTTATTTTTTAAAAATCAGGTGACACTATAAAATTCTCACAACACTACACAATCCTACAACTCTAAAGCTATGAAAAATGACATCTTTAAATAACACCATTTAGGGAACTTACTCATAATTATATTGCCCATTGGTGCTTAATGATAAAAAAATCATGGAACTTTTTGTATATCGATATATATTTTTTTAAGCCCCAAAAGAAAACATTACATATTTATTAATGAATGACGGAACATTGAAAAATCATTGAAATATAAATTTTTTTTTTTTTTTAAAACATCATTGGAGTGATGTGTTAATTCTTCTGTCGGTAGTGTAGTAGAATATTTAAAGGGGGATAGGAAAAATTAAAAATAAAATATTTAATTTGCTTAAAAAAGTTAATTAAATGTTAAAGGAAATGAAAAAAAAAAAATAAAAAAAAAAAAAATAAAAAAAAAAAAAATAAAATAAAACAAACCCTTTAAAACTCGATGACAATTCATTGAAATTTTGTTAAAATTTTCTTAAAATTATATTGAAATTTTCTTAAAATTATGTTGAAATTATGTTGAAATTATGTCGAAATTATGTTGAAATTATGTTGAAGATTCGTTGAATGTTCAACATCAGAGAACATTTCACATATTTCCTCGTTTTTTTATAATATTTTGCCATTTTAAAAAAACACACGAGGCAAATTTCGTAAAACAGAGAGGAGGGAGGTGTACGTACATTAAGTGCACACCTTATGCTATAATATAAAATAATATACATGTATGCACATATGTATGTATGTATGAGTATGTTTGTGTATGTTTGTGTATGTATATGTATTTGTATGTATGTGTATTTGCATGTATGTGTATTTGCATGTATGTGTATTTGTATGTATGTGTATTTGTATGTATGTGTATTTGTATGTATGCATGTGTATGTATATATTTATGATTGTGTCATGGAAATGTATTTACATAAGTGTATCTAAGATAAGATCACAACCGCTCGGGTGAAAATATAAAAAATCACGGGCAATCTACATTTTAGAGTTTTTAAAGTTTTTTATTACCTTTTTTTAAAAAAAAAAAAAAAAAAAAAAAAAAAAAGTTATATAGACATGCATGTACATACACCAGTGTGTGCAAATTTTTTTTTTTTTTTTTTTTTTTTTTTTTTTTTTTTTTTTTTTTTTTTTTTTTTTTTTTTTTTCCATTCCTTTTTCTTTTTTCTTTCATTTTTTCTTTTCACATAAAGGGAAATATGATTCTCAAAGGTAAAAGTATGAAGGGAGAAATAAAATTTAACAAGAAATATAATGCTTATTTCATACATATAACAGGAAACTAGGAGAATGGGCTAACATGCCTAAAATGTTACGTATGCATTTAGTCCCTCCGTACTAAGTAAACTGTGTATGTTATCACATGTATGTGTATGGTCATATGTGTGTGATAATATGAATGTATTCTTTCGTTTAAAAATTTATATTTGTGGACATGTATGTGTGTGTACCTGGATATATACATACATGTGTGTAGATTCACAAACGTATGTACATGTACGTAAATGTGTGTACCCATGTGGGTCAACATTCCGCATTACTATATCTAACTGTCACTATTATTTAAAGAGAAAGTGCAAATAGTCTAATACCTGCATTTAGGAAAGTTTTCTGTGCTAACAAACATTTTTAACAATTTGGATATCATTAGAACATTCCTTTGTAGGATTTCTTATGCGTCTTTATTTACATAGTTTTTTTTTATTTTATTTTTTTTGCAAAATATGTTTAATTAATTAGAATTATTATTTTCTTTTCTTTCTTTTCTCCTCATTCTATATACGCACAACTAATTTGGAGGTTTGTAATTTAAATGATTCAAACTGATGACATGCGTTTCTGTGTCAAGTTTGATTAATCATTTTTACTTCAACTATTATTTTGATTCTGATTTTGATTCTGATTTTTGATTCTGATTTTTGATTCTGATTTTGATTCTGATTTTTGATTCTGATTTTTGATTCTGATTTTTGATTCTGATTCTTTATTCTGATTTTAATTCCAATTTTAATTCTGATTTTAATTTTTTTTTTTTTTTTTCTCTTTCTTCTATGTAGTTAATATAGTAGAATGCCCGAATGTTCTCCATATATACAAGTACAGCGATAACTACTTCCGATTTGCTTTTTATTTTTCTTTTTTACGTTACGGTGAGAAAACTTTGTGCAGTATTTCATTGAGCTCATTCTTGCTATTTCCTATATCCTTTGGGAAATACATTTCCAGGGCCTTCATACCACTTAATAGCTATCAACTGGATAAATCTAGTATTGGTCACTTTGAGTTCTCAGTACTAGTCATTTTGAATACATTCCGGCACGAACATGTGGAACATATTCACCAATGAAGACTTGTCATTACACACAGAAAAAAAGGAAGACAAAAATTTCCAAAAAAAAAAAGGGAAAAAAAAATTGCCCGAATTAGTGGGTCACAAAAATTCCCTAACATCGTCAAATCCTCATGGTTCATCTTTCACCAAAAATGACAACAAAAAATTGAACAAAGCATATGATATAAAAATCAGAGAATTACGAAAAAATTTCAGAAAAAAGTACAGGATAGTGCGTACACAGTTACTGAAGATAATAAAAATTGTTAAGCAGTTTCCTGAAATAGACGTCTCAGAGGAGAAAAGTAGGAAAGATGAAGTGCAAAATAATGACAAACGAGAATGCAAAAATAATGGTAATGTGGAAAATACGAACATCGACAATAACATAAGCAAGAAGAAGAAGGAAATTGGGAAAGAATTTCACAACGGCAGCGATAGCCAAGTTGTGATGGTCCAAGTTGAGCTAATCAAAAAACTAAATAAAATTATGGAAAAAATTGATATAGAACAACTGAAGGCAAAAAAAAAAGTAAAAACAAAACAAAACAACAAAACTAAAAATGAAGAGGAGAGGTTAAAAAATAATTTAGTCACACAAAATTTCACAAATAAGCCTTTTGTTATAGCTACAAAAAATGATTCACACAAAAGTAGCATAAATGTAATGAAAAAAATTCCAAAAAGAAATTTTTTATTGAAGTCAACAAATAATTTTCACAATGTGAATCAGCAACATGTGCATGAAAATGCAAGGAGAGAGGCATTATTATATAACGATCAAATAAATTTAAGGAATGATTATTATCAAAATAGTATGAATTTTCATAGTAAAAAACAAACTATTGGTGATATTTACCACGACACAGATGATATGGTGGTAACGGATTTTTACATGTACTCTTCAACTCTAAATGCAAATTCGATTAAGAAAAAGAATAAATCACAATGGTTCCGAGGAAACTTTAATAATGTCCCCGCCAACGATAATAATAATGGTTATGATATTAGCAGTACTTGTGCCTACGGTGGGAACAGCTACAACTATGGTGGTTCTAATTATGGTTACTCTTTTGGTAATTACAGACACGATAGTGGAAATTACGATATTCCCAATGGTAATTATGGATACACAGGTAGCACTTATAATTATAGTTATGAAGATCACAATTATAACAGTGTTAATTATGCCAGCTGTACATACTGTAGCGGAAACTACAATGGCTTTAATTATAGCTATGAAAAAAATAGCTCTTTAAAAGAAAAAGGGAAATCTTTTTCTGCAAACAACAATAACGAAATAGGAATTCCAAACAAGGGATTTTTTAATCATATGGTATCATCATGTACACAGAAATACAACATGGGAGAAGATGGTATGGGTACCAATTACGATTTTCAGAACTCGCCATGCGTAATGCATGGACATTATTCACAATATAAAAACAAAAAAATTAATTTGAATAATAAAAAAAAAGGGTATAAATTTGCAAAGGATGAAAAAATTCGAGGTTTATTAAGAACAGCAAAAAATGAAGATGACTTAGTCAAGGCTATTGGTTTTGCTAAAAATGCAGGTCTATATTTTGAGGCTAAATTAGGAAATAAAAAACTTAGCAAGTTGAAGTTGGAAGGAGAAGATGAGGTTCCTTCAGATGTTTAATTTGTGCATATATATTTTTTTATATATAATAATCCTTCAAAAGGTTGTTTCTTTCTGCTCAGACATGCCTTTTTGTATACAAGGCATGAAGATCGGTGCATACTATATTATTCCTTTTTGCCTACCCCAATTTTCTTTCTTCTCGCTTCTCCATCCATTTATTACTTTTTATTATTTCCCCATGTATTTTATACGTGAATTAATAAACACATTTCACTATTGTGTATATAACGTTTATCTATACATGTGTATTATTTTATATAGGTAGGAAACACTGAGGATTTTATAAAACACACCTCCCACCCCTCCACGATATTTCCACGTTAAACATTCCCTGCATTATGTGCAAGTATATATAATATGTATTACAAAAATGTATATATATACATATATATCATTCTATGCAGAATGTAGTTTCAAAAATGCAAGTATACTTTTTTTTTCTTTCTTTTTTCTTGTTTTGGTATGCTTATTTTTCCCTCCAACTTCTTATACATGACTGTAAAACAGCCCTTATTACATTATCACTGAATTGTAATATATGCATATATGTAGGCATGTTGCATTTTTGCACGGCTTTAGGTCACACATTTTTAACCCTTTTTCCAATTTAACCCATTATATGTTAAAAAAAAAAAAAAAAAAAAAAAAAAAGGCAGTATTTAAAACATCATAGAGATAAGAAATTAAAACACTGTTATGGAATAAAAGAAAATTTGGATATTACAAAAAGGTGGAAAAAAATAGGCAAATGGGATAGAAGGAAAGGACGAATATATATATATATATATGTAAAAAAAAAAAAAACATCAGCCAAATGGGGGATCATAATCTTCACCAAACGTTTCAAAAAAAAAAAAAAAAAAAAAATGTAACGTCTTCTTAGCATTTTTATTCAAAATTTGTTTTCTCTCTTTCTTCTTTTTCGATGTTATGATCCTAACAGTGTATTTCAAAATAGTTCCATGGCTTCTATTTTGTTTAAGTTTTTCCAGCTCTTATGTATACACGGAAGAATACAAAAAAGTGGCCGTGTGAGCGTTTATTTTTCAACCATAAAATTGATAAAATACCCACATGAAGTATGCATTTGTGTTTTATTTTTTGCAACATTGCTAAAAAAAAAAAAAATTAAGAATAAAATGAAAAAGCAACGGTACCTACATATTATCCATATGCAGTGCAAAAAAAAAAAAAAAGGCATCAAATCATTGTAAGGAAAATGTACTCAAAAGTAGTAACAGAAATATTGAAAAAAAAGAAATCCAAAGGGAACTTAGAAATGTTTTGAAAATTGCACGAAAATGATTGCTCATTCATTTTGTTCTTCAAAGGAAAAAGGAACAAAAAAAAAAAAAAAAAAACAGCTTCTTAACCTTCACTAAAAGTCATGCTACTCCTGTTGTTAAATCTACCATCCCTTACATATATATATACATATAAAGAAAAAAGGAAACTGAAACAGGAATGAATACAATATTGTGCAACAGAAACACATTTTAAAGCAATCGCTTTGCATGTATTATAAAAACCTTTTTTTCTTTTTTTTTTAAGAACATAGAAAAAGGCAAGACAATAAAAAGTGTGTGTATATATATATATATATGCTCGAATGATGCAAAGGAGGGAAAAATTACATAAAATTTTGCGAACTTATTATGTTACTAATTCGATTTTACTTAAACCAAAGGTTTACCCCCTCTGTCACTTAAAAGGTAAAAGGGATTTTTTCATAAATAAGAATAGTTATTCTATCATTTCAGGGCTGTTTGAAAGGTCCACAATATATAGTAATGATAAGTGTAGTGGCATCACGAAGGAAAAAAAAGACAAAGAAAAAAAAGAGAACAAGCTAACGCAAAATCAGAAGACAATTTTAAATGGCTCAAATGCACACATTCACGAATCCTTTCAGTTGTGTGCAAAAACTGAATGTGATCAGAATTATGAAACCCAAACATACCAAGGAACAGTTTATGACGACAATTTGGGGGGGAAGGGCAACAACTCTTTACAGGACCAGACGAATATTGCCCCGAATGCACACACATGGGTTCTTGTAAAAGATGGGAACTTAGTTAGAATGGCTGATTCAATGGAACAAAGTAATAAAAAAAGCTCTAATGAGATTGTAAAAGGAGAAGGAAATGAAATAAAGAAAAAAAAAAAAACCTCACAAAATGGTAAGAAGAAAAAGAAAACGGAAAAATTGAAAGATTACCATCTTAATGAGAAAAGTGGGGAAAATGGAACAGACTTCAAGAGTGCATTGACTAGTGGTGAGAAAGAGAAGTGCAGAAGTTTGGAAAAAGGAAAAAAGAGAGAAGGGACACTGAGAGAAAAAAAGCGAATCCAGAAAGCTGTAAATCGGTACAACGACAAATGTGCAAATCCGTACGACGACGAAACTAAAGATTGCCTCGCCCCAGTGGATGAGAAGAAAAAAAAAAAGAAAAAAAAAAAAAAAAAAGATGACCAATTGGGAGTGGAAATATCAATCCCCAAGAACCAAACGACACAAGGGAGTAAATTTTGTGGCTATGAAAAAGCAACAGAAGTGAATATAACAGACAACTGCGTAAATAGAAAATTTAATAAGGATGATTATTTTAAAGAATTTGAACTTATATGTAAGAACAATAATATCATAATCGAGAAATTGAACCAAGTGAAGGAGATTCCCATATTTGTACACAAGCACATGTCGTCATTAGAATTTGGGAATATATATGCTTATAACAATTTTCTGTATGAAATTTATGATAAATTTTCAAATGAAGATATTAAAAAAGTGAAAAAATTAATGAAGAATTATAATAAATTGACAAAAAAGAGTGTTAAAAGAAAAATAAAATATTTTGAATCATTTTATGAAATGTGCCCAAAGGAGTACAACCATATATTGACATGTTTATTTATTCAGTCCATAGACATACTAAAGGATGAAGATATTAGAAATACTTTTTATTATGACCAAGTTATATGCAATAATAAGGAAAATGAGGAGAATGACTTTTCCGAAGAGGATTTTGATATTTTGGAGAGAAATAATGACATCCAGAGGGGAAATGATTTAGGTCTTTTTTGTGTGGAAAATGATAATGACCTTGATAAGAACTACAACATGGATGAAGAAAAAAAAGGAGAAAAAAACAATAATGAGTATCTGAAACAGAGGCAGTTCAGTGTTAATAATAAAACTGTTTACGAATTGGATGTTCATTTTTGTGAAGAAAAGGAAACTGATGGCACAAGCAACACACATGAATTTCATGAAAATAATTTTATCATAGTGTACAATTTACCAATCATAAGTTATGATCTGCTAAAAGCCGAGTTAAGAGAAACTTTCTCCTTCTGTGGAGAAATAAAAAACATGGAATTTTTTAATGATCGCTTAAAAACGGTGGATATAAAAGTTCTGAATAATGAAACATTTAATTCGAAAAATGTAGGATCAACTAAAAGTAAAAAGATAGGAACAAAGCGTATGGGAGAAAATAAAGGGGAAAAAATTAATCAAGGCAAATCCATTGGTGGAAAGAATTTTAACAATTCATTGAACCCAAATAGCTATACACAGCTTTATGGTATTATAGAATTTTTTGACGAAAAATCCGCAGCTCGAGCTACTAGCGAATTTTTAAGAATTTTTGGAATTTTCTGTTATAATAAATTAATATATGTAGATAAATGTGTGAATAAAAATATTATGATAATAACACATTTGCCATTTCATTTGAATATATATAACATATTTTACTTACTATTAAACGCTTCTTTGTTTAAAATGAATATTGTGAATAATAAACATGAAAGACATCACATTTCAAAATTATGTTCCTCCAAAGATGAAAAATATCACAAGGATCTACAAATTTTCGAAAATGACAAAACAGGAATAAAAGTATATAAAAGTAAAGAAATTCATGGATATGTAGGAGGAGATTCCTGCAGAATTATCGCGACAGATCTTAATGGTAAAAATGACAATAGTGATAACCAAGTGAAGGAGGAGGTATTTTATGATGAAAACGAGAAAATAAAATATGAACTAGGAAAGAACAAACAATGGAAAAACCGTGATAATCCAAATGGTGGGGATGAAAAACATGGTAATGACAAAAGTAGAAGATGCGAATTTTCCCTACGAAACAGCAACATAAAAATGAAAAGCTGCGATTCTATCTTTAGTGAGACAGTTTCATTCAACCATTTAGATACATACGATTATATATACGAAGTTTCTAGAAAGAATTTTTTACAATTTAAGAAAAAAAGTAATATCAAATTGGAAACGTGCACAAACGATGATGACAGTACCACAGAGGGAAAAAATAAGAACTTCGAGTCCTTTGCAGATTTTTATCAAAATCAAAATAAGATAATAAAAAGGAGAAAACTGAATTTTAATAACAATGGAAGAATATTAATTCTGCACTTTGACAGTTTTAAGTATTTATACCATTGCTTGAAGAAGTTTAAAAGTATTTTTAAAAATAAAAATTGCATGATTTTTTCAATGAATTTGAGAAGATGCATATATATGGATGGCGTAGTTAAGGACTACGTTCAGCTTAAAGGTGGGAAAAATAGAAGCGCCCTTAAAAAAATGGACACGTCTTATACCATATGATATGTGATACACTCGCATCGGTATGTTCAATTGTTTTATTAAGGAAAGAGGATTTTTCTTTTTTTTTTTTTTTTTTAGCTGATCCCACCGTGCATTATACATACTTAGTACATATACATGTATGTATTTGTGCTTCTATGAGACCGGGGATGGACAAATAGTTTAAACAAATGACAATCCATTGCTATTCATGGAGAAAACGGTTCATCTGTTTGGAAATTTGTGAACATGTCTACTTTGTATACTCATTTTTTAGGGATGACTCATGTGGACCACTTGCTCATTGTTTTTTCGTTATCGTTTTTGTTCTTTTTGTTTTTTTTGTTTTTTTTGTTTTTTTTGTTTTTTTGTTTTTTTTGTTTTTTGGCTTTTTCGTATTTTTTTTTTTTTTTTTTGTCGAACTAAGATTACTTGGATGCTAGCATGGGGGAAATAATTTGTGTATTGAAGAATTTTTTTATAAGTATTATTCTTGTCCCCAGTTGACCATAGAACAATTTTTGTTTACCTTATTTAAGGAGAATCTAATATAAAACGATAAATAAGCTTTTCATCAATTCAAAATGTTATATATAATAGTTTAATCACATTTTATAACGTGTTACCACAAAAAGTATACTATTATTTCCATTTGGGAGAATATAAGCAAGCCATACAACATTTATAGTCAGTTAAAAGTTAGAATTGAAATCGTTATTCTCTTGTAAGACATATATCAAGTTGCATACATTATTGTACAAGGGTAAAATGTATAACATGGAAAAAGACGAAAAAAAAAAAAGACGAAGAAGTAGAAGAAGAAAACATGCATATCATACGAATAACATGGGTGTCATAAATGGTGATGTCATTTGGATAATTACTTTTTTGTACCAGGATTAGGGTGCATTTATTTAAATGTATGCATTTTTTTTTTTTTCTACGATGTAGACACCTTGCCAACATTACATACAGTGTTATGAGACTTTGTGGGGCAAAATATTTTCCCATATGTAGTGTGATGGTTGTTGATCAGATTTTGCTGCACAAGAAAAGATATATATTGTTGCGCATATTAAAATGTTCCTATTTATTTATTCATTCATATATTCATATATTTATTTATTTTATTATATTTTATTTTACTTTTTTTTTTTTTTTTGCTAATTTTTGTTATAATTTAAGTTGGTTTGAGGTTTATTAAAAAAAAAAAAAAAAAAAAATGGGTTATATACACTACAGGCACTTATCGATATGGGAAAGGAAAAAAAAAAAAAAAAATAAAACCAGCACAATAATTACATGTGACAATAAAATTACTTCACAACTGTAGTGCAGAAAAAAACTGCAACAAGGGGAAATAAGATCAAAAAGAAAAAATTAACTCTTCTCACTTTATACCTAAGGAGTATATACAGCACACAGGAATACATGGCACACCAGTTAAACATGATGCATAATTCATCGAAGTATCTTTACCTATGTATCTTCACCTAAGTATCTTCACCTAATTATTTCCACATAAGTGTCACTTTTTTGTAGGTTTTGCTTCCGTCTGCGTTTTTTTTTCTTTTTTTCTCAGGCTTGTATATATACTTGTTATATGAACCCGAACCCCTCTTTGCCTTCCATAATGGCTCTAATTAATTTGTTTCTTAACAATTCTTTGGTAGAATATTCAGGTAAATCGAGTTGGTTGAAACAAGTATGGGCTGTCGGAAGTCGGTCCTCACCGTAAGCTCTGTAAATAATCATCTTCTGTGCACCTCTCATTCCCATAAGGTTTTTAAACCCACCTAGGGGTACTCTACTGGTTCCCGTAACGAATTGTAAGAAAGAAGCTTTTTTATTTTCGTCAAATTCTTGAAGAACATCCCATAACCAAATAATTTGAATTGAATTTGGGGAATAATTATGGTATTCTACATTTTCTTTCAAATCATTTAAATCTATTGTTGGTATACCACTAATTAGCAATTCCAGTTCCTTGTCATCAAAAATAGATATAAGTTTTGGTTGAATTAATTCTTTGAATCCATCCATAAATGCTTCTAACTGGTCCTTTATACTATTTGTAACTTTCAATTCGCATAGTAATTCTATATATTTCTGTTTATTTTCATCTGTCACTGGTATGTTTCTACCATTTGGTATCAAGTCAATAATTTTTGTTTTCCCGAATTCGTCAATTTCTGTGCTGAAGTTTATTTCTAAATTTAAATCTTCTAATTTGTATTCTGATATTTTAATCAAGCTATTATAAAATTCAGGATCAACAGATTCAGCGTCTGCAGGCAAGATTTTTCTTCCAAGCATGTGCTTGTAAAAAGATCTACAAAAATATGCATCTATAACTTGACCATCGTATATAGCTTTTGCAATAAATTTACCAACAAATTTAAAAAAATGTAAATGATCCGGATTAATATATGATAAAGGATTTGGATGATTGAATTCACTCTTTTTTCCTTCTCGACAGAAGAGTGCGTAATTAGGGTTAAAAATTTCTTTGGCTAAAATAGAATACCATTCTCTTGTTAATCCCCCTGCATCTACACCTTCTTCATTTTTAAAAGTAACTACTAATTTTCCTTTCAAATCATTTCCAGATTTATTTCGAAGTTGATAATAAGAATCTGTGAATACCTTTTCTCTCCTTATGTTTAATCGTATTGGTTCGCTTCTAACACCTGATTTTAGATGTTTCAATTTTTTCCTCAAGTAATGCCTTTTATTTTCAAAGTTAATACATGACGATGTCAATTTTATTAGTGATTTAAAATTGTGGTGTAGCAGTATTGGGGTTTGTTTTATAAGGCTGTTTATCACTCTCCTGTTTATGTATACAAATTTTATCAGTTTCTTGTGTCGACTGTTGATGTTTCCTTCGCTATCTTCCAGCTTTATTTGTATGTATTCATCGTCAAGGTCCTTGTCCTCATCGTTATCTACATATGTATATGACATCATTTCCTCTTCTTCTTCTTCTTCTTCTTCTTTTTCTTCATCTTCTTTTTCTTCCTCTTCTTCTTTTTCTACTTTTTCTTTTTCTTCCCCTTCTTCTACCTCTCCATATTCATTCTTATACTGGGGAATTCTTCTTTTTCGTTGCTCTGCTTCCTTCGTGCTAGGTTTGAAACTAGCACCTTGAAGAGTATCATCCCGATGAAGAACTTCATCATCACTTTTGGTCTTTTCTTTCATGCCCTTACCCGTATCAATAATGCTGTAATTACAAGTTCTCATTTCTATAGTGTGCATTTCACTGGATGTCTCTTTTTCTTTGTACTCTTTTTCTGTTCCTCCTTCCTTTCCTTCTTCTTTGTCATTGTTATTATATCCCATCATTTCTTCCCTTTTATTTATAACTCGGCTCTGCTCCACATTCGTTTCACGATCATAATTCCACTTTACTGCGTTTTCTGCATCCGTTATTTGGTTAGATTCATGTGAGTATATATTATTTTTCTTCTTCTCCTCCTCTTCCTTTTCTATTTTGGATAAATGAGACGAGTAACAAAGATCTTTCATTTTATGATGCTTATATTTTTCTTCCTTTTCCAACTCCTCGTCTGATGATGAACATGGTTCCTTTTTCCTTTTTGTGCTGCTGGAAATGTTACTACTGATGCTGCTTCTTCTTGTTCTTCCTCCTGCACCTTTTCCTGATATGAGATTTTTACCCGAATTAAATTCATTCATCGCTGCATCGTTGGATTCTGTTTTTTTTTTTTCCTTTTTCCTTTTGTTGTAAATACTAATATAAAATGGGCTATCGTCGTATGCTAATTTTTCATTAATTTTTATACTTTCAATGTTTAAATTAGAAACTTTTTTTTCCAAGTCCTTAAATTTTTTTAATTTATATTGAGAAACAAGTATAACTTCTTCTATAAATAGATATGCCTCCATCAAGGGTAGAAGATAATTTAAAATGATGGGAGGAGGTTCGTCATCATTTTCTTTTTTTTTATCATCCACATGGTTGTTTCCCCTTTCATCGGGGTTTCTCCTACTTCTATTTGGATCTCCTTCCTCTGCATTATGACTAGCATTTTCAACACTACTGAATGGAAGATGATTATCGTACAGCGCATTTCTGCTTAGTACATGGTTATGTTGACCTTGTTCTGATGTTCCATCAGATGACGAATCTGTATCGAATATGGATCTGTTTGTTTCATTTCCACAAACTAATTTTCCTTCACTACTGGTGTTGCCATTCATGGCAGAAGATGATATATTTGTATTTACTACCTCTAAACTCGATTGGTGTGGATATGACCTATCACTATGATGATGAACCTTTTTTTCCTGGTCAAAAGTGTTCTGCATATTCGTGCTGTTGTTGTACGTGAATTTGTAGTTCTTATCTATCAGAGAATTATTAATTACTTGCATGGCTTTGTTAAACTCTTCCCAGAGCTCATCAATGTTGATGGAAAGAAAGAAGTCAGCACAAATATCGAATTTGGTTTCTTCGATTTCCTTATTTTTTTCTACGGTGCGGTTTAGGTGGTTAATACGACTGCTGTGCGATGTATTCCCCTCGTTATTATCAACATCATCTTTATTACGAGCCATATTGGATGTCACATCGTCTGTCACATTGCACGAGTTGTCAAGAACGGTATTACTAAATCCTTCAGAAGAAACCCCATTCACTCCTGTCTCTGCATTTGCCATATTAACATTCTGAACAGCAGGTAATGCTGCTCCCGAGGTGGAATCCATTGCATTCTTTGAGAGGGTGCTTAACTCTTCTGCACTAGAATTTTCTGCAATGTCAATTTTATTAATCAAATTATCGATCAAGGATGGGACATTAAAAAGTATATTAATGACTCTGTAAAATGCTACTAACTTTTGTTCTAAACTATCCGAATGATCAACTGCATAAATGTTAAAAGTTCTATTATGTATTGAATGAACGATTTTTTTTAAGTCATAAATTATTCTCTTTATCAATACGTGGGCATGATATTTCAATGTTTGAATAATTAGTCTTTTTAATTTATAATGCGAAAAAAATATTACGATAATTTGTGTTAATGCTGAAATATCCTGTTTGTGCACTTGTTCAAGGTTATTACTGGCAGTTGTTGTATTGGTATTGTTATTATTGTTGCTATTAATCCAAAGAAAATTGGTTTTATAATTACAGATAAGTTTACTCAAGTTGCTCAAGGCATCTGTCGATATAACTTCTAAAAGATAGAACGGTTTTTTTGTGCAATCTTTTTTATTATTATCTGATTCATTTTTTTTTATATTTTTTATACTTAATAATAATTCTTTATTAATTTTTGATGAGGAATGATAGAATTCTTTCAAGTTACTACTACGCTGCTTTTGTTTTTTCGTTTTATTACTTGTTATATTTCTCCTATTACTACTAGTGTTAACTTTTCCATTTCGATTACCATTTACACTGTTACTGTTTAACATACATAATTCGTTGTTCTTTGCGTCGTCATTCTTTTTCGACACTTCTTCATTATTTGTATTTTCTCCTCCATTCAAAATTTCTTCTAAATTTTCTGTATATACCCACCTTGTAAAATTCGTATACGTGTGCAACTTCTTTCCACAGTTAATCAGTAAGTTGAAAATAACTGACAGTAGGTGACTCATTAATTTTTTGGACGTTAAGTATATGAATGAGTTTAGAAGCTTGAATAAAATATTGATTGGATATTCATTTCTTAACATATCCAATTGTTTATTGTTCTCCATTTTGTTGTTAACTACTATTGCTGGAAGAGGACTGTTTTTCTGATCCATTTTTGGTCGCTTTCTCTTCAGTTCGTACTGTAGGATCGCCGCTTCATCATCGTTCATTTTGTTTGTCCTGCTCTGTTCAAATGCACCATTTGTTGTGAAACTTTGCGTTTGTGTATTTTCTTCTTTTTCATAAAGTTCCTCTTCCTCTTGTTCCTCCTCCTCCTTCTTCTTCTTCTTTTTCTTTTTTTTCTTCTTCTTCTCCTCCAAATAATTTTTTCCCTGCGCGACTTGTTTTATTTCTTCTTTTTTTGGGAATTCTGTAAAAGTATTGCTTGTATTTCTGCTCAATTCAGTGCATGAATTTTTCTTCATCCCAAGTGCCTTGTGCTCTATATCCTTTGGGATAAAATAAGCTGGATGGATTAGCAACATTGAGAAAAATGAAGTGATATGTGGAATTGTAATAAGTAATGATTGCACCTGTTCTAACACCCTCTCTGCTGAGACGTAAGCAGTGGTAAAATAGTTATCAGAAAATAATCCATAATTTTTTTTATTAACATTATGATATAGCATTTTTGGTGGAAAATTAATAGCATGACGTAGTGCTACAAATGTTGGATTTTTTTTTTTTCCGTGTAAATCACCAGAAGCTGACCATAAAATATTCATAAATAATTGAAGTGCATGAATTTTCGTTTTCTGATAAGAACAAGTTAAATTGCAGAACAGAGTAAACATAATTTTTTTATTGATTTCTTTTTTCAAAAATAATAATCTACAAATATCAATTAGTGCCTGAGATGGTACAGGTTCTTCTAAACAAACATAAAGTGCATTATTTTTCGAGTTATCTGCATCTGTTTTATTTTTCGATGGAAATAAATTTTTTAAGTATTTACTTAAAGATATATCATCCTCTTTTTCTACTAATTTGTCATCATTCGCTAGGTGGAAATTGGAATCCATATTATTCATTCTGTTTTCATTGCTAACGAAAAGTCGTGCTTCGTTCATATTATTGTTGCTATTACTACCACCACCAATGTTGTTATTCTGTCCGTTCAAACCGTTTGCATTCAGCATGTTCATACTATCATTATTATTTCCTGCAATATTTCCTGCAATATTTCCTGCAATATTTCCTGCGATATTTCCTGCGATATTTCCTGCGACATTTCCTGCGATATTTCCTGCAATATTCCCTGCAATATTTCCTGCGTTATTCTCACCATTATTGTTTCCATTATTATTGGCACCACTGTTCCCAAGATTACTCCTGCTACTGATATCTAAATTATTATTTCGGATACTGGTAGCATTTGGAAGAATTGAAAAACTGGCACTCAAGTTTGCATTGTCAGCGAGTGGAATATTGGAAATGGCTCCATTGAATGCCCTTCCACCAAGAAAATGATCCAAAAAACGAGAAACAGTGAGACTATCATAGTTTTCATGTCCTGTATTTATCATAATTATTGGATTGTTATTTTCGTTATAAGTTATTCTGATAAAATTATTTCTCTGAGAATTTGATGTTAGAGGGGTTCTTAAAGTTGCATTTAAACGTCTTCTGTTGTTTGCATTGGCTCTACTTAGGGCATTAAATAATGATGCTCTATTATTTCTTGAATTTCTATTACTGCTGTTACCATTTATCAAAAAATTGTTGTAACTACTGCTGTTGCTATTTTCACTGCTGCTCAAGTTGTTTAGGTTTGATGTAGCATTATTTCTCAAAAGGCTATTTGTTATTCTCTCCCGAATGTTGTTTCGAATGCTGCTTAGTCTGTTGGACCCTACATTGGTGTTATCTGTGGATTCATTTACTCCTGGTGATGTGCTGCTGATGTCGCTTCTGTTATTGTGATTGGTGTATTCATTGTTGTTCTGTGGGTTGATTCTGCTTTGGCTTCCTCCATTTTGGCTTTCTCCATTTTGACTTTCTCCATTTTGGTTTCCTCCATTGGGGCTTATTCCATTGGGGCTTATTCCATTTGGGCTTATTCCACTTGCATTTATTCCAACCACATGATTGCCACTTCCGTTTATACCGTTTCCTATGATATTTCCGTCACCACCATCTGAACCTCTTACATTCGCATTCGAAGTGGTAATACCAGCTGCTGTGACGCTTTGCCTGGGTCTACTGTTGGCACTTAAAATGTTTGACCGATTGTTCAACATAACGAATCTTAAATTTCTAGCTTCTTCTATCATTTCATCAGTTAGGGTTCTTATAAACCTCAGACTTGCAGAGGATAACACGTCTCTCCTCAGATCTGGAGACAAGGAATCTATAAATGCGATATTCGTTTCATCTTGTGTTTCATTTCTCTGGTTTCTATTTCCTATTATTCTTTTCTTGATTTCTGATCTAACACTTGCTGGTAAAGCCTCTAAGTAGCATTTTTTTATGCTATTGTAAATCATCAAGTTTTTTTCTCCTTCTTTTTTAGTTTCCGTTTCCACATGCGACGAGTTTTCCACTGGAATGGAATTTTGTTCCGCTGCATTTTGTACATCCAAATTTTGCTCACATTGGGAGGTAACATTATTTACAACATCCTGCATGATTCCAACTACTTGACCATTTAATATACCATGCATATTGTTCCCTGTGTCATTTCCTTGAAATTCGCCACTTTGCGTCCCAACTAAATTGGTTGTGTTGCTATTTTGATTTATCTGTTCAGAATGGAGGTGGACATTTTCACTAGTGTTGTTCTCTAGTGGAATGTTCAGTTGATCTTTTTTAAATTCCTGAAATTTAAGGTATTTTTTGTATAATTCAATGGATATTTCTTTGTTGCTTTTTGTATTTTCCTTCGCCATTTCATTAACACCCGCTAGGGTAATGTTCTTCAAATGCTGTATGATAATTTCTTCAATTAAATTGTTCGGGAGTTCAATGAGGAATGATCTATCGACTTTTAATAGTTGGAAGAATTGTGTTTCAGTTATTCCTAGGGTGCAGCATATTATCAGGATTGATTCGATTTTTAGCACGTTGTCGAATATTTCTTCATAGTTTATATTTTTGTAATCATCATCGCTCTGCGAATTTTGGCCATTTTGACCACTTTGGCCACTTTGTGTAGCAATATCACCCCCTTGATCACTGTTGAGGAAATTGCGATCGGCTCTGTGTTCATACAAAAGGGATTCATTCGGGTGAGAACTTGCACCCACTGTTGCATTATCCACTCGATCATTCTGTTCTAACAGGGGATGTAAATTAGCCTCCGATGTAGGATCAGCACTGGCACTACTACTATTCTCACTTGCCTTATGTCGCTCTTCCAAATTAACTTCCACCTGATCGTTCATTCCCGTTGCACATGCCTCGTTTGAACTTCTCTCTGGAACTTGGGGTTCTTGAATTTTTACTTTCTTTTCGTCATCTTTCAAGAAAATGGGTGTAGATTTTTCAAGAACATTACTGGTTTCGTCAGGTTGAATCTCTTTACCACTTTGTGATTCTTTATTATTTTCCTCTTTCTTTTCTTTGTTCTTTTCTTCGTTCTTTTCTTCGTTCTTTTCTTCGTTCTTTTCTTCGATCTTCCTTCTCATACTTTGCATTATTTTTTTTTTCTCTTCTACTAAATTTTCAATAGGCAAATTTATATGAACCTTCGGAATGGCTTTACATAATCTACTGTACATCATACTACAAATGCTACTTTTTAATTTTTTATCATTATCGAGAACTGTATCGATCAGGCTAAACTTTTCTTTTTTTATTTCATCTTTTTTTTCCTTGTTCATATTTTTGTTCTTTATTGTATTCGTACCACTTACCCCACCCCCAGTGGTGCAATTTCCCTCAAAGTTATCATCCGTTTGAAGGTCATTAAAACCAACTACTCCATCATCATTGGGTGCAATTTCGCTTCTCCTACTTATTTCATTCAGTGGGGGATTTGAATTTCTGGCACAGTTAATGTTATTTTCGTTAATATTATAATTTCTAATAATGTTATATAAATTTCTAAGGTTATTATTTGTGTGGCTCGTATTTCTGTTTGTAACATTATTTGTTCTGGCATTTGGAGAATTATTAAAAATTTGCTGCGTATAAATATTGTTGATTCTGTCAAGGTTTAGATGGTAATAGGTGTATCCACTTTCATGCATTATGTTACTGTTATCATATGAAGTATTTTCATTCGGCACATTTGCATTTATATTGAAATCTTCGTTATCATTTATTGGATTCCTAATATTATTGTTTCTTACACCGTCAGGAATATGAACAGACGTGGTTATGATACTATTCATACGTTCATTTCTATTCCTATTAATGGTTAATAAATTGGAACAGAGGTTATCCATTAACGTAAATATGTTTGTGTTTGCTGAAACATAGTTCAATTGTCTATGATTAATCATACTGTTGGTTAGTAATGATCCTTGTTCCCTTTCATTTAACACGATTGAGGCATTCTCATTTGGAGATATTTCATTTTCGACAACTTCTCTTGTGGGTACATCCACGCTTCCAATACTCTCATCATTGTGATTAACCTGGTCATTATTTCCACTTATCTCATTAACTAAGGGATTTTGATTTTGCATTGCCTCTGATTGAATAGTACCAGTTTCGTTCAAATGCCATATGCTATTATTTTCATTAAGTAATGTATTTGCATCTCTGTTATTGGTGGAATTGTAAAAATGGTAATATAAATCTATCAAATTAATATCACTTTCGTTTACGTTATTCTTGTTTACTATCCCTTCTTCAGGTGTTTTCATCACTTTATATGTTTCATCCTTTGGTTCACTCTTATTCACATTTTCCACACTTGTCAGTTCATTCACAGTTCTTGTTTTATTTTCTTCACATTTAACAGTAGTATCAGGGGTGATGATACTTGTGGTAATACTGCAAATACGTTTGCTAACCACTCCTCCTTCATTATTTCCTGCGTCCGATTGTTCATTATTCATTACTGTGCTCTTTGGCTCACTTTTCACCATACGGTCGTTGTCCTTATCGATGACATTGTCATCGAAGTTGCCATTCCCGTCATCAAATTGGACATGAATTTTATTATTTACTTCACCCGTGTGCAAAGTGGAACTTTCTTCTTCACGATAAGTTGTAGCAGCTCTTAACATATTTTGCATGCTCACGTGTTGATCTGAAATTGGCTTATCATTCTGATTATTATTAAATAAAACATTTCTACCTTCCACACCATTCACATCCATGTGCATTTGGTTATTAATTACAGTTCCGTTTTGTAAATTACCATGAATATTATCATTACTTTGTTTCGACAGTTCTGAACTGGTAATCATCATATTAGGGTTATTTTCCGTGTTATCACAGTTGGCAATATTAAATGCGTTAGATGCATTATTCAACTCATTGTTCATGTCCTTTTTTACTCCAAATGTGGAAAACATAGGAGGTGTTGTATTAAAACAATCAGCTATAGTTCCATCTGATGTGGCACTAATAGGAATATTTTCGATTACATTTTGTTGCACTAACATTTCTATTTTATCACTACTCTTATTAACATCATCAGCAGCGTAGTAATTTCTACTTTCCGTACCATTGAAATCATGCATAGAATTTACATTGTTATTATTAACTCCATTAGTTATGTCGTTTCCATTCACATTTTCTACTACCCCATCATTACCATCGTTGTTCACATTGTTATTGCCAGATTTGTTGTTATTTTCACCATCTTCTATATAATCATCATTATACTCATCTATATCGTCATTAATATTATATACACCATCTTCTTCCAACAGTATATCTAAAATTTCATGTGTATTTTCATTACAATTGAGAAGAGAATTGTTTACATTTATTTCGGTCTCCATTAAATCTGCGTTATTATCCGTTCCTCTACCGTTGTCATCGGTTTGACTAATTCGGAAGGTACTGTTATTTCCACTGATTTCTTCTTCATCTTCACCTTCGTCAATTTCTCCCTCTTCATCGTCGTCCTCGTCGTCCTCGTCCTCTTCATCATCGTCGTCATCATCGTCGTCATCATCGTCGTCATCATCATCGTCATCATCATCGTCGTCCTCATCATAGTCCTCCGTTTCATCAATTTCTCTTATTCTATGAACCCCTTGCCCTTCATCAATGTCGTTACTACTGTCGGAACCCAATTCCAAATTTGAAACGATGTTATTAGCATTTTCCCCCAAATTGGACATATTTTCTTCATTTTCATCAACTTCATGAGGTAATAATAAATTGTTTGAATTATCATATATGTTATCTTCATCAATGACATTTCTGTCCTGCACCAGATAGGCATGTACATGTAAACCTCTGCTTCCGTCATGTTCATTTCCATTTCTTTCTCTCCCTTCTTCATCTTCCATATCGATTTCGTCGTATTCTTCTTCTTCTTCTTCCTCATCCTCCATGGCTTCGTCCTCATCATCAATGTCTTCTTCTTCGTCCTCATCGTCAATATCTTCTTCTTCGTCGTCATCATCATCATCATCATCATCGTCGTCGTCTATGCCTTCCTCCTCGTCTTCCACATCTTCCTCTTCTTCTTCTTCTTCTTCTTCCTCATCTTCCATGTTATCTCCATCATCATCGTTATCATCATCGTCATCATCACCACCGTTATCATCACCATCGTCATCACCTCCATCTGCATCATCGTCTTCTTCTTCATTGATATAATTTCCCTCAGGTTCGATAGTTCCATCATTAAGTGCATTTTCATTATTCTCTTCATCATTCACTTGTGCATTTCGCGTGTTGTTATTGGAGCTACTATTGTTACGCCTTTGTTCGGAATTACCCAGTTCGTTAAATAATTCTGAATTTTCGTTTCTTCTTGTTCTTCGTCTTCTTCTTGCTACTCTATCATGTGCATCTTCATTTTCTTCTTCTTCTTCTTCATCATCCAATTCATCGTCTTCCTCCTGCTCGTCTTCCTGGTCATCATCATCACCATAGTCATCTTCACTTTCCTCATCTTCTTCACCATCAACTTGGTCATCCAATTCATCGTCATCAACCTCGTCAACCTCGTCAACGTCTTCTTCATCCATATAATCATCATCCATCTCTTCCTCATATTCATATTGAATATCATCCTCATCGTTACTACTATCATCATTGTCAAATGTAAATTGTTCCCCGTAGGAATCATCCGAGTTTATTGAATATGGTATGTCTGAACAAGCCGAATTGTTATTACTTGAATCTGATCTAAAACGAACATAAGATGGATTTAAAAAGGTTACACACGACATATTCTTTCTTCTCTTGTTTCTCTTTATTTTTTTAATTTTTGTGTTCTTTCTTTCATTTAGCTTATTCAATTTTTGCATGGACAGTTTATTGTTTTTTGTTTTTATTGGGTATCCTAATATGGGTGCAGATGTTAAAACGGATAAACATCGAATGATTGATGTAGCTGTATTTGTGAAATCTTCCTTCGTGTAGTCCAGCTTATTCAGCAAATTGCACAGTATCATACGGAAAAAAGTTAGCTGTTCCCTCGTGTAGGTGCACGTTTTACCATTTTCATCCTTTTTTTCGCCCTTCTGCTCGTCGTCATTGTCATCTCCCTCGTTTCCATTTCCACCGTTTGCATTACCTCCGTTTGCATTTCCACCGTTTGCATTTCCACCGTTTGCATTTCCACCGTTTGCATTTCCACCGTTTGCATTTCCACCGTTTGCATTTCCACCATTTGCATTTCCATCACCACAATCGTCACTATCCTCGTTGCGCTTGGGATTACTACCATTTCTAATATCCTGAGCGTCATCACCTTCCACCTCTTTCTGCCCCTTTTGTGTATATTCCAAAACCTTCGAAATGAATTTTCCGTTGGTGAATAAATTTTTTTCTTCCATTAAATGGCCGTTCTCTATTTTAATGTTTTGTTTTTCATTAACTAGCTTGTACAATAATGCACTCAGGGCATATGAGAATGTATCTATGAGGGAAGAAAACACGTGATTGTCAGAATGGTCTGCACTTTGATTTACAGATTGTTCCTTTCTTTTTTGAAAAATGGCGTACACTTTAAGCAAATGCATAATTTCTTGTATCACTTTTTTATGTACATCGTAACTAGATGTGTGAATATCAAAAACTAGTTGAATGAAGTTAAATATATGCTTTATATAATTCATGTTTTTAAACTCGTTGGTGTTTAATATGCACTGATGTTGATAATCCGAATATTTCAATTTTTCTTCCAACTTTTTTATCGAATAGATAGTATAAATAGATGGATGACTCAAGCATATGAATTGGGGAAATATTCTTTTAAATAAAAATATTAACAATGGCGTAAAAACCACGTTGTTGCAATTACTCATGCTGAACAAGATATTTAATGACATTTCTTCTTTATCTTTCTTATTGTTACTTTCAGAGAGGTAAAACTTTTCAAGTAAAAATGGAAATAAACAACTTTTAAAAGTTAATTTTGATAAGTCAAAAATGGAATAATAGTGCATATAATTTTGCAAATAATATTCTGAAATTTCTCTATATGTATAGGTCGTAGTATTATTAATACCTGAATCATTTCGTGCAAATTTTGGCATAATATTTGTCACCTCTATGAATGGATGAGGTTTCGCTATTTCTTCATTCTCAATTGTTGTGCTTTTTACAACATCTTCGTTTGTTCCTTTACAATGGAAGGAATTAAAATAATTACATTGATTATGATCCTTATACATGTTCGTATTATTATTTGGGGGAAGAAGTGTGTTCTTCGTGTCACTTAGAACATCTATGGAATTTTTATTTTGATTACATGTCCCTTGGATAAACATGCATGACGACATGACGTTGTTTTGTTTTCCTTCTCTACATAATGTAGTATCCGCGTGACAAGACGTGGGAATAATTGGTGTGTCTATATAATTTAGCACATCTCCCTTAAAATTATATAAATAGTCATAATCAAATTGAAAAAAAGTCTTCATAATTTTGTGATTAAAAGAGTTGGGAACTTTAATCAAATAAACAATTAAATGTTTAAAAGTTTTAAAAATTAAGTTAACAATAAAAAGCAAATTGTCAGCAGTTAATGCGAAGGGATACATAACTTTATAATCCAATTCTGTGTCAAAATTAGAATTATTTCCATACATTTCCATTAACTTTTTATTAAAATGCATTCTTTCATCCTTTTCGTTTAATTTCATTACTCTTGTCTTACTTTGAACAATTGTAAATAAATTTATAAAATCAATTAAAACTGCTAAAATGTAGAAATTGTAAAAATTGTTTTTCAAAATATATTTTTTTAAATATTTCGTACTGTTCGCCGTTTCGGATAACATATAAATGGATTTTATATTTTCTGGTATTGGTAAGACCTTTAAGTAGTATTTACTACCCTTCTGTTCACAGTTCTTATTCTCATAGTTCCTCCTCCTACTGTTACTTCTGCTACTTCTGCTACTTCTTCTACTTCTGCTACTTCTGCTACTTCTTCTACTTCTGCTACTTTTGCTACTTCTTCTACTTCTGCTACTTCTGCTACTACTGCTACTACTAGTACTACCACTATTCTTGTTATTACCATCCTGATAATGGCTATTTTCTTCTCTCACTTTCATAACGTTATCCTTCGAACCTTTGAACTTTTTATTGTTCAACTTCGATGAAACAGCATTAGGATTTATTTCTACTGATGCAGCACCAATTTCAGTGGAGTTTTTCTCCTCTTGTACAATTTCATTTAGAACACTCTTTCTTGTTATGTTTTGATTACGAGTCTGTTTCTCCTTTATGTTAACGTTTTTATTATCCCGATCATGATCCTTCGAGTTATCTTTTCCCTTTTTGATCTTTTCCACTTTGGGACCCCTTACAACTTGGGCCATATAACCACTACTATTACTACTATCAACTATGTGCAGACTGGCATTAATTTTTTTTTTCTCTTTACCTTGGTCATTATTCATTTGTTCGGTTACAGTCCTTTCGACACTTTGATTCTCCATTCTGTTATTCCCATTGTTTAGATCTTCCACATTATGGTTGCTTTTTCCCTCACAAAATGTAAATGTATTTGTTTTTAATACATCTGTGGTGCAGTTAAATTGGTCAATCTCATTTGCTTCATTTTTTTTTACATATTTGAGATTTGGAAAAAAACATAAAGAACTCAAAATTTCTTCATACATTTGTGGATTTTTAAAGATGAATGGGTATAATGCTTCATTCATTTCATTCAATGATACACCTAAAGCATTGGAAAATTTTGGATTTTCTATAAATTTCAAATCATCTTTTCTCATAAAGCACTTAACAGGTATACCATGATGTAAGAAATATGACCGAAGGGAATATTCAATTCTGTTTGCAATAACATAATTATCCGTGAAGCATTGAATTAGTATATTTATTAGTATAATGAGCATATCTTTAAATTTCGCTTGTTTCGAAATGGTTAGTAGAATACCAAGTCCACATCTACTGATGTTATTTAGTATTAATTCGTTAATGTCAAAATGGGTATCTCTTTCCTGTTCAAGTAATACTTTGATATTACTATTCTTCTCTTCATTATTTGTTTGATTGAAAAATTTGTTTTCTACATTATTTTTATCTTCATTACTCTTAGTAATGGTACAATTCGTTATACCAATAATTTCACTTTTTTGCAATTCTTTTTTCATTTCTCCCTTTCTTCCTCCGACAGATGACACCATCATGTTGTTATACCAAGAGTTGGATCTAATTTGATTCTTACTTGCTTCAATAACAGTTTCTCCCCCCTCTCTCCTTATGTTAATTTTTTTTTTTTCCATTTCAAACACCTTTTTAAAATTTTTATACACATTTGGTGGAGTATAAGAAATAAGGAAAATGACATTATTATATACTGTGGTTAAATATTCAATGATTTGTAAAATACTCATGCATAGTTGTGAATTGTACCCCTTGAAAAAATACAAAGTATCGATACAAATTTTTATGATATTATGTTGTTTTTCGGAGGATATATATCTGATATTTTCAGAAATCATTTGTGTTGTCGTCATGTTAGCATTGGTGATGATATTATTCATGTTTTTTTTTTCATTTTGTGTATTGCACTTTTCCATTTTATTAGTGCTCCAATTTCTGTACATTGTAGATAGGGATGGCTTTTCTTCATTCATTTTTTCCTCCTTTTGTTTCTTCATTACTTTTTTATTTTTATCGTTAAAATTGTGTAACGAATAGTTAATAATAATTTTGTATAAGCACATAAATAAGGGAGCATAAAAACATGATGGTTTTGAATACAAAGAAATATATTTATTTTCTTCATTTTCAAGAAGTGAATAGTTGATGGGTGTTTTTTGATTCACTTCTGGTAGATCTGTATCAACTAAATTCCAGTATGGAATTAGCATATTGTGTGTTTTTATATTTTTATTTATGACTAAACCTTTGTTGTACATAATGTTTACAATTTCTCCTTTCTGCCCTTCGTTTCCTTCTTTGTTATTTTCACATTTTTGTGTCTCATGGGTACCTGTGTTTCCGCTATGGGACACAAGGAGTGCATTACTTTCCTGATTACTTTGGCTTATACTCAAGTTTGCATGGTCAGCATTTGCACACGTATTATGCTGCATGTAATTATTATTCGTAATGTCATACTGATAATTAATAATCTTAGGTTCCACATTTTTTATATTGTTACTATTGCTATGGCTATTATTATTGTTCATAATTTGGTTCATACTATTATTGTTATTCTCTGTCGGTGTAGAACCACAGTTAGCACTTTGTACATCTTCAGAGGGACATGGTGTAACAACTATTTTTTCCAAATCAACAGAATTCATTGTGAAGTTCATCTGATCATTCAAATTTGTCCCTGTTCTACTTGTTGGCAATATTTTGTTGAATTTTCTTTTTCTTTTATTTTTTTCAGGATTTTTTTTCCCTGGATCGCTATCATTTGTGTCAATTTCACAATTTCCACTGGGAAATGCTTCTGAATGTACATCTTCAGGTAAATTTTCAGCATTCGAACTCGCTGTCATCATTAAATTAATTGGATTTTTTTTTTGCATTAAAATATTATTGACATTAGTCTCTATGTTTTTCACATATGACATGTTAAATTTGTTTATAAAAAAAATACAATAATCTAATATATTCCTATCTATATGAAGAATTAAATTCCTTGCTATTGTGTACTTATCAATAATATTACATAGGGTAAAAAATAACATGTACAAACAGAAATGGTATGAGTATATTTCCATATCCTTCTGTGATTCATATATGACATCTAAATCCCCTTTAATATATTTAGTTCCATAAATAGAATCTTTTGGATCATTCGATTCGTTCTGTACACATTGATCATTGTTCATATCTTTATTCCTTTTGTTATCTATAGCTGATGAATTTTTCTCATCCACTATATCACTGCCTGGGTAAAATGTCGTCGTCATATTATCATCACTGTGGTTACTCATATCGTAGGTATTATTTATTTGATAATCTGTAAGCAAATTGTTTATTAAATTATTTCCTCTATTATGACAATTAGAACTGTTATTAATTCCATTAGTTCTAGTACCGCTAGGTACAATATCCATTCGCATACTTCGTACATTACCAGGGATATTATTGCTACTTGGTGTGCCCGTGATGATAATATTTTGTGGTTCATTCAATAATGTACCTCCCACGATGTTATTTGGATCCAGATTTGATTCACTGTTCATTCTTTCTCCATGACTAATAAATCTATCAATTGGAACATCTGCACCAACTACACCAACAGATGCAGTGTTAAGGGACGAATCCAAATTGTTGTTATTCTCTACTTGGAACGACACATTATTCGGTGTGGATCTGGATTCACCAAAGGAAGTTGCTGTGGTTGCATTATGTAAAGGTAAAATGTGATTGCTAGTATTGGTATTATTTTCAGTATTTCTACTTTGTGAGAATTTATTTTTATTTTCATTTTTGTTATTCTTCTTATCTAGTTTAACAGCACTTTCATCAGCATTTTTTACATTTTTATTTTTCTTTTTATTAAAGTACATGAACAAATGGTTACAATGATAGAAGGGTTCTATAGGAATGGATTCGTCATTTTTTAAGGTTTTAATTTTTTTAGAAATATTTTCGATAAAGTAATATAAAATAATAATTTTGACATCTTGATGATTAAATATACGACTTTTATTAGTATTCTTATCATGTATGGTTTTTCTATACTGATCTAGTAATAACTTTACACTTTTCTTGTCAATATCAATAAGGAGAAAACTTAGGTATAAATTCATATATCCCCCTTCATTAAACGGTATTGTTATCATTATATTTATAAGTATATTAAAAATATATTTATATATAAGTTGCTTTAATAGTATATATTTCTCTTCAATCCAAAATTTTTTTATGTCATTATTTTCTTCATACGTACGAAATAAATTTTTTTTCAGCAATTTTAAATAATACTGTAGATAAAATAACATATTTCTTTTACTGTTTGGATCCATAATTGTTTCATAATAGTATACTCTTGCGTGTGTTGATTTTGCTTTTGCTTCTTTCAAAATTTCAAACATGAATGGAAATTTCTCCAACACATACTTGTCGTCTCTGTGGAAAATATTTTCTTTATCTCTTCTACTTTTTTCGCAATTCTTCTTCAGTTTCACCAATGGGGAATTCCTATTCGTATTACAACCCATGTTGAGATCTGTATAGTCATTGAATATATTGCTACTTCTATGGTTCGTTGGATGTTCGTGTGTCGCACAGCTGTTTGTATTCAGGTTGAAAATCTCTTCTCCAGAATTTTCATTCATCCTCAAATCGACGTCCAATCTTCTGTTACCCGTACTCGAATTCTCATCACTGCTGTTATAATCAAAGTCGTAGTAAGTTGTTTTTTTACGTGAATTTTTTTTCTCTTCAATGAATTTGTCTTTCCCTAGGTTAAGAAAAAATTCTTTTTCCTTAGCATTATCTAAATAATTCAAAGTACAGTCAAGGTCAGTAGTACCTGAATAGTTCAAGCAATCATAAATAGTTTTTTCATCAAAACCCATTAATACCCATTCTTCTAATATATTTACATGTGGATAGTTAAATGCATCTTTATCCTTCTCTTTGCTTCCTATATTTTTTCTATCTTTACATTTTTCTTTGGTCCAAAAATCGATAATTTTCGGTTCCACTTCAATTGAATGGTGAATAAATTTTAAAATAATTCTTAACAACGTGTATATAATATTATTATTAAAATTTATATATATATTGCTTTTTCCTAGGTTGTTAATTTTTACACTTGTACTGTTTATATAGATGAGCCACATGAATATATTGTTCGATATTTCACATTTCACTGATCTGATTGTGTTAATTATATCAAAGTAGTCAAGAGAGAATAAAAAGTTATTGTTGTAGGTGAATGTTCCTTGAGATTTTTCCTTTCCTTTTTGTGCAAAATTTGTGTCATCTTTGTAATTTCTTCCATTGAAAGAGGTATTGTTTTTTACATTTTCATTAATAGCACTAGTACTTGTGCTTTTATTACTAGGATTGTGTGTTTCATCATCATCATCATCGATTTTTCCTTTAACTTCATTCAAAGTAGAATGTGTGATACCACTTATACCCATTTGTACCGTGGTTACATCTCCATTATCTGCATTATTCGCATTATCTCCATTTAACTGTTTTTTCCTGTCTTGTTGAGGTAATAAATTGACTTCTTCACCCGTGCTATTATTCTTATTTTCTTCCGTGCCAATAATATTAACAGTGCAATTTGTTTGGTCCTTTTGATCACTAGGGTGAATTGCATTATCATCCTTGTTATTTTCCTTCAGAACCGTTTGTTCATTATTATTTACTGTTTTTCCTGATGAAAGATTTTCAAAATCATTGTGCATGCGTGTAAGGGGATGTAACATTTTAGAACAAAATAACATCAAATTAAATTTTCCAATATTGATCAGGCTAATGAAAAAATCCAAAAATGCATTTATTCCTTTAACAACAATTTGTAAATAAGTTTTTAAATTATTTATATCAGCATTGGCATAATATTTCATTAATCTAGTTATATATCGAACAAAATATGTGTTTGTGCAGGTAAAATTTCTACTTATATGGATTGGGATATAACTGGTATATTTATCGTGCACATTTTGTTTACTCTCTTTCTTCTTTTTATAAAATAAGGATAGTAAAGATATATATACACTCATAACATAGTTGAACATATTGAAAATAAAATCGAATGTTCCAACTTTGTATAATAAATCCAAAAAGTAAAAGTAGCTAATAAATTCAAGTTTGTTATCTGACAGCAATTTATGTAATATGTTAATCAATTCTGCAATATATTTTACTGTTTTCATTGGACTATAATGTTCTATGTTGATACGTACCTCTGTTAATTTTTTTTCCTTGCATGTATCTTTCATGCTCCTCTTTTCGTTTGAGGAGCTTTTTTTTTTCATCTTCTCGTTCTGCACATCTTTTGTAACATTTGATTGGTTTTGAACCATTGTTTCTTTTTTTTCCCCTTCTCTGTTACTACTGTTTGTTTTGCTTATGCTATTTTGTTCTTCCTGTTGGAAATCAAGATTGTCATTTTCCTGGATCATGCGATAAGATCCGTCTGCCTCCCTAACGCAAGTGCATATATATGACTTGTTATACTTATTCAAATCGTGGTTTAAAAAAGAGTTTCCATGTGCATTTCCGATTAGATTGGCTTGGCCTGAATTGTTGTTCTTGAAACATGTAAAGAATTCTTTTCCTTCGTGTGGTACTTTCTGTTCTATATGTTTTGCAGATGTGGAAGAATCTGCATAATATGAACCCTTAATTTTGGTATAATTAGTTGGCATTGCATTTTTCACAAAGGCATTACAGTTTTCTTCCCCTTCAACATGATTTTTATGAAGATCCTTATTCGGAACTACATCGATCATGAAAAAGTTAAAATTGTATCGTTTAAATAATATTTCCTCCATGTAGAAAGATTCTGGATAAAAGTTTTCTATTTTCTCAATGTTATAACTGGAAAAAGGAGTGTAAGAGTAATCATATAAATTAAAGGTTTTGTTATTTCTGTCATTTCTTTCCATTCCTTCATAGCCATTCTTCATTTCTCGAAAATGATGATTATTATTGCTACCATCCGTGATGTGATTTTTCGCAAGATCTCCTTCCATGTTACTTTCACAATGGAAATAGTCCAATTTCGTTGTTCCTACTTTTGACCACTTTCTGGCTCCATTTTTGAAAGCATTTCTCGACATTTGATTTCTATTCATATTATTGTTGCTTCTACTGTCATTGCAATTGTTGAATGTAGTAGCGATTCTATTTTGAGGTATGTTCAATGGGGATATGCTCTCGATATATTCATTTAAATAATTAACCTTCTCCTGAGTTATGTGATCAGATAATATATTATATAAATTTTTTTCTGATCCTCCTACTATGTAAGGATTTTGCTGTATAGGTTTGCTAACTAATGGTACATTCATCATACATTTTGTTAAACATCGAATTATGCACAATATATGTTTCTGTTGTATGACATTAAAAAAAATATAGTTTGGACTAGGTTTTAATTTCATTTGCCTCGTATGGCATGCTAAATTTACCATGATAAAAAATTTTTTAATTACTACTAGTAATGATCTTAAACTTTCACAAAGAACATATTTAGAATCATATGCATAGCGCGTGTGCAGATGTATATTTTTATCTTCAATATAATAATCGTTATAATTGGAATTGGAATCACTATTATCAATACTGCATCTTACATAATTATTTGTTCCTTTCTTCTTATTCTTTTCAGTGGTAGGAATATCCATATAATCGCAACTATTATAAGCTGTGTACATTTTCATAACATTTTGTGCATTTAACTGATTGTTTTGATTCCCTAACTTGGGGTGGGAATCGAAAAAGTTTTCACTTTTCGAACAGACATCGTTCTGGTTTGTAAAAATGTAATCATTAGAAATGTTATCTAAACTGCTGTCACGACATATACCTTTTTCATTATTATTGGCTTTATTTGCAATGATAAATTGATTTTTTTTTTTGTTTTTTTTTGTTTCAATTTCAGTGACTGAATCTTCCGAACTTGAAAAATATTTTTTAAATTTGGATTTTTCTTTATTTCTAAAGGCAATAATACCTGAAGGCACTTTCAAGTTTTTATGAATAAAAGAATTTAATTCAGTTAGTACTTGGGAGAAAGTATATTTATATATAGTTTTATATACCTTATCTTCATTATCTAACATGCTAAGATGATCTGTCATTTTGTAATCATCTGCATTGTCATGATCACATATAATATGCACCAAATTACTTTGGTCATTATTTAAATCATATAAATTGTTATTAACTGAATAACAAAATAGGGATCGACTAGAACCAAATAAATTATATAACAAGTAATCTGATTTGTTTTGGCTATTTCTTAGAGTTCTTTTGATGTGTTCATGAATGCAAACTTTATCCTTTAGATGTAGAAAAACGTTATGATTCGAATCATTCGTTTGATAAAAATACAGCGTAAAGAAAAAATCAAACACACTCTCTATCGTTATTAACACATCTGAAAATACTTCTAATATTTTCCTATTCGATAATTCTGACAGGTCATACAGCTTTTCTTCATTTCCATAAAGTCCCTTTGCATCAGTGTACGCAGAAATTAGGAAGTACAAAATGTTAAACAGCTGTGTGATGTTACTTAGAAGCAGTTTGTTTCGGTCTATGAATGGCCCAGAAAAAAAGTCGGTCCTAAGATATTTGCTTTCACGTTGGTTGCACTTTCCAGGATGCTCACCAATTTTATCATCCACACCTGTAACGCCATTGGTGTTGTGGGAGAATTGCATAAGAGCAGATCGCTTCCCAATTATGATATTGCCCCCGAGGTCAAAGTAAAAGGAACCAGTAAGAATCATGTTGATGTATTGTATATACAAAACAAAATTGCTGTAGTTGTAAAGTGGATATAAAAATTGATTGTACACACTTTTAAAGGTGGCATATAGATATATCTTCATAATAAATGTATAAATAGAATGGTACTCAAATATGTGAATATAATTAGGAGGTAAACTTATCATGTTGGTAGAAGCCATTAAGAACTTCAAACCATTTAATTTTATAAATAATTTAATCCAAGAAGTTTTCATATATGATAAGATACAACGACAAAGAATGGATAATCTATCGAGAAAAAAATTATCTTTTCTATATTTATATCTATCTATGTTTAAATCCTTTAATTGTACAACATGTGTATTTTTAACAGACGCTTCTACATATTTTTCTATGTAAGAATAATCTAAACATTTCCAATACCCTAAATTAAGTCCTTCTAAATATAATTTTTTTAATAATTTTACATGAAATGATAAAAAATCTCTCATAACAAATCCGTAATTCTCTAACTCGTTAATAATATTCCCTATGGAAACAGCTATGTCTCCAAATCTATCAAAAAAAAAATAATCGATTTTTATTACATAATGGAATAAATTATATATAGGGGTATAATTTAATTTCTTCATTGCTGATTTTCCAATGCTATGAATAAACATAAGTGATAAAAGAGATGGTACATATATTAAAACAGTTTCATCTTTTAAATTATTTTCTACTATGCTATTTAACATTATATTTAAAATTCCCTCTTTCAATAGAGTTGATAAAATGGTGGGATCTTCATATATATGTTCATATATAAATCCTAGTATGTATCCATACAAACATAAGCCAAATTTGTGTGGATATTTCAAAATGTATTTGATAATTTTAACCGAAATGTAATTATTGGTAAATATATCCAAAAGAGTATCCGTTGGTGAATATCCCTTTAGTGCTAAGTTTAGTGCTTTTATAATCATCTTTATTATTTTTATTCTCTCCTCATATATGTATAGTTTCCACCAAAAGTTGAATCTATTCAAAATGATGTCATCTGTAACGTTTGCATTTATATCATATTTTTCAAACAATTTTATCAACTTTTCGTTACGCTTGGAGAAGAGGCTATTAGTAGTATAAGCCTCCGATTTCACCTTTGTAAGGGAAATATTTTCGTTACTTTCTGTATCTACAAGTTTAGATTCGATATCTGCTTTAATGATAGCCTTATCTATAGCAGCTTCTTCTGGAACAGAATTAACATGTGTTGTATTAACTTGGCCAATGCCCAGATGTTCAAATTGCATGTAGAGTTCCACATCTTCAATGGTTTCAATGAAATTTCTATCATACCCATCGTAATTAAATGGCTCAAAGTAGTATTTTAAAAAGTTTTGCCTGTTCAAATGATAAAAACTGTCAGACATCATAAATATTTCATACTGAAAACGCGATAATAATATTTTGTATAATTCTTCTTCATTCTTTGCAGTGAAATAAAAATTTGGAGTAAAATCCAGTAAGGTCTCCATAATTCTTAGTAGCAAATGAACAATTGGTAAATTGTTCGTATAACTATCTTGTAAATATAATGGAAAGTTTTTTAATGTGTTTTGTTGTGCTATGGTTAATATTGGACTTGGTTCCATAACACATGTATGATATAAAGTTAACAATTGTAACATCATGGATACTTGTTTTTTATTCTTTTTAAAGTCTTTGAAATTCTTTCTTGTAATTTTTATAAATTCACTTTCTTCACTTTTTTTACAATTTTTTATATTATTTATGATTGTATCTTCACTTATGTAATTTTCATATTGTATTTCTTCATTGATGTTGTTTCTTTCCCTTTCATGATTATTCAATCTGTTTTCCGTTGTATTTATCAAATCCAATTCTCCTCCATTATTCATAAAATCAAACAGGTTTAAATTCCTCATGTGGTTAGTATCCCCTTCGTTATTTGTGTCACCTTCATAACTCATATAATCAAAAATGTTTAAATTTTGAACCGTGCTAAGGTTATCGCTCACTGATGGATTATTTATGAATGCTGATCTAGTCCCAACGATTGGATCATTATTATTTCCAATGTTGCTGATATTGCTGATATGACTTATATTGCTACTTCCTCCTTGAGCACCATCTATATCAAATATAAAATTACCATTGGCATAGCTCAACTGTTCATGTCCTTGACCAGCATTCATAATATTTGTACCTTGATTTTGAGAAATGTCGTAATTTTCATTTGGAAAAATAGTAGAACGTACATTGTACACATTATGAATCGAATTGGCAATCCCATTATTTGTATTTTCATTATTATCCCCACTTTGTGAATGCACTGAATTATTGGGGTGAAGAATAAGCTCTTCATTCGCACGTACAGGTGATAAAATTGTCTCCTCAATTCTCCTTATTTGGTTACTATTATTATTGCGCGTATTATTGAATAACTGAAATGTATTATTTTCTGCGCTTTGGTGAGGTGCATCCTCCCTCTGCAATGATAAATTTTCGTTAAGTAAAAGTTCATCTACAGAGTTGTAAATGCCTCCTTGTGTGAGTGTATTATAATTTTCAGAAGTATGGGGTGCAGCGTTGTGGATTGGTGTATAATTACTTGTCCTTTTATTTTTATTCTGGTTGTTGTTCTTTTTGCTGTCGTCATTTTCCACAGATTCTGGCACCACTATAACTTCATCCTCTTCCACCTTGTTCTTTTTCTTCCTCTGTTCCTCTAATTTTTTTATATACAAAGAGTTAATATAATTGGTGCTGTATACCTCATGCTCAGTTTCATTCATAATGTGCATTGGACAAATATCCTTTTGCACATTATGGGGAGATAAGAAATAATTCAGGTAATATTTTAAAACGCTAATAAATAATCCACTGTGTAATCGTAATCCCAAAATTTCAGCGACTACTTTGTAGTGGAGGTGAGATTCTACAGCTGTTGTTAGTAGATCGAATATAATATGTAATGTATTAAAATGTATATATTTATGATATTTTAATGCGTACAAAATTTCCTGCAAAAATATTGTATTACTTGGTATAATTTGTGGATATAAAATTGAATTAATAGATAAAGAACCAGATATTATTAGATATCTCAAATTAAATAATTTTTTCCTATATTTTGGACATATTAATCCAAGGTAAATTCTCAATTTATGTCTCAAATCGAATGCTTTCTTATCATCAATTTTGTATTTGTTCATAATTTTGTCGAATGCGCATTGGAGTATATCCTTTGCGTTATTATATTTCACTTCCTTTGGAAAAATTGAAGTAAATGGGATCTCAATGTCTTCAATATTTATTACAACATTATCTAGGTTTAAATTATAATCAATTAATTCGAGAAAATATCTATTTTCAATTTTGTAATATACATTATCCATATATTTTTTATCAGACGTGTCATGTAGGTAGTACAGAATAATTCCCGAGATGTAATTATTATCATTTATTCTTCCAATATCATTATTTATATATGGATGTAGGAAATTTGGTACAGGAATATTAATTAATGCGGATAAAATGTTCACAACTTGATTTATTTTATTTTCATTCTTTTTCGTTTTCTTTATAAATAAATAATATATATTTAAAATCTGGGCTGATAATATGGATATCTTTGGATTGAAACTCCATAACAATACTAGTAAATGATCTAACGAATTATACTTTGATTTACTTAAGCAATTTTCCAAAATATGATATGTGAATCGTAGTACTTGTTCTATTAGCAAATCCGATGGGATAAATATTTCCCCTTCCTTTTCATTCGCATTACTCGCTGAAAACATCTTTGACATTTCATTACTCTGAACAAAGCTCTTAATTGGATTTAATTCATCGCGTACATGTTGGTTTATTACCTCATGGTTCATATCCACACTATTACCAAAACCTATAGTATCGTCATTATACGAGTTATTACCATTGTTAGCATTCGAATTGAATTTCAGAGCATCATTGCTGTTACTTTCTACACTACTGCTAACATTTGTGGTTAGTTCCCCCTTCGAAATGTACGTTTCTTCTCGATTTAATTTATTATGAATAATATACCTTTCAAGCAAATCATCGAATCGATTTAACACAGGTGCCCATGCTATCAAATCGGACTTCAGCCACACCCAATCAATAAAGGGAAACAGGTGCTCAATTAAATTTTTATCATCACATGTTGACAATATATGAATGAAAAATTTTTCCTCTTCACTAATTTTATCTAGCATTAATATGTAATTATCATCCTTCGGTATTTGTATTTTCATTTTGCATTCATAATTAGGAAATTTTATTATTTTATTATTGTTTATTTTATTTTATTTTTTTTTTGGAGGGGGGGGTGGAAGTATGCTTATGTGTTCTGCGGCATCACAATTATCTAGTGCTGAACCAAAAGAGTTTCTATCTCTCTCTTTCTATATATATATATATGTATATACAAATATATATGTGTACACATATATATAATGTTTACTTATAAATAAGACCTTTCGTGGATATGCCTTTCCCTACATATGTGCGTATCCCATATATATACAAAATATGGAACTCAAAAGATATACTTAATTATATGAAATATTTGTCCTAATGATTTAGGTGTACTAACCTTCACAAATATGATTACGTAAGGAGATGAAATCTCCACTCTATGCGAAAAAAAAAAAAAATATATATATATATATATTCACGCAAAAAAGAAAAGAAATGAAGGAAAAATGGGGGGAAAATGAAGAAATGTGAAGAACTATTTTTACAAAGGCTCATGTACACTTGAACTAGGGGTGATAATTGTGGTAGATATTTTATACATTAATTAAGTAACATAAATATGCAACATATGCATGATCTGCAATTAAGCAACTATGGAATTAACCAATTAAACAACTGTGAAACTAGCCAATTAACCATACACTTTGTGCAGGAGAAATGTAAGCACTACTTAAGGAACTTTTCTAAGGCTAAACAAAAAGAATTCACCTTCTCAAGTGTTTTATGAAGTGCAAAAAAAAAAAAAAAAAAAAAAAAAAAAACACCAGGTAAATGTTCAAACAAGAATAAAAAAAATAAACCAAATATATATGTGCAAATATGTGTATATATATATGCATATATATGTGTGCGCATACAATGACTCTCTTAAAATAAGGAATGCAACAAAAGGATGTGTAAATATAAAAGGTCTTAGTTCATTTAGGGGAACGCGGTGAGATAGGCATAAAAACAGCTGCACGTATATTGACCTGTCGATTACATGCACACATACACGAGCTCTAGTGTGCGCACACGCAGATATGTATAAGTATGTGTAAGTATTTGTATTTACGTGTACATATGTATGCGTATGTATGTATAAGAATGTGTATGGATGCACATATAAACACATCACAGATGAGGCAATGTGAACATGAGCTTCAATTGCCTTAGAGCACAAACATATGTAATACACCTCTGAATATGAAAGCAATATGCCAATTTTATAATAGCGCATAAATTTTCGTACGTAGCGATGTCAGCTAGTTATTTCATGAGGTGTAAGGGGAAAAAAAAGAAAAAAAAAAAAAAAATTGTACATATTTTCCTATCCACTAAATGTGTAAAAGGTTATTATATACATACATATATATATAGGATATATGTATAACATGTAAAAGCATTAACATATACACAATTCTGTGGTATTTCCTTTTAAGCGTTCGTTCATATGCACATATAAACGTGTACGAACATTCTGGAAATTAAGTAATACTAATTTTAAACAGGCATAAATAGGATGGGGTGTGGATCTATATGTAATAATGATTTGAAACGCGAAATATATTCAAAGGAGTACATTATTGTAATCCTAAAAAAAAAGAAAAAAAATGGGTGTGCTAAAAAAATGGCACAAGTATGATTACGTACTCGCATGTGTATACATACATATATGTATTAAAATAAACGCGTGATGGCGTGAAATTAAATGTGTTTAAAAAAAGGAGTTTTGTAAATGCGTTTAACTACAAATTTGTGTGGATAACAAGCAAGCAAGATGGGCGAATAGTGACGTGATTAGTGATGCGAATAGTGATGCGAATAGTGATGCGAATAGTGATGCGAATAGTGATGCGAATAGTGATGCGAATAGTGATATGAACAATGATATGAATATTCATACGAATGTTAAGTTGAATGCAGATGTTAATGCTAATATGTATGATGCTGCAAGCGTTGGTGCAAATGTAGATGGAAATATAATCCGTAATTTTGTTAATACTTTTTTTAGGCTGATTTTTTCTTATCCATAAATTGGGCAAGCAGATGCTTCATGATAAATGAGATACGAACTTATGTAAAGTATAATAGGAAATGATAAGGAATGTTATGCAAATATGGCTTCTATGAAAGTTTTCAGTTAAAAATAAAAAAAATGTGAATGTTTTTTCATCGATTAGAAATATTGCCACTTTTCATTTCATATTTTGTGACTTGCCGTTATTCCTGTTTTTGCTATTTTTCAAATTTTGACAGATATATATATATATATTTTTTTTTTCCTGCCTTTTTTTTATGCACGCATTTTAGCAAAAGAAAAAAAAAAAAAAAAAAAAAAAAAAAAAAAACATGAAGGGAAAATTGGTGAGTGCTCTTTTTTTTTTTTTTTTTTTTTCTTTTTTCTGATTTCACTTGTTGCATTTTAAGTATATGGCATATGTAGAACAAGTATTTAAGTGGAAAAAAAAAAAAAAAAAATAGTGGGGTGGAGGAATGTATGAAAAACAAACAAGCGCATATTACATAAGTAAATAATAGCTTCGTTCCACGCGTATAATTTTTTATATAATATAAAATGACCCTCTGTGCGTTTTACAGAATACATATTTTTTGTACACATACATGTGCCAAATTCAGCTTATGAAGGGAGGTGCTTTTATTTATATACAACTTGGGAAAAATATTCATAAATTGTGAGGACGACTTTGTTTATATAGGTTATTATGTATATATATATATATATACATGTGAGAGACTGAATATTATTTTATTTATATATTGGCGCGCATATAGCCAAGTAGAAATCTCTTCTTTGCTAGGAACCGAGCCAGGGTGCGAAGGGGGGGGGTGGTAATGAAGGAAAAAAAAAAAAAAAAAACACCTTTTAAAAAAGAGTTTGTGCATATGATTGAAATTATTGTAGGGGATATATGTATGTAAATATCCACTTTTTTGCGCACAAGTGTAGTGACATATAATATGTATCATATACATGAGAGAATAAGCACGCGATGGTTTTATCTGCATTAAGCAGTCCCATATCCGGATGTGGTTAAATTCCATATCTGTAAATGTGGCAGCACAACACTTAATGCCACTTTAAAAAGAAATACCTTATTAATTTTTCATGACTCTTTGAACCTCGACATCTCAAAGGTAGGAAGATAGATGAAAACGGTCCTGTATGTAAATAAAAAATTGTGTAGAAAAGTATTCACATTTCTTTAAATACTATTAAAAAAAAAAAAAAAAAAACGGCCAAAATGGAATGGTTGAAGGTGGTGAGAGTAAAGTTCCATATGTAACTTCAGTTGCAAGCATTAACAACAAAAGGGGAAAAAAAGAAAAAAAAAGTTCGAAAGTTTTTTTCATTTTGCAAAAATATTTACATGTCAGTTCACCCAAAGGTTATTTAAACACATAGACCTCGAAAAAATATATTATATTTTTTCTTATTTTTATTTTATTTTACTTTTGTTGGAGTAAAATTGACAAAAAAAAAAAAAAATAACAAAAATTAAAAGGAGTCTTAATTCTGCACTATGTTAGTATATTCTTCACCTTATAGAGAAAGGGAGGGAAGACATACAAGATAAGTCTCACCTTATATCTCATTTCCCTATCTCAGAGATTGTCCATTGAATATTTCCAACAAGCTGAAAATTATTTACAGCAACACTGGGGAAGGGGGGCACATGTGTATATATATATCCTGATATGTTTTATATTTGGGCAAACATTCCCTAAAATAATTTAATCATAGTTGAATCTCCTTACTTAAATAAGGTGGTATATCTCTCATTTTATCATTGAATTAAAAAAAAAAAAAAAAAAGGTTAATAAGGTACTTATATATTTCATAAAAATATGAATTGATTGAAATGATGCACATACTTGTTTGTTGACATCCATATTTTTACACAGACACAAAGAGGGTATTTTTTTTTTTCGAACATGTGTATTACGTAAAGGGCGTACATATATAAATATATATATATATACATTTCGAAAAAAGAGAGGAAAGGGGGAATGGGTTGATAAAAATAAAAAAAATAAAGAAAGAATAAAAAGAAAATAAGGAAGTAAATAAGGAAGTAAATAAAGAAGTAAATAAAGAAGTAAATAAAGAAGTAAATAAGGGACGTGAAAAAGGAAATAAAAATGGAGAAAAAACTAGCACAACGAAAATCAAGTTGCTTAATAAATTAAAAAGCAAATGAGTAAGATTTTTGGAATAAATTGAAAAAAAAAAAAATAAAATAACCACACACACACAAAATAAAACCCAAAAATGAAACACAAGATGTGAAGCACAAAACAAAAAAAATAAAACATAAAACAAAAAAGAGAAAACACAAAACATAAAACAAAACAAAGCACAAAACAAATACAACTTGGGGGAAATTCAATTATCCTTCACGCAAGGAATAAGTGCGTCGGAATTTTATAATATCGTGGGAATAGAAACATGGGTAAGCATCTAAATCTTACACACACACCATGTGAGCGTATTAAAAGGAAAAATGCACACATGGGCTCCCAAGTAATTACTACCACGTTGCAAAAAGATGAAGGGGCTTGCGCCACGATACAGTTTTGCTCCATACCTTAATTTTGCCTCTTCTTGCTTACATTATGATTGTATATTTCTTATGTTACCCTTTTGAATTTTACAAACACACGAAACGGTAATCAATCACATTGGGGTCGTTGGAAGGTGGTGATGGTGATAGGGGGTGTAAAAGATAATTCAGGCGTAAAATCCATATGCTAAATATTAACCCTTTCCATAGTCAGACCCAGTACATCAAGTATCTCCACTTTTTTTTTTTTTTCTTTTCATCTTTTTCTTTTTCATCTTTATGTCCTTTCTTCTGAAAAAATTTTACTGGTCGTATAGAACTGAGTTACCCACTTGATCCACTGGAAACATGTGGTGAACTGTCTTCAAATCGGCATTGTTTGGAAAGTGAAAGAATGTCAATACGCAAGAATTAATTTCATGACTTTTTTCAACTAAAACTAAGTGGGAAGCATTTTTAAAAATAATTAAATGACAATTAATAAATAATTTGGATGTATTTTTAAAAACATGGGAACTACAAATATTATCCTTTTCACCACATAAAATTAAAACTGGTATGTGGTTAAGTCCAACTTCTTTGAAGATTTCATGAGCACTCCACATTTTCAAGTTATTAATACATCCTAATATGGAATGAGTTATATTTTTTTTTACGAATGCTTGCCACATTATTCTATTGTAGAGGTAATCGGATGAATCATTATCGGAATCGTTTTGAGTGTCATTATAGTACGCATGGTTTGAAGCATTTTTGGATGCCTCATTCGATTCACTTTTAGAAACTCTTTTGTTTTTTCTCGTAGAAGTATGCTTAAATTTTTTCTTCGAGATAAAACAAGGTAACATAAAAAAAGATGAAATATTAATTAAGCATGGGAACATTTTCAAAACTTTCAGTGCAAATGGCTTTTTTTCCAAAATGCCAACGGGGGATATTAAAATAATTTTCTTTACTTGTTTGATATACTTTTTTGCAAAACCAATTGCGATTACGCATCCCATAGAGAATCCTATTAAGTAAAAATCCTTATGTAACAATTTTAAATGATTTAATAATTCTTCTGTCTGCGTTAAAAAGAAATCTATTCCATAAGTTTTTTTTCTATGGTTATATTTTGGACACGCGGATAAACCATGTCCATATAGATCAAAATTAAGAACTTGAAATTTATATTTTATTAATATTTTCTGCATATCTAAAAAGGTTAAATTTGTCCCATTTAATCCATGAAATGTTATGACTAATGTTCCTTTTTTATTTCCTTTTAAATCATAATTTACAATTCCGTATTTTCCAAAAAATACTTTTCTGTACACAAAGGGGCACTTTATGTTTTTTTTCTTCAAGTACCTTGGAACCTTGTAAACAATGAAATTATTGTCTTCCATCTGGATTCCCTCTTGTTTTCTCTGTTCGTTGGTTTTGGTTTTATTCTTCAGATGTTCTTGTTTAGATGATTGACCAGTGAATAAACCTCCTTTCTGTGCTTCCTGCCTCGCTTCCTGACATACATCTTCTCGCTTCGCTTTATGTTTCATTCGACTAATAAGACTATGTTTAAAATTCCATTTTTTCTTTTTCCCAACACTTTCGTCGCACTTTTCCTCTTTGTGCTCCTTTATACAGTTGTTTATATTTTTCTTAGGAGGAATTGTAACAATGTTGTTTTCATTTGTCTCCTCAAATATAATATGCGAGTGGGTTCCGATATTTGCAATTTCATCTTTGTTTATATCTTTTATATAATTGTTGTAGTTTCTATCGATTTCTCTTTTTTTATTTTGAGACGAATCGACTACATCATCCATGTTTTTTTCATTCCTAGAACTAATTATTCTTTTCAAAAGGGCTAAATATTTCTTTTCCCCTTTCGTTCTACATTCATTTGGTTTATTTTCGTTTAAGCTATTTAACAATTTATCTTTTTTAAATTTTTTTTTTTTTTTGTGATTATCATCCTTTAATTTCGTTTCCATTTTATTTATTAATTGGTGGGTTTTGTTGGGGGCTTTTCTTTTTTCTTCCCTTTCCTCGTAGTAACAATTTGGTTCACTTTTTCCTCTCGTTAATATGTTGGATTTGTTCTTTTCTTCCATGTTATTATCCTTTAATTGATAGAAGCTGTCACTAAAAATAAGAGGATAATTATAATTTTTTTTTTCTTCTTCCTCTGCATGGTCATAATACAGTGGTGTCACTTTCTCGTTAGTATTTTTCTCTTTCAAGTGGATATCATCAGCGTGTCCATGCGAATGTGTAACGTTTTTTTCTCTTAACATTTTTGTTCCATTTGTAATTCTTTTCTTTGTCATGATTTCACTAAGTTGTTCAACTTCAACATCCTCCACAAAGGCTCCTACATTTTCAGCATCCTCTTCATTAGCCATTTTGGCTAATGGAATTGCCTTTTCGGTTTCGTTTGTCGCTTTTTCTCTTTCTTGAATGTGAAACTTCAACTCCCCCTTCCACACTTCTGTTTTCCCCCAAATCGTGTCATTAACGTTAAGCTGTGTGTGTGTGTGTGCTTTTTTCTGCATTTATTTTTCGTCTACCTTTATTTTGCGTATGTTTTTTTTTGTGCATATATTTTTTTTGTGTGTATATTTTTTGTGTGCGCATATTTTTTTGGAGTGTATATTTTTTGTGTGCGTATATTTTTTGTGTGTGTATATTTTTTGTGTGTGTTTATTTTTTTTCGTACATTTATTTCCCGTGTGCGTGAGTTTTCCTTCTGTATGTGCCTTTTTTGTTTTCTGTGTTGAAGTGTTTTCTCACGGGAAACACAAGCATATTTTTCCCAGCCCTCCTTTTGTGCAATTACAAATGGTTGTGATCAGTGTTGAAAATAAATGAGTTTCACGTATTTCATGGATAAATTGAAATGGACGTTGGGGAGAACGTGAAGATGATGGAACTAAATGTGATGAATGCTACAGGTGAGAAATAGGAGAAAAAGATGCCTATATATATTGACACTTCAGTTTCGAATGTGTATGTGTATGTATATATGTATATGAAATTTTTTTTTTTTAAATGTTTTCATGATTTGTGGCGTAAACTCCCCTTGCACACACTTGAGCTGTGTACACCTTAATGACACAACTCATACGCATACAATTTGGTCATTAAATGTAATAATGTGTACTCTGTGATACTAAAATTGATATTTACCAATAGGAAGCGAATAGATATGTATAAAACGAATAACCTTAGTTATGTTTTGCATTTTCTTATCTACCCCTGTCCATTTATGATGAGACAATTCCCATTATAAGAGATTAAAGCAACATCAGGTGCAAGTGCAATTTTGACATTCAACTCGTTTTTCACAAAATTTATCATGTACAGAAAAAAAAAAAAAAAAAAAAAAAAAAAAAAAGTAAGAAAGAAAGAAAGAAAGAAAAAGGATGAATTGAAAAAGAAAAATGTGTAATCATTTTTTTTTTTTTTGTCATCATTCATGAAGAGGAAAATTTTGGACGGTTAATCAGTATTTTTAATTTATGTTGTAAAGGTGAAAAATAAGTACACAAACGAAATTGGGAGAATGTTTGAATAAATACGAAAAAAAGAATTCATAAGAGCTTTAAAAAGCTTGAAACGTTTTAAAAAAATCAATCCTACATTACTCTGTTTGAGGGAATGCAGTGAAAAAAAAAAAAAAAAAAAAAAAAAAAAGAAAAAAAAAGATGCTGTGTGCTATAGTTTGTATACATATATATATAAAAGCATTGTATAGAGTTCACAAGGAATTCATAATTTACATTATATATATATATATAGTAGTTGGTAAAAATAACAAGTTTTTATTTGGAATTGCTCAATAGAGTAATTATCATCCAATATCCATGAGGACCAGAACACTTTTGAAAGTCAAGTGATAACAACTTTTATCTACCCTCCCCACCCATAGCTCAAAAACAAATACACATAAAAAAAAAAAAAAAAAAAAGCAACTTTTAGTCATACACACCATGAAATGAGTAGCTTTTTAAATCGTCCTCTTTAAGTCCGTGCTAAGAGTAAATCCAACTGGTTTAATTCCACTTATTTAAAACGAGGCGAAAAAAAAAAATAAATCATATAAAAATATTAAATTAATATAATAAATAAGAGCATTGAAAAAAATATATTTAAATATATATTCCCTTTTTGCATTCGAAGAAAGAGTTACCGCAAAACTTTACAAAACACCGTTGTGGAGTGTACTGTGAGAGGAGAGGATTGGTAATCCCAGAACAGAAAACACAAGGAGAAATACCTCAGTGTAAAAGAAAAAAAATAATAATAAATAAAAAAAATACACCAAATAGAAATTTTGTGAATAAAAATAAATAAAAACAAACAAAAAAAAAATTTTTTTTCAGTTTTTCATATTTGCTATTTTTTTTAACCATGAACTTGAAATGTTGGAGTTTTTACATGTATGAGGAGAGAAGAAGGGGCTGGGGGTAAAGATATACTATGTTAACTAATTTTTTTTTTTTTTTTTTTTTTAATTTTCTCCAAGTGTCCCTTTTGTTAATTTACTGACACCAAAATTGGTAAAAAATGAAATAAATAAAAATTTTTTGCTATTTGTATTAGCACATGCTTAAATGGGATTGTTGTGCTGTACCGTATGTATATATACACAAGGCTCACACCTGTAAGAACACTGGAAATTACATGAATATCGAGGACTTACATACTTTGGCAGATGTGTTTCTTGAATGCACATGAATATGTTTCCAGAAAAAATAAAGTAAAATGTAAAAAATAAGCACAACACATCGAGAGTGCAGCACTTAAATTCGCACATTTCAGGGGGTGAACATTTAGGGCAAAAAGAATTGTGACTATCTGAATAAAATACAAAAAAAGATGTACTGAATGTATGACTTTTTTGGTATTAGTATTGCTCTAAAGTTTCTCCTAATTTATAATGGTATTTAAATGCATTTACTTATTGATAGAAAATATCCACAGTGCTTTGGTAACTATCACAAAACGTATAACGCCAGATGTGTAATAGCATTAAGTGGAAAGAATAAGAATTAAAAGAAAGAAATAAAATAAAATAATAAAGGGTTGAAATAAAATAATAAAGGGTTGAAATAATAAAATAAAGAATTGAAATAATAAGGTAAAGAATTGAAATAATAAGGTAAAGAATTGAAATAATAAGGTAAAGAATTGAAATAATAAAATAAAAAACTAAAATAAAACAATTTTAAAGAATAAAGGCAAATTAACAAACAGGAAAATTGTTCTGAAAAAGGTAAACCTGACCACTCTTTAGTAACATATAACAATAAGAGAAGAATAATGTTACAAATGAGGAAATGGATTCACCAAAGGAGAACATGCAAGTAGGAGATAACCACAGTTATCATACTACTGGCCAAAGTGAAATTGAAAATGCACAAGAATTCAAACAAGATTGGGATGCAAAGAACGATAAAAACACTTTATATGAGAATAACCCTAGCTTTCATAAGAAAAGAAAAGCTGAAGAAGTGGAGGAAGTGTACCAAAAGGATAAGACACTTATCAACATGGAAAGTACCCCTAATGTTGAGAAAAGTGAATTGATGGAAAAAATCACCACAGGTCCCATGAACAAACAACCGAAGATACAATATGGTAGCGTAAATAATATTAGTACCAACGAAAAAAACACCAACGGGATTAGAAATTTTGATACGAATACACAAATGCAGATGCAGGCTTGTGTTGAAAAGTCGGTTATAAACTCGGAACGTGAAAGTAATAAGAGCGTTCAGGGGAATAACACAAATAGGGAAACAAAAACGGAAGAAAAAAAAATCGAAAGAGTAGATAAGAACATAACTGAATTAGCTCAAAATGATTCGTGTAAGGAGGAAAAATCGAAAGACAATTTGCATGAATGTTTAAAGGTGAAAAATTATGTAAAAGAAACACAAACACAGTCAGAAGTAAATAACAAAAAAAAGGAAAGCTTTAAATATTTTATTGATTATAGCAAATATAGGAATAAAAACAATGTGACATTTTCTACCAAGTATAAAGATAGCTCTATTAATTTAAGTAGTGATAAACTTACTTGTTACGGAGATAAAGGATGGTCCAGCGTTTTTGTAAATAATGGAGCTGATATTGGAAAATGGTATTATGAAATAAAAATTGAAGAACCTGTACAAAATTTTAATTTCTTAGGGTATAAGGACAAAGTTATAAAAGTAAATCCATATATAAGAGTTGGTTTTGCTTGTAGATATATGAGATATGACTATCCCATAGGAACGGACAAATATAGCTATTGTGTTAATAGCAAGAATGGGAGAATTTTTAACAACTCCATAAGTTATGATTGCATGGAACCAATTAAAATAGGTGATATTATTGGGTGTTATTTAAACTTAAGAAATAAAAATACTTATAACTTTGACCCAAGGTCAGATAAAAAATTATATGAATATTTGCAAAATGGTATTTTATGTGACCCAAAAGATCCACCAATCTTAAAAAAAAACTACGGTTCGTCAATTTTTTTTTCCCTGAATGGACAAATAAAAAAAAATGCTTTTGTTGACATTTATGAAGGCTTCTATCATCCATCTGTAAGTTTGTATATGGGTGCCTCTGCAAAAATTAATTTGGGTCCACATTTTGCCTATAATCATTTGAATGACTACATCCCATGTGTATTTATGGAGCCACCAATTATTCTGTGAAAGGATGAAGCGAGAGTTCTGGGAAAAACAAAAAAAAAAAAAAAATCTTCTAGCAATGGTTAAAACTTTCTGTTCCCATCATATTTTTTTATAAATAGTGTGAAAAATGTAGGTAAACCTGCTGAATTATTCATATATATATATATGTATATATTTTTTTTCTTTGTTTTGTTTCTTAATCAGCGATGGACACTTTTTTCTGTGCACCCTTTACATTTATAATGAGTACGTGTTAAATGGGGATACATAACTTTTGGTACTTTGCAAATGGTTTCATGTTTGCCAACTCTTGAGCGTCATCATCGCTTTTGTTGTTGTTTGTGTTTTTCCTCTCTTTTAGGTAGAGAAGATTATACATATATTTCTCTTTTTTTTTCGTAAATTTGTTTTCGTACTTGTTTAAATGAAACAACGTAAAACTATTTTCCTTCAAGGGGTATTTGTCTCTTTCCCAAATTGTCGATTCACATAACAAAATTAATATTGACACATGTTTTTTTAATTAATTTTAAATGAGAAATTGCTTTTCATATATGGATGAAATGAACAATTCGTCCAATAATGTTAAATGACAAAACGGGGGTTATAGTTATATATATATATATATATATATATATATATATATATATATATATATATATAAAGAATAATTAACAATAATGTGCAAAATGGGTGGGGAAATAGGGAAGATGTTAAAAGGCATAAAAAAATAAAAATAAAATATAATAGTTAATGTGTACACGGATTTGAGTATGAAAAAGCTATTTTGGTTGTCTGAAAAATTGTGTAGTGCAAAATAACATATATGAACTGAAAAAAATTAAACGCTGGCCAGTACTCATTGATGAAATAAATTTCTGTAAATTCGGAAATCTGCAAATTAAGGATGGAAAAAATGTAAAATAATATTCTGCTAATTATGGTATTCTCGAGGATGGGGGAGAGTAGACACATGCAGATATAAATTTATGTACTGATTGATTATGTTGGAGTGTTTTTTTTTTTTTTTTTTTTTTTTTTGGTATGTCCTAACTTGGTATAGCATAAAATCCGATAGCCTCTTCTCTCCCGAAGTCCTTATCAAAATATTCGGAGGTGGCATATCGCATGTAAGCAGCTTCTTATAGTAATTAACTCTGCGTAAGTGATGAAAAGAATTAAGAATAAAAAAATTGGATAAAATAAAGTAAAAAAAAAAAAAAATAAGAGAAAAAATAGCAAAAAAAATGGAAGAAAAAAGGGGTAATGAAATGTTATAATGCACCCAATTCCCCACAATTGTTTGTTTTGTTCTGAGAAACGAGGTGAATTATGGAGCAGTATTTATTTTCATTATTCTTATTTGTTTTTCCATTCTTTTAATGATACATTTTTATTTGCTTCTGATTTAAGAAAGCTCGTTTCCCACATATACAATCTACTTCATAAATTTCCTTAGGATCAGTTCTTTCTTTTTTCATTATATGTTCTAAATATTCGCATTTATTTTGATTTTTCATGTTTGCTAATGTCGAGGTAGAATAGGATATTTTTTGTTCCTCTAAGAGATTCTTATAAGTATTATAATACAAATTCGGGTCAAATTTACATAAGCTCATTTCGTTTCTACTGGTATATGAAAAGAATATGTTCAGCGTAAGGCTAAGAATGAAGAAATGCCCGTATGTATATGCACAGTTGAATGGTTTGATGTTTGGGTGAACAGGAGAGAATATTATGCACATATGTGTGGGATTAGTAAGGGGGTGGTGGTGAATCTATATTGAGTAATCATGACTATTGTTGTAAAAATATGTCTAATAAAAATGTACTAATGTAACCAATAAAGTTGTGAAAAAATATATACATATATACATATGTATATTTTAAATACTCCAATTGAGGTATGTCCTTTCCTCTAAGAGCTTACTTGTCAAACTGCTTTGTTTTCTGTTCTACCTCGTAGATAATTTTCCGGTATGCTTCATTAATGTAGGAGAGGTTTCCAATTACTTTGACTCTTATTTTATTGTCCCTTATGAAATTCCTAAGATGTAAATAATATTGTTTACATGTTAATATGATGAAACATTCAGTTATTTCACATGAACTGAATGGTCATGGTACAAGCCACGGGTGTGTTCACTCATGGAAGACACACAGATGGGAACAGGCTTACATAAATATATCCTCATTAATCAAAATGAGTAGATTTAAGTAAAAGAGAAAGTGCACTTCCTCGGGACTTCTGTTATAATTCAACAAGGAAAGCGAAAAAACGGATAAAATTTTTATGTTTAATCTAATACATATTTCTATGATCTGTTTAAGAAATGGAAAGGAGAGTTTAAAAGGTTTTACCAAATTGTCACACTTGTATGTGTCTGTACATGTGTGTGCTTATTTTGCTTTTTTTTGTGGAGACGCATATGTACACATGATTATATATGTGTTTATGCACCAGTATACAAATAAATGTATGTTAACTTGAATGAGGGTTTTTGATCCCATATAGTGTCCCAGGGAGGAGTGGATTCCCTTTTCCTTTGCGAATCGCCTGTTACCATCCATGATTATGGCTTGGTGAGTTTTAAATTGTGGAGGCATGCATATATATATGTATTCATGTGTATTTGTTTGGAGTGATAATGGTGGTCGATGTAGATGTGTAATTTCGATCAACATGCAGAAATATATAAACAAAAAAAAAAACGAATAAAAATTATCTGATATATTTTGCTTTTCCCATTTACATATGTGCTCAACGTTGATAAGACTCCTTATCAGTGAAGTGATCAGTCTTTCCAATCTACAAGGAGGAGTGTAATTCATAAAATGTGTGTCATTATAGTCATTAGAAATGTGCACTTCGTTTGGCTCCTTCCTTTTCATTTAGTGTATCTTTTATGTAGTTATTATGTATCACTCATTTTACTTGTTTACTTTTTATTACGCATTTTATTCATTTGTGTATTGTTCATTCTATTTACTTATTTTTATTTTATTTATTATTATTATTATTTTTATTATTATTTTTTTTATTATTATAATAATTTTTTATATTATTATTATTTTTATTATTATTATTTTTTTTTATTTTATCTCTTTTCATTGTGTGTAGTACATATTTAGAGGCATTTTCTAACAGGTTAGATTAATCTCTCCTAGTATTATTCAACAGATGAGGGGGAGAAAAAAAAAAAAAAAAAAATAATAAAATAAAAAATAAAAAAGCAGTTAACATTAGTAATAACAAAAAAAAAAAAAAAAAAAAAAAAATTTCATCACTGTGATATGTTTTACAAGTGTGGAAAATAGCTACACCTCTTACCAAGTAGTATTCAAGGTAGAGAAAATGATTGACAAGGTTAAATGAAAAAATGTATGCATTTTAGTAGTAAAATTTCTCCTAATAGATCACGAGAGAAAAAGAAATAAAGCAAAGAAAGAAAAGTTTAAGAGCTATGGGGAGCTACTCCATAGTGACGTAATAAATACTTGGACATCACATATTATGTTCTATGCTGGTAAATGTAACATACATGCATTGTGCTTCTTTTCATTTATAGGTACCATATGTAATGCATATTTTTTTACCCAGTGAAGTTTCGTAAGCTTTTGGTTCTACTATTTCTCTTACAGCATGAGCAAATCGTTATTGAAAAAGAACAAAAATGGAAAGAAAACAAATATATATATATATGTATATTTTCCCTAAAGTACACGTTGTAACAGTGTGAGGAGGGAAAGAATTTCTTTTTTCTCTTAGTTTTATTATAAATACACAATATGTAATACTTTAATAGAGTGATAGTACAACACAAAATGAGGAGCTACTGGAAAAGCTGCAATCCCCTAAATTAAGTAATGCGTTTAATGAACAAAAAATAAGTCTTAACCTCTCTCATGTAAAAGTGTAACCTCTGTGTGTAAAAAAAAAAAAAAAAAAAAAAAAAAAGGAAAGAAAAGAAAAGAAAAGAAAAAAAAAGGAAAGGAAAGGAAAGGAAATAGAAGAAAAGAAATAGTAGCTCCAAACGAAACTGAATCAAATCATCATGCGTGTCGAATATTTTTTATTTTATTTTATTGTGGTATATTCATCAGATAGCAAAGTATAATCGATTTGATATTTGTATGAACAGCCTTTTTTTAATGATAACTTTTGCACAAGGAACATAAAGTACGAAAGAGTGAGGAGGGAAGTTTATAAAAGATAGGGAATATAAAGGAATGCATACTGAGTGCAAAGATTGAATTTTTTATAAAAAAAAAAAAAAAAAAAGGTTTATAAAAAAGGTGTTAATTCTAAGAAGATATATATAACGTAGAAAATCTATAAAAAATAGGACCAATTATCTTTATTATATTTTTATTATTTTTTTTTACTCCTAAATGTTTTTAAAACCTTGTTATAGGACTTTTGTGCCCTTTCAGGGGAATATATACATTTATATGAACACACATGCATTTTGGCATACATTGCGAACATATGTGTGTGTCGACGTGGTAAGACTAAGAGTAGACTTTTCACAGTTCTCTAGGTGGGTGGATGTTTTGTGTAACACCTACTTATTTTGTATAATAATTCTCAAGGGTAAAAACGAGTAAATTTCTAAAAAGAAAAGTTTTAATTGTGAAGGAGAGAAAGAACTGCAAAAAATATATATGAAAGAAAGGCTGGGCGAAATGTAACTTTTCAGGTAATCACTGTGTACACCCTCCTATCCACATCAACTGTTTCTCTTTTATTCGCAGCTCTTGTCCCGTATAGGAACTTGGAAATAGTAATCTCACAAACATATTATAAGCACTGTGTGGTATTACACAGTTTGAGTGTATATATTAAAAAAAACCTTTTGCACCCATTTCAATATATTAAATAAAAATTTAAAAAGACTAAGTATAATAGGGGCTATATAATAAATCTATAAAAATCCTAAGGAGATGAAAATCATCAAGGGAAAAAAAAAAAAAAAAAAAAAAAAAAAAAAAAAAAAAAGACGCGATTTGGCTAAAAAAAAGGGCAAATTTGGAAAAATAAAAAAAAGAAAACGGTCCCGTGGGAACTATTAAAATTTGAAATTAAAGGAAAAAAAGGGAACAAAAAATAAGTAAAAAAAACTCTGTTGGAAAAAATAAGGAAGTCAAAATAAGTAAAAAAAAAACAGACGAACATGATAATCTCACAAACATATTATAAGCACTGTGTGGTATTACACAGTTTGAGTGTATATATTAAAAAAAACCTTTTGCACCCATTTCAATATATTAAATAAAAATTTAAAAAGACTAAGTATAATAGGGGCTATATAATAAATCTATAAAAATCCTAAGGAGATGAAAATCATCAAGGGAAAAAAAAAAAAAAAAAAAAAAAAAAAAAAAAAAAAAAAAAAAAAAAAAAAAAAAAAAAAAAAAAAAAAAAAAAAAAAAAAAAAAAAAAAAAAAAAAAAAAAAAAAAAAAAAAAAAAAAAAAAAAAAAAAAGGAAAAAAAAAAAAAAAAAAAAAAAAAAAAAAAAAAGGAAGAATGCGACGCGATTTGGCTCAAAATAAGGGCAGATTTGGAAAAATAAAAAAAAGCAGACGGTCCCGTGGGAACTATTAAAATTTGAAATTAAATGAAAATAAGGGAAATAAAAATAAGTAAAAAAAACTATGTTGGTAAAAATAGGGAAGTGAAAATGAGTAAAAACAAAAACAGACGAACATGAAAAATAAAGTCCGAAAGGTGGTGAAAACCAAAGGAAAAAAAAAAAAAAAATAAATAAATAAATAATGTAAAAGTGCAAAAAGTGCCAAATGCGAGAAAAAATCAACAAAAAATACCAAGCAAGAAAGAATAACAATAATACATATATATACATATATATAAATACATATATACAAAAGATAACAAAAAAATACATAACCAAAGATGCAGAAAGAGGAGCCCTTCCTTCTTCCATCCCAAAAAAAAAGAAGTAAATTATATAAAGAGGAAAGCAAAATTTAGGGCATCTTCTGACAGCAAGCTTTTTTTCCGTGTTAATTAAAATATATATATATATATATATATATATATATATTCATGTATGTATACATAAAAGTAAAAATAGATAAACGGGTAACACATCAATTTTTATTTCTAACAAAAAGGAGAAGAAATCATATATATAACAAAAGTTGGAATTATAACAAGTAGCTGCAACAGAAATATTAAGAAACTTCATTGGAGAAGATATATTACGTAGTACATTTTTTTTTTTTTTTTTTTTTTTTTTTTCGAAGAAGAAACATATTGAAGTGAAAACATATAACCAAATTGTTCTCATTAAAGAAAAAGTGTGATATCATCATTTACACGTATTATCCCATTGGCTCTTTCATTTTTCCAGTCGTCCGTTATTTCTTTATTTTGTTCTTACGTTTCGTACAGAGGTAGTGGCAAAGTTAAAGGAATAGCCTTTTAAGGAAGTTGAACAGAAATTGATTAGCAATATAAGAAAAAGAGCTAGAAACGTAAACTAAGAGGAAAAAGATAGAGAAAAGAGACAAAGAGCATAGGGTGCTGAAGTGGCAAGACGGATACAGCAGCAGAAATAGGAGTAGTAACAGCAAGAGTAGCAATAATAATGCTGAATAAGGGAAAAGAAGATGAAATTTTGCAAAATATCCTGCAAATATGCCTTAGGAGGAACGCGGCAAGCAATATAAAGGTTCACTTAGAATCATACGAAAAGGAATTAAAAGAAAGTAAAGAAGAGAAAGAACTGTATTTGGAAATTGATAATTTATATTTTATATTATTGCACAAAATAGCGTATTTACATAAACAAAAGAAAAATTGTTTAAGTTATTTATGTTCCTGTGCATCCAGGTTATCTGATAAAAATATTTTTAAAAATAGCCAACTAAATAATAATGAAGTAGAGAATGTAAGTAATGAGATATTGAATCAAATAATTAATAGTGCATTAATTTACTTAGAAAATTTAGATGTGTATCCAGATGTTACTATATCATCAAAAGAACGGGTACTTACCTTTTATGAATTTTTAAAGGGTTCATGTACATCTCGTTTTTTAAAAAAAATATTATCTGTTATAGAAGAAAATGATAAAAATGAAGAACGTGAACAAGAAAAGCAATTAAATAAGTTTTTTACCCCAGTCATAGATCTCATATTAGATAACTTGAATGGAAGGAGTTTGATATATCCGAAAAATGATGTTGCAGTGTTGTTGAAATTTCTGACAAGTTTTAAGCAAGTAGCTGAATTTATTATAAATAATAAGTCCATATTTTTATACTTGAATTTAAGAGACAAAATGGAAGACACTATTATTCCCGCAGCAGGTGCAGCAGCGGAGAATGGTTCACCAACGGATAGTGTAAATAACACATCCATATCAAAACATGGATTTGACGAAAGTAAGGAATGCAGCAAAGACAAAGAAATAAATTCTTGTGGATACAACTTACAATTGAATAGTCTTTTAGGGAGACTAATATCTCCCACAGTGATAACGATGCCAAATATAACAAAAAAAGAAGAAATAGTAATGTATAAATATTTCTATAACAGTGTTACTAATTCATTGAATAAAATGACATTAAGTGCTTTAAAAAATACATACTTTTTATTAAGAAGAGACACGAATTGGATTTTAGAAAATTGTGTTGAAACGATAAAAAATTTGTTAAAAGTAAGTAACGAGAGTAAGAAAAGAGTTTTACTATGGCTAAATTGTATTATTGTTTCAAATGAGAAGAAGACAAAAATAATGTATCATTATTCGACATATCCTCAATCTTTAGATGCATCGTATGGATTATTTTTAAAATTGTTAGGGGAGAATTCTTACGGATTTTGTATGAACATGTTTTGGATTTTATTATGTCTTTGTGAACCCATAACAATGAACAAAATTAGTGATTTTGATTCACTTTTTTTTCTAAGGGATGATCCCTTTTCAAAATTTTTGTTAAAAAATATAATAAATCAATCATCTTTTGAAGAAAAGTCAAATGTGGAAAAAATAAAAAATAAACTAAAAAATTTAGAAAGTTTTAAAAAAGAACCCAAGTTTATTACATCTATCTTTTGGATGACATTCAAATCTTTGAGTGTGTTCTTGAAACCATCTATTGATGAATTTATTAGGATTGTTCAAGAAGTACCAAATGCAAAAGATAAAAATTATTATTACATGAATATACACACATGGAAAATATTTTTATATAATACGAGGTTTATTCAACTCTTATTTAAGTTTTTACATTTATGTATGGCTTACTTCTTACACGCTGCTTACATTTATGATATGCAAGGAAATATCAGTGTGAATATGCAAAACATGTTAAAAGATCATAATGGGTGTCTTAACCCACTCGTCTTAAAATCTTGTCCTCCGCCGAACGAAAAAAATTACCTTAAGAGAAACAGAATTTTTGGAAGTGTTTCCCATGCAGTTAGTGGCAGAATGGATGAAGTGGAAGAGGAGGAGGAGCAGCAGCAGCAGGAGAAGAAGAAGAAAGAGAAAAATGAGAATGAGAAAAAGAAGAGTGGAAATAGGTCAAACGAAGAAAAAGATAATGAAACTTCATGTGGTGATGTAAAAAACGCTCCACATGAGACGGAGGGGGAGACAGAAGGAGAAGTGGATAAAAGGAATATAAGGAATGAAGGTAATCACAATAATGATGAAGGAAATGAAGATGGAGAAAAAAAAGATGTTAATGAAGAAGCAAGCGAAGTTCAAAGATCAAATCAGAACGATGATCCAGAAAGCTGTTTGAACAGCGAAGATCATCTGTACGCTTCTCCCCAGTTTTCAATCATTCCAACATTTTTTTTGAGTGATATATTTGATATTATTTATCTGTTATACGAATTGGATACGTTTAAGAGTCCAAATAATGAAACCTTTATAAGTTATCTAAATATGGATTTGTTTTTAGCTTTTTGTATCTTTACCATGTTAAGTGAGAATCATATAAAAAGTATACATCTGAGATGTGAAGCAGCTCCGAAAACATTTACACACTTGTATAGGAGTGATAGTTTGAAAAAAATGATTGAAGAGTCAGATTTAACGAGAAAATATATCATAAGATCGTTGACAAATGTTTTTATTGCATCACAAAAAGGTGAATACACAGAAAGAATGCAAACTAGGGTTCGCATTGTAGAAAATTTCAATAGTCTTTTTTTGAATGAAATATATGTGGATCAATTTACCCAGTTAGTTATTAAGAACAATAATTTGTTCGTCCATTTGATTCATTTGTTATTGAATGATGTTAATTTTCTTGTTGAGGAGGTAGTTTCCTACTTATCTGAAATTAAAAGGAGGGAGGACAAGAAGAGGAGTGATATCCAAAGGGCTGCTAATCGTGCTAGAATCAGTGTTGGAAGTTGGACCTCAAATGGAATAAGCAATTCGAATATTTACACAGATGTGACGAGGAACAGCAGAACACCCACTGAAAATGTAATCAATCAACTGGACTCATCTAGTAGCCGTGCTATTGGCTCGAATGTTGACCCCAATACTGACCCTAATGCTGACCCCAATGCTGATCCCAATGCTGGCCCCAATTTGGATAGTAGATTGAATTCCAATTCGTTAGCCAATTATGGGAACGATTTTGATAATAATTTTGGCACCAGTTTTCGGAGTACAAACGAAGCATATAATAGTGACAATACTGATAATGATGAAACAGGTGGAAGGAGTGTAGGTGCAGATATAAGTAATGAGAGTATGAGAAATTTAGCTGCACGGACGAAAATGATAATAAATTATTGTTATAAATCATGCATTTTTTTAAATTTATTATGTAAGAGTTACCCAAACAGCATCGTTACATCTAACACTATTTTGACGCAAATTGTTACTTGCTTGAATTGTTATTTTGATTATTTAGTTGGTCCTAAATGTTTAAATATTAAAGTAAGAAATATGGAACAATATAACTTTAGACCTCAGTTATGGCTAACCAGTATCGTAGAATCATATCTTTTTTTATTAAATTCTGACAAAGAACATGAAGAATTATTAACTAGAGAAATTGCAAATGAAGGGAGGTACTACAAACCTGAGATTTTTAATAAGGCATATTATATATGTAAGAGAGAAGGACTTATATCTAAAGAAGATTTAAATAAATTTAAGAATTTTTGTCAACAAATTATTGATATGAAAGATGAAGTAGAATTATTTGACGATGTTAATGATATTCCTGATAAATTTTTAGATCCCATTTTGCAAGATATTATGTTAGATCCCGTTTTTCTACCTACATCTAGCATTGTCATTGACAGAAAAAACATTGAGAGACACCTAATGAGTGAACCCAATGATCCATTTAATAGGGCACCACTTACTAAGGAACAACTGGTCCCCATGCCTGAGTTAAAAGAAGAGATTCATAAATTTATTGAAGAATTGAAACAAGAAAAGAAGAGGAAAAAAAAAATGAAACTTTTAGAAATGGAATCCCTAAACGAATCTGTGTTTAGCAATGAATTTCAGGAAATCCATACCAAGGATGAGGATTCGAATGCACAGAACAATACGCAGGAACAGAAAAAACAGGAAGAATAGGGGGGGGGGAAAGTTCGAGTAGAAGGGGAGGTATAAAAAAAAAAAAAAGACAAGACAAGACAAGACGAGACGAGACGAGACAAAACAAAACAAAGGAAAACAAAAATTTTAATCCTTGTTTTGTGTTTCGAGGGAAGAACACAAAATTTCTCGTTGCTGAGAAATTTTATCACATAACGTCTCCAATGCCCAATTACCAATGTTCTGTTTGAATCTGCTTGGATATTCCTCCTATGGGCCTTATATACTTTTTTTTTTTTTATGTGATATACCTTTACAATATGAATAATTATCACGTTATCGTTTGTACCATTCGTGTTTTTCCATCAAAATTGCACATATTCTTCGTATTTGTTGTATTTTCTGAATTTCAAGTCCGTTGGGATCTGTTGAACGTTTTTTTTTTTTTTTTTTTTATAAAAAAATTTTTGCAGTGGGGAATAACATAATGGAAGAAAAAAAAAAAAAAAAAAAAAAAAAAAAAGATAGAAACGGCATTATCTCCTCAGTACCGTAAGATGAGCTCCTTATGTGAGCAGCTGAAAAAATCATCATTTTAATTATTCTCCATGGATTGATAAAAAAAAAAAAAAAAAAAAAAAGGGGATGGTCAAATGAGAGGCTCGCAGATTTAGGAGTTAGACTATTTGGTTGTTTCCATATTTAAAAGCTTCCCGATTGAAAAGCAGTTTATGAAACATATCAGTCATATGTAAGAGGATAAACGAAGACATTTTTCCCTAAAACTTTATTTCTCATTCAACCTGAAAATAGCTACGGTAACCCGAAAAATTTGTACGTTGCATTTTTGTTGATATATTTTTTTTGATGGCAAAGGATAAATGAACGAAGAATGAGAGTATTATTATATAATTCACATTTTTATTGATAAGAGCATTATTCATGCTAGAAGATTGTAACGTGGATCAGGTACGTTTAATTAAAAAAGTTGCACTTTTTCAAAGCAAAAAAAAAAAAAAATAAAATAATAAAATAAATAATAATGACCAAAAAAGGTGCACACCAAACACGTCAAGAACATTTATACGCTGAAACGCGATTAAGTATACACATAATATAATGGAAAAAAAAAAAAAAAATAATAAAAAAAAAATAAAATAATCATAAATGATAGATGGATAAATAAATAATAACACAAATAAGTAACACATATGTAACATGAGAAACACACAGGTTGAGAGACTTACATTAAAATTAAGTAACAAGTAATTTTACACACACAGCACTGTTTTAAATAAAAAGTACACATAAAAGGTTTGCTCAATAGTGTTATATAGAACGGAGGAAAAAGAAAAAAAAAAAAAAATCAAATGGGGCGTGTGGGGCAAGTAGGTCGAGTTGGTCAAATAGACCAAGAGGATCAAATGGATCTGTAGACCTTAAACCCTATAATTGCAAAGAAAGCCAAGCAAACATAAGTCTTCCAGTACTTGAAGAACATGGCTCTTTTTAATCGCTTACTATTTTGAACAAAGTTTAATGTATTTTTTGACATATTTTGAGTTTTATACTGCAAAGCTCGTATGTTTCCCCTGGACTGATATAAGTTGTCTATATGGTTATTCATTACAGAATTAATTCGATGTAATTTTTGTTTAACAGCTATAATTTTTTCATCTCGGCAGCATTTATTAATACTTTTTATAGTATTCTTCATAAATGATTGAATGGTGTGAATTTTAGATGGGTTGATATTTTGTGATTTGTAATTTTGGTTATAAAACAAGTTGGACTTGGCATAAATTTCTAATTTTCTTAAGAATTCAAAAATGTAGTTTTTAAAACATGTTTTCATATGTAATCCGATTAAAAAAAATGCCAATTTTTTTTCTGTACATATTGTAAAATATATAATTTTATTTTCCCAATTAAGAATTTTCTTATTACAATAATTTAATTTTTTTTTCGAAGCCATCAATATCTTTTTTATTGTACAATTTGCCGAAGTGTCTAAATCGTCACTGAGAAAACTGCACTTGAGTAAAATTTCGGCATCTTCTATGGATGCTATGCAAACATATTTGAAAAGTTCGAATTCGTTTTGGAGCTCATTTGAGTACTCATTTTGGTACTCCTTTGGGTAATCATTTTGATAATCACTTTGGTAATCACTGTGGTAATCACTTTGGTATCCATTTCGGTATCTATTTTTTCTCTCATTTCTGTACCCATTTTGGCTCTCATTTTCGTTGTCCCTTTCATCATTCGAAAAACTGTAGCTACTGATTTTATTCCTTTTATAATGATTATGTTTTTCTTTCCCATTTTGATTTTCATCTGTCCCAACTTGCTCGCTGTAGAGACTGTTGGTGTAGGTTATTTCGTCTTCTGACAACATGTACATATTTGCTCCTTGCAATCACTTGAAAGAAATTGGTGCCTCACCTTTCCAGTGCTTCAACCCAAGAGTACGCACAGAGAAAAACATACATATATGTACTTGTCAATGCATGTACATTTTAGTGCATGTATGTATTTTTTTATTTTATGTTTTTCCAGTTGTTAAAAAAACTGTAAAAGTGTCAACTCAGCCAGAGGGAGAGAGAGGGGCGAAAGGCAATGTTTCTCCTCCTTTCTTTATGCTTTTGTTTTTTTTCTTTTTTCGGAAATACTGCTGTTTCAGAGATGAGATAAAAATGTATCTCAAAAAATTTTCACTTTTTTTTATCCCTTTTCGTCTTAATAGCTTTTAAAAAAAAAAAAAAAAAAATATACTTCGTCAACTTATGATATTACTGAAAGCTGGACAATCTAAAAAATTTGCAAAGTTATAACCTCTCCCCATCTGCATTGCTACTTTGTTCTTTGCTTTATCTTTCTTTCATTCTTTTTTTTTTTTTTTTTTTCATATTTTAAGATGCGCACTGGGTTGGTAAAACATCCTGTATACATAATTATAATGCTTTTTTTTTTTTTTTTTTTTCTTTATATCTGCTTTGATTTTGACTTAAAGCGCATCTTAACCTTTATGCCCCCCTCACGCTGCCCTTTTTTTTTTTTTTTTCTTTTTTAAATGTTCAAAAGTGTCAATATGTACAATTACGTATATGCATATACTTTATATATTGTGCATATATGTATACACATCCACATGTACATATATTAACATTTTCACAAAAACGAAGAGAACAAAATAGAAGAAAGCATGTAACCACATACGTAATTATTAATCGAATTTATCTATTGGGGTGGGTGTGGAAAGAAACAAATGAATATATATATATATATATTAGCAGGATGAAAAATAAGGAATGTATTACATATTTGCCTTTCTGATTGTATACAGCACACCATTTTAAATATAAATCCAAACGTGTTTCTTCCGTATACCAAGTGTCATCAGTAAATGATTTGAAGAGTGTTTTTTTTTTTTTTTTTTTTACATATGTACTTGTCATTTCTATGGGTTTTTGAGGGAAGTATAATACAGACAGACGCACGAGTGTGAGAATACAGTGTAGGTCTCTTAAATTTTTCGCTACGGAAATGGTAAATAATATTTATTATTACCAACTTTTTGACAAAAAAGTTTACGTTCACATAAAGGGATATATATACATAAAACTATCCATTACCCCCAATTTGGCAAAAACTTTTGTGAAAAAATACGACCTTTTTTTTTTTTTTTTGACATTGCTGGGATAGTTCACATTTGCACAGTTCAGACATTGACTGGATTCAGGTGACGTATACTATTTTATGAGACAAAAAAAAAGATAAATGTTTTTCGAATTAAAAAAGTAAAAAAAATTCTCCTCTATATCATTTATATGAAATATTCATCACTGTATGCTTATAGAAGAACAGTTCATTTGTATGATATATCTGTGTGGTTAAAAGGAAAGAAACAAAAGAAATGCTGAAAAAAAAAAAAATTTCTTTTTTAAATTTATGACCCCTCCTAAAAAAAGAACAGATCAGCTATAGAATGGGAAGAAAAACTTTTTGGCTCAACAGCTGAATACTTTTATAACAAATTTAAGGCTTTAAAGAAAACTGGAAACGTTTTTTGCTTTTAAAAATTAGCAAGTTGAGCATTTTTTTTTTTTTTGTCACACTTTTGGATAAAAAATCGAAAGCTTCGGGTATTTTTCGAATGGACATGTATATATAATATATGTATACATATGTATATACATATATATACATATACATGCAACACATGTATGCAAGGTGTGTACGCCTATACACTTTATATACACATTATACGCTTTTTGCTGAAACTTTGCACTTTTACACAAATTATTCAAATGTGTAATTTTATAAAAATGTGAATTTTATAAGGATATTAAATTAGTAGTCTTATAAAGGTATGAAAGATAAATAAGTAAATATATGTACGTGCATATATATCCATAAAATATATTAAAAATAGCCTAGAAAAAATGAGAAAAAAAAAAAAAAAAAAAAAAGTTGTCTGCTGTTTTCAAGTTTTTTTCAGATTTATTTCATTTTTTTTATTTTCCCCTAAATCGATTGCTTTTTAACTTCATAAACATAAATATTTCCATCCGTGGAACCACAAAACAAGTATTGACCATTAGCTGACCATGTGATGGACGTACACCAAGGTAAGCCAACTTTGGATTGTTTAACTGGATATATTTCAGAAATGATTAATTTACTTTCTAAGTTCCATATTCTTATGAATCGATCTGTTGCAGCACACAACCAATAATCACAAGGAGAAAAGCAAAGCGAATTTATGGTACATCCAGTTTCTAATGAGTATAAATGTTTTCCTTCGTTGACATCCCATAATTTTGCAACACCGTCTTTTCCTCCTGATGCACATAATGACCCATCGGGAGAAATAGTAACTGTGTTTAGAACACCTGTATGTGCTTCTAAGTTTTTATTAAGATCACAATTTTTTAAGTTCCAAACTTTAACTAATTTATCCCATCCACAAGAAACAATAATTGCTTGCTTTGGTGAAGGGGAAAATCTAACACATGTAATCCAATCGGTGTGTTGTTCTTCTGTTATGGTGTACTTACACTGAGCTAAAGTATTCCATAATTTAATTGTTTTGTCTCTACTTGCTGAAACAATTTGCCTATTATCGGGACTAAAGGAAACACTAAAAACATCTGATGTGTGTCCAATAAAGGATCTTATAGTTTCTCCACACGATAAATCCCATAAACGCACTGAATGGTCCCAAGATCCGGACAATGCAAACAATCCGTCGGATGAAATCGAAACGTCATTGATTGCTTGAGAGTGTCCTGTTAGGGATTTTTTTGCAGTTCCAATTTCTCCTGAATCGTCATCTGGGTTGATATTCCACACGATTAGCTTTTTGTCTACATGGTGCATGAGAGAAAGTAAAACGCGATGAGGAATAGGCGTTACACAGCAAAAAAAAAAAAAAAAAAAAAAATTGAAATAAAAAAATAAGTGCAAAATAGCTAGTTCGGAAAAAAAAAAATTGAAATAAAAAAATATGTGCAAAATAACTAGTTCGGAAAAAAAAAAAAAAATTATTCACATTCATAAAATGAAGAACTGAATTTTTCAAATACATAACACACACGTTGTCACAATTAAGCTTGTTCTCGTTTATTTATTGTATTTTTTTTATTTTTTACAAGGATTTTCATTTATCAGTTTTTTAATATGAGCTATGCTACTCTTCATATTTGTTTATATCAGAGTGAGCTGGGATAAAAACTTGTCATCATATAAATGAAAAATTTTGTAAAACTTTCGATCAAATGGTCAAATGCATTTTACGATTTTGAAATAAGTGCCTTAGCTTAATATGCAGGAAATAATGAAACAAAACCTTAATGTCTCTGACAAATATAAAAAATACAAACTTCACGCGTAAAAAAAGGATGATCACACATTTTTGTGATCACCCAAAAGCTTGTGATGATGGACATGCGCACAATGATACCATGAAAGGTTGTAAAATTTTTAACGTTATATGTACCAATGAAATTTTCGTGTGTACTATATTAGATATGCATATAAAGAACCACTCCGACTATAAGAAATGCATACATGGGCGCTTCTTTTTTATCATAAAATGGTATATAGCTGGTGTCCAAACATTTGCGGACACATTCATAAGGATATTCAAGTAAACATTTATGTAAACATTTATAGGAATATTTTTTGTGTACATTCTCAAAATGCACAATGCAATATTCCATTACCTCTTGATGCGCTAACGATTGTCTTTAGTTTAGCATCTGTTGGTGTAGAAACGGAAGTTACCCAGTCACTATGACCCCCTTCCAACACACCTTTCAGAGATATTTCTGCTTCTTTTATATTTTCCATATTCTGAATATTTTTAAAATTTATATGACAAGGTTATCTCTATAAAGGAGGGTGGTGATGGTAGTGATAATATTAAAATGGAATAAATGGAAGTGTGTAGATATATATTCATAAATATGATGAAACAAAATTTAAAGATTAAAAAAAATGTATCCACACAATGTACGAAAAAAAAAAAAAAAAAAGAAAAAAAAGGTATAAACAATAAATAATTTTGGATATGCATAAATACATGGGATAAGAAAATATACAGAAAACGAGTGTATATCTTCTTTATATGTGTAAAAAAAAAAAAAAAAAACGGGAGATATATACATGTTATATACTATTCCTTTCACTGTAAGCAGCTATAACCATCATGTATGGTTTAAGCCCATGAGATTTTATGTTAATATATTGTACATAAAAATCATGGAGCCTTTTTTCATACTTTTTTTTATATTATTCATTTTTTGTTCATACTCATTAAACGATATTTACATTATGTAACTGTGGAACGATTTAACGATGTAACAAAATCATTTAACATACATCTTATTATTTGTATGCAATAAAATTTCTTTTTTCACTTTTTCTGTAGCTGATATGTATGTATATATATATATATATATATATATATTGTGTTATGTAAGTGTTATATCCTCTTACTTGAAAAAAATGGGTTGGGAAAATTATGAGAAAAAAGGTGGAGGTTGGAAAGAAAAAGAAAAAAGGGGAACTTAAACAAAATTATAAGGACATAAAAAGTGTTTATAATTCCTCTTACTTTTCATATTTCGCTCTTCCATTCATTCCTTATTTATCTTTTTTTTTTTTTTTTTTCACAATATTTTTTTGTAATTCCTTTATATAATATTTTTTTTTATGCTTGCTTTATTTATTGATTCACCATATATATATATATATATATATAACATATATTTTTTTCCATACTCAAACTACATTATCTTCGCTCGGTTGACATTTTTTTTGCAAATAAAAAATGGGGTTCATGTTGCAATGGATAGGCATAAATTTAATAATGTCAAAAATAAAAAAAAATAATTATAAAATTTATACAATAACTTATATGTATCGTGTTTATGTGTCATGGGCACATATGTACATGTTTTCTTATAGGGGTAAAACACCATAACTACAGCAGTGCTACCACCCATACATGTGCATACTATGCAACAATGTTTGGTGTGGTGGGTCGTGTAATGCTCATATGAGCGAAGCACTTATATATAAATATGTATTTATGTGTAATTCCTAAAATAAAGAAGCTTCCCCCTCTATATATGTTTGTGATAATGAAACACAACGCATGTATAAAATTGCGCTATTTCACATTTGTGACAGAGTACTTATGAAATATAAAAAGCTACTACTACTTTTCTATGGGATGTATTTATCTACGATTTTTAACTTTGTTCTTAAATTTCTAAAAATAAGAAAGAACCTTATGTTTTTTAACCTGAGCAGCCCACCACACGAATATGGTATTTAAAAATATTATTTATTTTGTATAAAAACTTATCTGCGTATTTTTCTGATTAAGATTATCATCTTATTTTTTTATATTTTTTTTTATGTGCCATTTTTTCCACCCCCGCTACGAATTAATATTTCTTCAAGATTGTTCTCATGTGTACATATATATTTGCGCACAAATATTTACGAACATATTTATGAAAATATATTAATATATATACATATATATGAATACTCATTTAATTTATGTACATGTTAGGGCAATAACTAACTCTCAGCTTTTTAAGGGGTTGAGGTTCCTAAGGGTGAAATAAAATGTGCTTGCTGCAATATGCGGGTAATTGGTAAAAATATGTATGGAATAAGTGAGGTATTGTAGCCATTTTTTTTTTTCTTTTTTTCTTCCAAACGGGCCAGGGAAGAATGAAGTATTGAGGGGATTTCGGGTGTAGGGAGGGGGATCGCTTGTTGATAATAATTTTGTATTTCATAAAGCAGTAATTAAAACTTAAACAAATATGTATTAAAAAAAGGAAATATTTTTATACGTACATTTTATTTTTCCTTTTTTTTTTTATTTTAAAATATCTTATGAATAATGAATTGCTCACCCGTTCTTTTTGGTGCTCTTTTTTTGTAACAGTTAAAAAAAAAAATTGCAAAAGTGGAAACACTCTTCGTTCAATATATATATATGCATATTTATATACAAAATTAAACGACGTTGAAAATGAACGGGAAATAGGATAGATCTCGTAAATATACTCCCCCTAAAACTCCCATGATATGTGAAAAAATAAAAATTGGAGAAAATGAATTAAAAAGCAGTAGAGGATGTGAACTTACAAATACTCGGGGGTAATTCGAACTGCTTTAAGGTGAAGAAAAAAAAGATAAAAAAAAAAAAAAAAAAGAAAAAAAGAGGTTAAGCAGAAAGAATACCCAATAAAGTATTAATTTTATGCGTGCCTGAATAATTTATAAGAAAATTTATTAAATTGTGGGGAAATTTGCAAATAAGGTTTTTATGCTGTTGCTTATGTGGGCATTTATGCAAGCGTCGTGTGTATAGGTTTTTTTTATGAACATTTATAAATGTATTTATACACGCACATACACTTTTTTGTTCCCCTTAAATTTTTTTAATTTATGAATCTGCACACGAATGAAAATATGTTGATTTCCCGCATCCCCGTTTATTGATAAAATTCGTAGTAAACAGTGTACAAGTTTAGTTGAAATGAGAAAGGGAAGTTATTAGATTATACCGCTTGATTCTTATAGCAGAACTGCTGTTGTTGCATGAGCATAATCTATCCCGTCGCCATACGTTTCTGTGTATGTGTTATGTGCATATGCTTCCTTGGCAAAGGTTTATGTTGGAACGGTTGTAATATATAATGTTCTATTGGGGAATGTATGAATAGAGATAAGCCAAATTGATGTTATTAATGTAGGAAAACAATTGTATATAATAAGTTTATATATTGATCGAGCAACATATTATAGGAAGGCAGTTGATGGCGCTGAGTGGTAAAAAAGTAAAAAAAAAAAAAAAAAAATTCGAAAAAAAAACTGATAATAAAATTGAGAAAAAACTTTAATATAAATTATGATACCCATACGGAAGCTGCATTATATGACACATTTTGCTGATAAATGCCTCTAGCTGAAAACATACGAAATTGCTTGTGTGATAGGATTGTGTGTTACATATACACCCATTTTGATAAAGAAATGTTTATGGTCCTAAGTTAATGGAGTTAGGGAATCGTTTTTTTTTTTTTTTTTTTTTTTTTTTTTTTTTTCTTCTTTTTGCAAATTTAATTTGAAGTGATTTCAACTAAATAGGTAGTTCTGTTACATTTTTTAAAATAATAAATTTTATTTTTATTCAATTTCTTTTTGGTAGCTAATTAGTATGTCTAACTATTACATGTCAATAATGTGAACATCTTATACTCAGGATAATTCGCTCTGTTCGTATACATAATGTGTATAGTTTGTGTGTGTGTTTTTTTTTTTCTTTTTTTTCACACTTATCGTTCTCGCAAGGTCAGTATTAATACCCATGTATACGGCTTAAATGATTAGGGAAATATGAAAAGGGTGTGTAGTTAGAGTTATTACCCCTAAGGTTAAGATTTTATGTTTTATGATTTATTATGGTATATGCATATATATGTATATATATTTATGTATGTATGCACATATATATATATATTTTTTTTTTTGTACGTTTTCTGTATTTTTTAAGAATTGGCACGATTCAGTAAATGCTGGACCAATGATCATAATCGCATTTTCATATTTAAATAAAAGTATCAAATTATTGAAAAATGAAAAAAAAAAAAAAAAAAAAAAAAAAAGTTTTTATCTTTCGGATGTACATACCGATAGCAAAATGGATTAAAGCAATAAGACATTTTAGTTGGTAGAAAAAGATGAAAATTTTTATTTTTGGAAATTAAGGGAAATAAAAAAGAAAAAGTGGTAAAAAAGGGA